CTAAATCTCTGATAAATTATGCTGATTATGTTCTTCAAGAAATGAATGAGAATGCGAAGAAAACACGATGTAAAGCATTTCCGGATTTCAAAATATTGGTGAATTATTCTGATGAGAGAAATGCTGAAATTATTAACAAAATTCCAACACCAAGAGCACTTCATTTCTTTATGGAGGCACTGATGCGAGAAATGAACGGCGATGCAAGTGATGCGGTAGAACCATGTGAAGCAACTTTCGAAAACATTGATAATGCTTATAAGCAAGCGTTGAAATCGTCTGGGAACGAAACTAGCAGATAAACCAGCTGTATAAGAACTGCTGACAATTTTTTTATACTTGCATACTGTTTTTTCTTTACTTGTTCTTATATTGTTTTATGAAAAATATATATTTCATTATAACTATTTATTACTTTATTTAAAAAAAGAATTGTTTTCTAGCATCTTGAGGGTGTGGTTTTGTGACGGTGTGGGTGTAGATGAAACTTCCCCTCACCCACACCCTTCTTCTGAAAAAAAATATTAAAATTAACTACTTTTTTGCTTAAGATAAAAATTACAAATGGGCTCATCAAATCAATTTTAATGAATAATAATACTGAAATTCCTCAACTAGCATTAGGTACATATGATATAGCAAAGGAAGAAATATTGAATGTTATCGAAAGTGCACTTTCAATTGATTATCGTCATATTGATTACGTATGGCTTTATGGAAATGAAAAACAAATTGGAGCGAGTTTATCTCAACAATTTCAAAAAAATGAAATAAAACGATCAGATTTATTTATAACAGGTAAACTTTGGTGTTCATTTCATAAATTCGAACGTGTTCGTCAACAATGTGTCATAACAATCAATGATCTTCAATGTCAATATCTTGACCTTTTTTTTATTCATTGGCCATTTGCTTTTATTGATCACTTCTGTTCTTTGTTTTTATTTTTGAGAATTAATTTTTTTTCTGTTTAGGACTCACAAAATAATGAAGAATATCAATCAAATGTAGATGATGATATTGGTTTTGTTGAAACATGGAAAGCAACGGAATTATTCGTTGATGAAGGATTAGTTAAATCTATTGGATTATCGAATTTTAAGGAAGAACAAATAGAACGAATTCTTCAAATATGCAAATATAATGAAATTCATACATATTGTCCACAAATTCTTCTTGAAGCTTATGCACCATTAGGTAAGATTTTTTATTTCATTAAATGTATATTTAGTTTTATTGAAAAAACAAAAACTAAAATAGGTACAAAAAATTGACAATGGAAAAAAGAAAACGATCCAGAAATTTTAGAAGATAAAATGATAAAATAAATTGCCGATAAATATAACATTCATCCAGCAGCAATTCTTCTTCGTTATATTATCGATCAAAATCTTGTTTGTGTTGTTAAATCTGCTAATCATCAACGAATTGTACAAAATTTTCATTGCATTAATCAAAATCATTTTCAATTAGATGAAGAAGAAGATTTTGTTATCATCAAGTGGAAGAGAAGAAATATGCGAAAGAATTTATTCCATAATAACAGTCACTGCAAGATTTTTTCAAAATAAAATAATTAAACGAAAAATAAAAGATAAAACAGAAATAGATAATAAACTCGGTTAGCGCTATGCAAAAATTCGTGCTGTTCTGAGAATAGATATAAAGACAATTCACGGAGTGTGAGTAGGATATATATAATACATCCATCTTCAAGATGTGACGAATTTGTCATACGACTTTTCGCCCTATAGATAGCAGCAGACATGAAACTTTTGAACCCTGTGTAGCTAATATCTCAGGATTCATCTAAGATAATCTCGTGATTTTTTGTGTAGTAGTGAGGAGTTCTTAGTAGAATATCTGGTAAAAAAATCTCAAGAATTGGTTGAGTAGAACTCGAGATGTTAAATTTTATGTTCAAGAATACAACGGTATAATAAACTTGCAATTCGTTCATATATATATATTTTTTGAGCTATCGAAAAGAAAAAAGACAAAATCAGATATGTTTATGGGTCAATGATAACGAAATAGTTATTTTCATCTTGATAAATATAATCTATGAATAAGAATGTATGAATGATGATATCAATAATATCAGATAAGACACTCTACTCGTTATATTTTTACATGAATATACAAATTTTAGTGTTCATATTCAATCATATGTGTTAATATGAATAATGTTTATTATCAAATCTAACTTATGTCGTTGATTTACATAATAATAACAAAAGGTATTTTATTTTATTAATTTTATTTTCAAATATAATTTGAGAAACTTTTCTAATATATTTCTTTTTTAATCCTATTTAATCATAATGATACTATCGATAATGACTTATATTTCTCATACTATATCAATAAGAAAAATGTGTATAGGTTTTATTATCAATACTATTTATTTTTTGATAATTATATTCTCATTGTAAATATCGCACATCACTTATCGTTATAATTTTTATAACTTCATACATATATTGATAAAAACTTGAAATACAGTAAAAATTAATTTCTATTGTTCATGAATATTTACGTACAATGATACAAATAATAAGATATATTACTACATAATCATAGTACGATCTAGTATAATACAATTTTGTAAACGATTTAATAGATCATTGTATAAAATTCTATAAAGATTTTTTTTTCTCTTCCTATAACATCAAATTGAGCTAATTATTGAATTCCATCTGCAAACGGCACCTATAGGGATAAAAAAATGGCATTAATAAAACATGATTGGCTGATTAAAGGCACTGTCATCAGATAAACTGACTTAATATATTATTTCTTCTCTCCTGCTCTGCTTGACATAATCTATCACTCGTTTTGTTGATATATTTTCTTCTACCAACCAATAACATAAATAAATAATGGCGCTTTGGGGTTAATATTAAAAAAAATATTTTTTTTATGATTTTATTTTTTAAAATTTAATTAATTAGAACAAGGAAATAGTAGTGGTTTTCAACAACGAAAAGTTACAAATGAAAATGACCCTAACAATGGTCAAGTTTGTATTTAATTCCGAGAAAATATTTTTTAAAATAATCAAATTATTTCAATTTTAGCGTACAACAATCAAAGGTGTCTTAACATGTACAATAGCAACAATTCTTAATGCAAAATATTCTGAATCAGATAATTGTTTTAATAATAAACATTTCAAATTTAATACAGTTATGATTATGGGTTTAATTCATGATACAAATCATGAAGTTAGTGGAAGTTTAGCTACATATAATATTGAAGATCATTCAGGTGGTTTACTTGAAATCAAATGGTGGCATGATGTAATATTAAAATCAATTGACAAAAAAAAGAAATGAAAACTTTATTTTCTTTTTTCTAGGATTCTAATCAATCATTAAAACCATTTACTTATATTAAAGTTGTTGGTCAAGTTAAAATATTTTCTGGTAAAACCCATGTTGTTGCACATCATATTAGTAAAATGCAAACATTAAATGAATTAATTGCTCATTCACTTGAATGTATACACGCTAGTATGTTTATTCGTAAACAAGAACAAATGATAAATGGAACAAATAATAATATTCAAAAGACATCAACAACAACAACAACAATATCAAATGGATTTACACCAATACAAAATGCAGTTCTTCAATTTTTGAAACCTGTTACATCAATGACAGGTTGTAGTGTAACAGAAATATGTAAACAATTAAAACAATTTACTGAATTTCAAGTGAAGTAAGTTAGAATTTAATTTAAGTATCTTTTTTTTTCTACGAAATTATTTAGACAAGCTTTAGAATTTCTTACTGGAGAAGGTCATATTTACTCGACAACTGACGATGATCATTTTCGTGCTGCAAACAATTAATTAATAAAGCTTGTTTTTGTTGTCAGATATATTATCTTATTGTTATGAATTAAATATGTGTTATATAAATATTATTTGAAAGAATTAATTATGATATTCGTTTATTTTCTTTAGATATAAGAATTCTTTTTGTTAATAATAATGGATCTTGATCCAATGATATCGAGTACACAAGAAGATTATTCGTATTCTGATTATGATAATCGTCCTATTCGACCAATGAATCAAGAAGCACTTAATGAAACACTTGCAAGATTACCTATTCTTATTGATGAAGAAGATTATAATAATCGAACAAATGGAAGTTCAGAATCGAATACAAGGTATATTTATTTTAGTTTTTCATTGATTGCATCATCTTTATTTTTGTTTAGTATAAAAACTCGACTGATAAATCGTCGACAACCAGCCCTTGCATATTCAACAAGACGAAAAATTCTTCCAACAACAGCTTCTAATGTTAATAATCCTAGTATTAATCAATCAATATTACATATTAATACAACAATTGGAACACCGAAAAGTAATAAAAGAAAATTAGGTGGTTGTACACCAGCAATTACACCATCAGCAAATAAAGTTATTAAACGTAAACTATTGTTTTATTTTTGTAAATAATCTAATTGAACCTTTTGTTTTTTTTGTTAGAACTTGATTGTCGACAAGAATTAATCCAATTAAAAGAAGAAAATAAACTTTTAGAAGAAGTAAAATTTTTATCAAAAATTTTAATTCCTATATTTATTCGATTATTTTTAGGCTAAAACAAATTTACAACTTGAATGTGTTCTTTTAAAAAATGTAATTATCCAAGAAAAAAAAAAGATTATATGTTTTTTTTATATATATAATTCGATTATATATAGGAGATAGAGAAAATGTTCTTTTAACCAGTTGATTAACGTCTGGAATATAGAACAACTTTTTTTCCTTCGTATGATGAGATAATCATGATTAGAAAATGTTATCAGAAATAGAAGGAAACATTTCAAATGTTCTATATGTCTAATAGAAGGTCATACGATTTTCTTATATAATATTATCGATTGAGCTAATAAGCAATAAGACATGATTTTTTGATGGTTTTTTTTTCATTAGTCCCATGAAACAGAACTGGAAAATGTCAAACAAGATTATCAACAAATTATTGATGCACTTGTTCAAGGTATAAAATAAAAAGACTTTTATTTCTTAATATTTACTATGAATATACTTGATTTAGAACATAAATTACAAAAAGAACAATTCGAAACATCTCTTAATGATAAAGAACAGTTATTGACTAAAACTGTAATTAATAAATTTTGTTTATCTTTAATTATTATATATATATGTTTGATAATTAGAATCTTGAACTTGATAATCTTCGAAATGATCATACATTATTATTACTTGAAAAAGAAACACTTGATAAAGTAATTTATCATCAATATATTATATGTAAATTTATATTTTTTTTCTTTGATCTATAGATTATTGCAGAATATCAATTATATAAAGAAGAAATGACTGTAAAATTCAATGAACATGAATTAACAATTAAAAATCTTCGAGATGAAATTGAGAAACTCACAAAAATTCAAGAACAACAAAAACAACAAGTAAAAATTAAATTTTAATTAAAGTTTTTTTTTTAATTTTTTTTAATAATTAGAAACAATCTTCAAATAAATCTACATTAGCGAATGGTCGAATGCAATTAAAAGGAACATCAAGTAACATTTCCTCATATTAATTAATTTCAAAATTTAATTTTTTTGTTGTCAAATAGCTGATCGACCAAGAACAGCTGGTAGTACAGTTCCAACAAATACAAAAACTGAATCAATTAAATCAAAGTATAGAAGAAAAAAATGTTTTCATTTTAATCTTACTCAAATCATTTTTTAGAGCTAACACTAAAGCTTCAATTACACGAGGAACAGTATGTAGATTTTACCAAATTTGAATTTTTTATTCATATTTTGTTAACTAGAAAAAAGATGAATTGATTACAACTCCATCCTCATCAGTTAATACAAGTTTAAATAAGTAAAACTGAACTATAATTTTTTTTTCTCGTTTTCTATTTGAATATAAAATTTAGATCAAATTCTTCGTCATCTTCGTCATCGAACACACTGAAACCATCATTATCGAAATCAAAAACTAAAACAAGTATTCTGATTGAGGAAAAAAAGAAATCTGTATCATCTCTACCATGTATTGATAAACGTCCAAGTCTTATATCAACACGCACACGATCAAAAATAATTCCTACAAAATCTTAATTTTTTGTCCTTTATTTAATTAAATCTAGTCTTGTCTTTTTCATTAAGTATAGAAAATCATAAGTCAATGTTGTATATGTCTTGTGTCAGATATTTTTCAATTTTTTTTCTTTTTCAAATCTTGTATGTTCAGATCTAGTGCTTCCTATTATGTTTTATTCCTACTTGTATAAGATAGACATGTGTTTTTTTTCTCCTCTGTACAATTTATATGTGTATATGTTATCTTTTGTTGTTGTTGTTCGTCAAATTGAGTATTACTATATGTGTATATGAAAAGAAGTTTTTAATTTATATGAAAAAGAATTTTTTTTTGTTGTCAATTTATATAATTTTCTCACTTTTGTCAATTTTCATTTCCTTTTTTTCTTCTTTTTTCTTTGACGAATAGAACAGAGTGAGAGATGCTATGAAATAGATGTATGAAAAAATAAATTTATTATCATGTGACATGCAATGATATATAAACTATATATTCGATGTTTTGAAACTTTGAATTCTAATTTAAATATGTCAGAAACATACTGAACCTTTTATGACCGACTGTTCTTTCTAAATTGGTTTGTGAGTCTTTTATCGATCGGCATTAATACCATTGGAATACTGCCTCCATGTATAAATAAACTCTCTAATTATTACAAATAAATAGAATATGTATAAGAGTGCTATCATTAGATTTGATGGCACACTTTATAACATATAAACACATTTAATTGAGGATGTGGGCGTGAATATGACTATCGTTTTTATTATTCTCCACCCACACACTCTTACCCTCAAGATGTGATAAGAGTATAATATAGATAGAATTCGTTTCCGTTAAAAAAACAATAAATTCATATCGCTAAGACTAAACTTCCCTTCCAACGGGTATTGCATACCTCATGAAGAAAAATAAACTAATTTAACACCTCTAGTATGAGCATATGGAGGGTTCATAATCTCTATTCTTTTGATCAGCTCCTTCCTGTGGTTAAATAAAAGTGTCTCTCGATCGTTCAAGGTTAAGAGAAATTTCTATGTAATCTCGTAATTATCGTTCTTTGATATACCATTAATACTTTTCATTCATTCTTTTTGAATCATAACGACATAAATAAAAAAAATGTTTATTCCATAGAGTTCAACTTAAACTTTAATTTTTTTATAATAGATGCAGAATTGATTTAATGAGCCATACTTAATCAATATACGATTGAATTTTGTCAAGTATTAGTATCAGATATCTCATATATAAATGAATACGTTATGTAAATACTTATGAAATGATTATCATTGAATTCCAATATAGTTTTACATAATTCACATAAAATTAACTTAAAAATGACGATCAAACGGAATATAAATATCTTAATTGTTTTATTATATTTTCATTATTATTGTATTTTATTTTTATAATAATTCCCGTTTACTATAATCGCACCTAGAAAATCCTGGGAATTTTAGTTGCGCATTTTTTCTCAAAGAATACGTCAGATATTGATTAGTTAAAACATTCATATAGTTCAAGGTGCTCATTATAAAACTAAATACGACGTAAAAGATTTTTTTTATACGTCACTCAATTAGCATGAACGGGTAAAAGCTCCTTTTGTTTTATTACTTAGTCTTTCAGTTATTAAATAAAATGAGTCTTATAGGTTTTTTTTTTGTTTTTCGCAAAAGACCAAAATGTATATTTCTGAAAACAAAAAGAAAAATAGATCCAGGAAACGAGAAAGAACATTTCTATTAAAGCTCTTTCGAATAATGATTAAACCAAAGAGTAATTAATTATATAATTGACAAGACAAGAAGCAAACGCACACACAAATTTTAATAAAAAGAGAAAGAGAGACGATAAGGAATAATAATTTCTGCCTGTTTTTTTTGGTAAGCTTAAATTCTTTTGTTTTTACTGTTAAATGAGCAATTAGAATTGTACAGTATAATTTTTAATATTAAGCTGTAACTTGTTGTTGATAGTTTGCGATAGCTGCTTCTTGTTGTGAATGATAAAATTTATGACCAGTTGCTTCTTGATGATGAAGAACCATATTACTTCTTGGTGAACTAAATTTAAAAAATATATGTATATATATATATATGAATAAATCAATAGAAAATTATACTCAAGAAGTGCAGCTGGGCATGGTTCGACCTCTTTGTGTGTATATTCTGTTCTGTACATAGTCGCATCATCAAAAGGTGCTGATGATTGATAAGCAACACCACTTGGTTTAAAGGATGGTTGTGGACCACCAGGATGAGGAATATAATGACCTTAAGAAAATAGAGTTATTTATTGAAATATAATTCGAATAGTATACCTTTATATGTTGACATTCCTTCAAAAGGTGCATTTGGTGGTGCATAACCAGATTGTGCTCGTATAGCTGCTGTTCGTTCACCAGGCCATTTACGAAAATCACCACCATAAGTTGTACCTGCATCAAATTTGGCATCATTTGCACGTCGTTCAACCGGTCTAATAGCTTGGACTTTAGCCAATGGTTTTGGTGTAAATTCTGAATTATACATTGTATTTAAATCCATATCACCTGGTTTTTGTCGATATTCATCTGGTTTATGTGTCTGAATTGGTTGAACTTCCCATCGTTTAAAATCAGTTTTATTTGTTGTTGAATCTTCAAAACGAGCATTTGATTGATAACCTTGTTGATCTGGTTTCATTGAACGTGTTCGATCGGCTAAAAATAAAAGAAATTCAATTGATTTATTTTTGATTTCATTGAAATTCTAACCTTGTTTTGGTGTAAAATCTTTTTTATTTGTTGTTAATGAATCTAAACTTGCTTTATTTGGTGCATATTCTTCTCTAACACGTTGAAAACGTTCCTGTTGAGGATGACGAACATAATCTGCTCGATAACCAGTACGATCATCGAATGGTTCTTGCGATTGCATTGGAGCATTATCAGGTCGTATAGCTTGACGTGCAGCTCCTTGATGTTTTAAATAATCTGTTGAATACGTACTTTCACCTTTAAATGGATCTGCTGATGCAATCTTTATAAAAAAAAGAAAAAAAATGAGTTGAATTATATAAAAAATAGATTAAACAAACATACATATCCACCATCATGTCGAATTGCTTCAGTTCGAGCAGGTTCCCATTTACGATAATCAGCTGATAAATAAATAAGTATGGATATATGATATGATTTAATAAGAGAAAATAACATACCTTTATATGTTGGATCACCTTCAAATGGAGCTGAAACGACTTTTTGTGATTCATGTTTAATTAATTTTGCTCGCTCACCACCTTTAGCTATAATCAATAGATTGAAATAATTAGTATAAAAGAATCGAAATCATTGATTTTATTTACGTGTATATTCCTTATTATAACTTGTTAAAGCATCAAAATCACCACGTTTTACATAAACTTCTTCAGGCTTATATGAACGTGCTTTATCAACTGGATGTTTGATATAATCATGTCTAAAAAATCAATTAGAAGTTATTATTTTCCTTTTTCTTCCTCTAATTTTAATTTACTTATGTGTTGTTTCATCATCCAAAGGTGCAGTATTTGTTTGTACTGTATAATCAGGTTTAAATGATTCTCGTATACCACCACCTTCACGTGGAACGAATTCTGATTTATATTCAGTTACAGCACATGGTTGATCACTTTTACCAACAATACCATATGGACGATGTGGGCAACGATGTTTACTATATATAGAAATTCATATGATATAATACTTATGACTTTTATTGTAATTGAGAAACAAGACTTAAAAAGAAGCGACAGGAAAAAAGGACTAATTAAAAAAATAAAAAAAACATGGGTTTCTATTCATCAAAAAAGAAAAGGAAGATACTATTAATAAAAAAATGTTAATTCCGGCTCAAGTAGGTAGATGAAACTATTAACTAATAGTAAAACTATAAGGGTGAATGAATAATATGTCATTTCCTCTATCAATATCATATTGAAGAAAAAAACTACGTAGTTTTGTTTTTTTCCTTAATGCGTCGTTGAATAAAAGAAAATTTGAGTGAACACATCAAACAGATTATATTTATTCTTAATATCCATGACAACATAGAGATGTTTGAATTAAAACAAAATACATACCCGCATGTACAAAGTTGACAGATACATTGTTTTGTCATTATTCTTGATTATGAAGGATAATAAGAAAAAAAAAATAAGATTTCAAATAGAAAATTGATAATAATTGTAATAATACAAGCAGTGATATTCGCTCTTTCCCTTCACTAATCAATCAATACACATCTGAAAAAGAAAGGAATTGATGAGATAAACTGAACATCAAGAAAATATATGCTGGTTGTATGTGTTTGCATATTTAGGTTTGACTGGGTGTTTGTATGTGTATACAATATTTTTTGTTACGACGACAACGACGACGACAGGAAGGTAAATGATAAGAGGATTTTAATTTCTCTTATGTTGTATGCTACAACTGGTAACTGAAACAGTCACAGAACTTTTTGTTGCATAGCAATGGACATTAAAATGTTTACTTTATATACGAAAAAAAAAATGAATAAAATACGATTTTAATAAAAATTAATCTTAGAATAATCCATTGAGTTATTAGAACTTACTCAAAATATTTATTCTAAAGATATAATAGTTCTATTTTAAATCAGTGATACCAATTGCTCATGTACGCCATCTGTAATGAATATCGAAGAGTATACTAGAATTGATCTCATATATTTTGTAAGTTAAAGTGAGTTGATATAGAACAATGATGAGAAATAATACGTGTAATTTTATTGATTCTAATCAAATCAGTGATATATTTCAGTTTTATGTAATTATTTATTCAATTTTACACGGCATCTAGTTAAAAGATTTTCATTGGATAATTTCTTTTTATTTTCATATTACTGACTGTTGTTCCACGATTAGATCTTCATCGATTGATTTATTTATTAGAACAGTAAATTAAATCAAATATGGCTAATCGATGGAAATATATGGGACATGAAATTGGGGTTTGTTGTTTTTTTTTCTTCTTCATTTATTGCTGATAATACATTTAATAATATTATAGGGTTGGGTTGCAACAAATCCTGAACCTGTCCAAAAACTTGTTTATCAACTTGATAAATATAAATGGACTGGTAATGGACAATATGCACGTTTACCTCAACATTATAAACAACGTGCTATTGAACATCTATATGGAGATAAAGAAGATGTACACGAGGTACGAGATAGACGAAAATTTATTGTTAATCATGAGACTGGTGTTTGGTATGTATTTAATATTATTATAAAATAAGAAATATATATTTCTGTTTACGTTCAGGACTCGTACAAAACATGTACCTGTCACTGTTGTACCAACAGTACAAGCTGATAAAGGTTTATGGGGTGGTGAAGGTGTATTAATTGGTTATGAAGATCGTGTAGTTGTTAATGATTATCAGTAAGATGAAATATTTTTTTGGATTTATTTCATTTTATATTTGATTATTATTTTAGTCGATGTTTGATTTCAGTGCCTAAATTAATGAAATTAGTTTTCTATAGTGAAATTCTTGATCAACATTATGCTATTTGTGTTACACGACGTACAGTTACAAAAATTGAAGAAGCTACAACATTGGATCATTATATTCTTAAAGTATAAATTTATTATAATAAAAATAAAATCGTATTCATTAAGAATATTTGTTTTTATCTAGACTCCTCTTCAAGATCTTAATTCAAAATTTGGTTTTGATCTTCGTCGACAAATGTTACATAAATTAATTAATAATGGTGAAGAGCTTTGGTCAAATGATTCACAGAAAAAATCAATTATCTATGACAGATATAAACAATATCAAGTACCTGTAAGTATTATTTGACAATAGCTTGTTTTTTTGTTATTTTTTATTTTAATATTTAGAAAGAAGAAATTGATTGGATTGGTTTATTACCTGATGAAGCATTAGAAAAATTAGAAAGAGAAGATGATGAAAAATATGAACAATCAGTTCGTCCATGGAAAGAATTATTTCGTGAGTCATTAATTACAGAACTTTCTCGACGACAACGAAATAATGAACCAATTGATATAACACCAATTTCATCAAAACCGTATGTTATATATATATAGTTTTTTTCTTCTACTGTTTATTATCATTCATTTTTTTCTTCTTTTATTTCTAGAAAACCAACAACCTTAAAAGACAAAGTTATTAATAAACTATGGGGATCCTAATATATGAACTTATTTTTGTTATTTTCTTTGCATATCCGTATGCTTGTAGCATTTGTTTGTTTTTTAAATAAAAATGATACACAGATGATCATTTACAATTAGTTATTTTGTAGTAATAGTCATGTGAGCAAAATAGGACATTTATCGCCTTCCTTTGATGTTAATTTTTTAGAAAGGATGTTCCTACTGAATAAATTCCTCTGACATAGACATATATAAAAATGTTGACATTTTCATCTACTTCTTAGTTAAAATAAATTAATTAATGAATATCGGTCGGATCATATGAGGAAAAACATGTAAAGGTTTGACAATAGACTCTAGAGTCCGAGTTACATCTATGATCAAATATTCAGCAAGATCCGATTACAAAAAATTTTCTCATAAAAATGCGTCCTCGAGAGATTCCGTCAAGGTCTAAAGCAAAACTGTCTATCTTATCATTACATCTAGGTCTTGAGGAAGGATTCATATCTTTTCGAATTTTTCTCATACAGTTACAAGAGCAGTTTTCCTTCTGAAAGAATCCTTATAAGATCCGAAAATACTTTGAATTGTCTTTAGACTGTACTATTTAGTTGCCAAAAATACTGTCCTTAATCACGAGTTTTTTTAAACTAAACTGCAAAAAGTGAAAATCGGTATCATTTTTTAAGTCACATCGTTAACAAATGTTTTTGCCTATATGATCTCTGCATCAAAGATTCTGAAATAATTTATTGTTAAATATACTAATAATGTCAACTAGGCGTCATATTTTATTGAAAATGCTTGAAAAGACAATAAGTACATTAGTTCGATCACTTGTACGTATACCAAATTGTTGTCCATTACACTATAATGAAGAAATAAAGCTGCAGGCAAAAATTATATTTTTTTCGATATAGACATGATTATAACATTTAGTCTTGATGGAATCTAAATATGTTTGAACGATGACTTTTTGAAAACTTGGAATCAGTTATACTACTTTTATCATCAAAAAATGAAAATATGAATTATTCTGATCAACACACATATTCATTAAAATGAACGAATATAAACTATACAATTATAAATTCAATAGATAACTGATATTGATCAATTAAATATAAGATATAATTAATTTAATTGTGTATAAAATTTTCTGACTTTATTTAAACAATATACAATGAGTGTAAGTTAAGTTTAGAGTATACTATAGTATGATGAACAATTCTATTGTTCTAATAAATCTATAGGACGATCGTTAAACACGTTGTTCAGCGACAACGACAAACAAAAGAGATTTAGTGCTTTATCTCATCTAGTTTATTTAGTTGTATTAATATCTATCAACAATCATTTTATAATTTCGTCTATCTGTCTGTCTCTGACTCATATGAATAGGAGAAAGAGAAAAGAGATTCATATAGTTTATATGCCGGTCAAGCTTTCCTTCTCTTTTTTCTCCCTCTCTTCTTTCTCGCTCACATACACATTCATTTGCTTTGTCTTGTCCATTTGGCTTATGTCCAATTATTTGTACTAGCGTAGCTAAGTTAAACGAAAGAATAATATAAATATTAAATATGACGCCTTGCTTTTACTTTTTTTCATTATCATCATTATTTTCAACTAGTCATATACGTTCATTTTGTGTTAGTTTTCTATTACTTTCCATCGTATTAACATTTATCAATTTTTTAACAACAACAACATCAATTAATAAATTGACTACGAATGAATATAAAACCGAATTAAATCTTTCAACTACAACAATTTCTCTCCCAATTTTATTATTAGATTCCAAAGATGTTTATCACAATCGATTTAATTGTTATGAACGAACTAATCGTCAACGATTATATAGAAAAAAGACAAATAAAACAAGATCAAATATTACAATGGAACTTAATCAACCAAATATAACATTATTTGAACGTAATACAATACCTTATGATTATGATATTTGGCAATCTGCTCCAACAATGCCACGATTAGTTTCTAAATGTGAACATAATCTAATGATGCAATTATTAAAACGTTTTGATCAATTAACAAAAAAATATTCACTTGAATATATGATTATTGATGGAACATTATTAGGTAATTCAAAAATAATTCCATATATTAATTTAATTCTTATTCTTATTAATTAAAATAGGTTCATGGCGACATCATGATCTTATACCATGGGATGATGATATTGATTTAATGATGTCCGTTCGACTTAAACATCTTCTTATTATAGCTATTGAATCTGAATCTCCATCATCACCTTATTATATTGAATTTCATCGTCGTTGGGATGCACCGAAAGCATTTGAATATTATAAATTTTATTTTTCAACATCTCCACATTTTAGTGAGCATCCATGGCGTTATCCATTTGTTGATTTAATTTTTTATCATGAAAATGAAACACATATATGGCAAGAAAATATGCAACATGTAGCAACTATATCAAAACAAAGTATTTTTCCTTTACAACTTCGACCATTTGGTTCATTATGGTTACCATCACCTCGATCACCACATGATTATTTTCTTAGTGTTAGTTGGACAACATATGATGATGAATGTTATAATGGACCTTGGTCACATAAATATGAAAGAACAAAAGATATGGATTATGGTTATGAATCAAAATCTATAATGAATTGTTATGAATTAAAAGAATTCTATCCATTTGTTGAACGATCATTAATTAATCAAGAAGAACGATTAGTTATTAATGGTACAGTAAAACAAATTATTCGAATGATTAACGACAAATAAAACATAATCAGTATTTTTTTTCTTCTTTAAATTATGTCAGATCTTTTTCAAAATGTGTAATAAACGATAAATGTTAGTAAACTATAATAATCAAAACGATAATTGGTCTTTATATAATAAATCGGATTATATACAAAATTTTCTTTTATTAATCAAATATGTTAATTATGCATATCTTTGAAAATTCAATTTTTAGTATCTGGTGTCGAAATATTTGAAGAAAACTTTTTATTAAATTGTTAAATAAATCATTTTTTTAGAAAATAATATAATAGCAAGATTTATTTTATTTTATGATTCTGTTTTTATTGTAAATTTATAAACAATTTTGATTAAGAATGAAATCGGTATTCACAAATTCAGTTTCTGATTAAAATTATAATGAACGTAGAATTATAAGTCAAATCAATCTTACTTATGTCTTGAGAGTGTGGATATGGATAGTTTATCCATTCCACATTCACCCACAACCTCACCCTCAAGATGGTTGACCAACTTCATTTTATCTGTAATCCATGTTATTGACAATGCTGATTTAAATCATTGTACTGATAGCAGATTAAATTAAGAATATGTAAATGATCGCCAAACACTCTGCAAGAAAGTATTAAGAATGATATTTTCGTATAGACGACCACGTTATTAAGTAAATGACGAGAATAACATACGTTTATTACCGAAAAAACAATATAATTTTTTTTGTTTCTGTCAGCTGTTTTTATTGATAAATCTAATCATTCATAATAATTCAGAGCTTTTTTCGATTTCTTTCATTTATACCGAGTTAACATAAGACTGTAAACGAATCTGTTGTTAGCATTACCTATATCCTTGTATATCGTCCAGTATTTTTTACACACACTATAATACTCTATGTCTCGATTTATTTATTTAACGACACGTGCTAAGTATAATACACTCGATAAACTAAAATCAAGTAGAGAAAGTAAAAGAATATAGCTCTCAGCTGTCGTTGTTTAAGAGGAAAAAAATGGGATGGGCAACTGCGAACGAAAACAAAATGCAGCCATGCATAAAACTATAATGAAAAATCTACTACTGTATACTCTCCTCGGTAGACAAATACGCCTTTTCGTTATCTACTTGTTTCTTGCTGAACTTTAACTTATTATTACAGACAATTTCCAAAACAAGATTTTTTCGATGTACACTTGATTATTTATTCAATTTTTTGGCTAACTTTTGGATAAAACATTCGATCAGATCCTAAGCAACTGAAATTTACTGCTATCGTTCAGGTCTTTTTAAATCAATAAAAGAAGTCGGGAACAACTAGGTGAATAATAATGCTGATAAACTTGTGTTTATTAAGTATATTTTTCTCCAGACATCCACAAATTGTTAATACAAAATAATTGCTTACAGACGGTATTTCCAATAAGAATAGATTTTTTTGAGATGTCAAACAGTTTCCTTTTTTAGTAATCATTTTTTTACATTTCTAAGTAGAGAAATTTTTGGTGCATCGAGTGATGCCAAAATCATTCAGTTATTTCGAAAAATAATCAAATAATTAGCGGTATTTTCAGAGTAATTGAATTTCTTTTTCTCATGTCTTCAAAATCGCCTCGATTTGAACGATTAATACAGAAGAGTGTCTGTTTGAAATCGAATTTGAATTTCAATCATATCGAGCTAAATGTCAGTCTAAGCCTAAGTTTAGGTTTATTATTACAGTGATATATCTGTTTTAATTCAAATTATGATTGCCGTTATTTTAGAATTGAAAATGGTCAACTCATGTTAACTTCTTCATTAAGAGAAAAACAAACGTTTCAGCCCAAGAAGGTGACTACGAAACCACTTCCAATCATGTCACACACTTTCAAATGTCTCTGGCGCTATCTAATTGTACCACCGTTGATCAAACACGCGAAACAACTTGAACAACCCAACAAGGAAATTGATTATAATGCTGCTGGTTACGAATTCTTTCATCGTCTTTTTGCTGAATTTATGGGTACGCTCCTTCTAGTTGTCGGCCATGGTAGTAATCGCCTCGAAGGAAAACGCGGCCTGATTCCAGAGGCTGCTGGCGCCTTTAGCAACGGTCTCGTCAATGTATTTCTCATCTATTCACTTGCTGGTATTAGCGGAGCACACTTTAATCCAGTCGTCACATTGGCATTCACCTGTCGTCTCGTTTTTCCATTTTTGTGGGTACCGTTTTACTTCTTGGCACAATTCTGTGGCTCACTTATTGCAGGACTTCTATTGAAGGGACTTTTTGGAGATGAATATGCCTTGTTGGCGACGAATACTATTGATCCAACTAATGTTACTGTGCTCGGCGGGTTTGGATGGGAAATCTTTCTCACATTCTGTCTTCTCTTCGTCATTCTACAGACGGCCACAAAAGCACAACTTATCGGCAGTGAAGCTGCGCTGGCCGTGGGTGCTGTTATTGCATTTGACTGTCTTGTTGGTGGATCAACGTCAACTGCATCGATGAACCCCTTCAGAACACTAGGACCAGCTTTGATCAATTCAAGTACAGACAATAATGCGAGTCTGTGGATCTATATTGTTGGGCCTTTAATAGGTGCACTGATTGCTGTACTAGTAGTCAGTCTCTTACAAGGTTTTACACCAAAGACAAAGGAGGAACTGATGGGAGCACATGGCGAAGAACATAATAAAAGTAACAATCAGGGTTAGAAAACTACACTATGAATCAAAGTTTGCATGACTTGTCTGATTAAAAATATAATTTGCTTAATGTAAAACAAAGGTTGAATGAATAGAATTTTTACATTTATTCAAAGATATTTTTATATATAGGTAATTTTCAAAAGGTACAAGAACAACGTTTCTTCTTGAACCAAGGAAAAGAAAGGTAAACTAAACTGGCATTCTTGATTCATTTTATAGAATGCAGGAAACCAATCGAATAATCTAATAAAGAGAAAGAAACTAAACAAACTATATCGGCTTACTTGATGAAGTGCATAATAACTACCCGAATCCTTGAATGCAGGAAAAAAATAAATAGATTTAGTCTTTCTGTTTTTCTTCGCAAAATGTGCGACAACTGTAAGAATAAGTGAATGAAAAAAAAAGTAAACCTTGTGATACTCCTCCTCATTCCTAAATTTCATTGATTGTGCATGCATATAGAGTTATTCTTTATTTGCCATCACTTTTCTTTCTTTTTCTTGTACAACGATTAAGTATCTTTAACCAATATATTGTATGTAACACCCTAGATTTGTATGTTTTTTTAATTTTCCAATTTGTAAATCAATTAATTATAGAAAATTAAAAACCAAATGTACATAGTCAATTCCAACGTATATAGTATTATAATCTTCGTTAGTTGAAGTTGATCTAAATTTCTATCAAACTTCTTCAACATATGAAGTATGCGTATGTATCACTCAATGGCATCAAGTAACTCTGAAACTCTTGTTTTTTAAATTACTTGTTATGCGTATAAGCAAATTCATCAGTATTTTTAATCTACAAGACTTAATATAATCTCATTATTAGTAAATGATCAATTTCATTAACATATTTAAAAAAAATACTAGATCATCAAGATTTCAATTAAAGATAATATTTTGATTACTGATTATAGCTAATAAATGTATGAATTCTATCAATGAATTACACTATGTAGCCATTCATCGAAAAAATACAGAATTTATTAGGGTCTTTTATTTACTTATTTTATGAAATATTATTTATACCTTAGTCAAATAGTCTCTTGTGATTTGATTCAATTCTTTTTTACTTCAACGTATTATTAATCACATTTTTATATTATTTTCATCAACATTAAAATGCATATATATTCAACTAATAACATATATAGTGAAAAATTTTTAAATTAATTTTTCTAACGCGACAGTAGAGAGACATATTGGCTCATGATAATAAATATAATAAATAACAAAACATGCAATCATACTTATTATATATGATTCCCCTGAAGACCACAGTATGACTCGTTTAAAAACAATGGTCTACCGTTCTCTTATTGATTGTTGTTTTCTATATTCTATGTAACGAACATTCACAATTTTTTCCCTGTGGTTTTTTTTGTTCTTTTGAAATCTAGTAATTAATTTCATAGTTTAAATTTACAAAATCATGGAAGAAAAGAAACCATTGTAAGTAAATCATATATTAATTTTTCAAACAATAATTTATTTCTATTTTGTAATATTTCAGAGTACAAATAGTTCGATTTTCATCGATCTTAACTGCTGATAAATTATCAAGTTGTGTAAAATATAATAATCTTGAAACATATTCTATTCTTTGGTTAGATCCTGTAGTTAATGATGCAAAAGAATATATTGAAGCTCAACAACGACTTCGTACATCTATTAATTATATAAGAACATTTAAAAATATTGACAATTGTGAACAATATATACAAACAGTACCTGAACAAGATAGAGTATTTTTAATTATTAATAATCAATTTGGTCAAGAATTAATACCACAAATTCATCAATATCAACAAGTTTTTGCTATTTATATTTATATTAATGATGATAAACGAAATACGCAATGGACTAAAGAATTTAAAAAGGTAAATAAAATAATCCATTCGAAGATTTCAGAATTTTATCAAATTAAAAATAGCCGAGACTATGTAAGGGTATCCCTCTCTTCGCTTTTCACGATTTTTAAAGATGGTATATCCAGTCGGATTGAAATCGTTTTTCGGAACATCTACAACTATATCTCGGAACTCACTAAATTCAAATAGACACATCAAAAATGAAAAAGTCAAAGGGAAAACTTAATGTAACACCGGTTAGCACTTTACGAGAAAAATAAGCTTAAGAAATGTGTCGTTACAAACCAAGGTTGAATGTTCGTTTTTTAACAATTTTATCGATAGATTCACTATACTGTTGTAAAAGAATTTTTGTATTTTGTATTGTTTTAGATTAAATCTGTGAGTACACAATTAGATTCCCTTGTTGGTCGAATAAAATCTGATCGAACACGACGAAGTCAAAATAAAATTGATGAACCGTTATCAATAAATATATTTGATGTTAATGTTAGTTATAAATCTAATGAACAATTTATTCGTTCACATTTATTAATCGATTGTTTACTTCGAATAAAAGAAAATTCAACCGATATGGAAAATTTTATTACTTTATGTGAAGAAGAATATAAAGACAATAAAGCTGAATTAGATCAAATACATGAATTTCAACAAAATTATTCTTCTAATCGAGCTTTACGATGGTATACAAAACAAATATTTCTTTTTCGAATGTTAAATAAAGCTTTACGTATACAAAATCTTGATGTATTATTTCTATTTCGTTTCTTTATTGATGATATTCAACAACAACTTATTAAAAATCAATATTCACAACAAATTCAACTTTATCGTGTTCAATTAATATCAAATAATGAATTAGAAATATTAAAAAAAGCTACTGGTGGTTTTATTATGACAAATACATTTCTATCAACAACTTTGAATCGTGAAGCATCATTTGAATTTTTTAATAATATGGAAAGTTCAGATGAAATTAATATGCATCGAGTATTATTTGAAATTGATGCTAATCCTCGTATTGATGGTGTTAAACCATTTGCTAATATTATTTGGTTAAGTCATTGTTTTGGTCAACAAGAAGTCTTATTGATGGTTGGTTCAATTTTTCGAATTATTAATATTGAACATAATGATAATGAAATCTGTACTATTCGTTTAGTTTTATCAAGTGAAAATGATCAAGATTTAAAAAATTCATTTGAACATCTTAAAAAAGAATATAATGATAAAGAAATGGATCTTTTTTCATTTGGTCATGTTTTATATGATATGGGAAATTTTGATAGTGCAAAAAAATTTTATCTTCGTTTTCTTGATAATATTCCACCTGATCATCAAGATTTAGCTAATTGTTATAATACACTTGGAGAAATTGCAGTGGAAAAAGGTGATTGTAATTTAAGTCTTGAATGGTTTGAAAAATTAAATGAATTATTAATACGTACATTAAATCCGAATGATCCTCGTCTTGCAGATAGTCATACAATTATTGGTGATATTTATTGGAAAAAAAATGATCTTAAACATGCACTTGAATCTTATAATAAAGGATTAGCTATTTATAAACGAGCATGTGATGAAAATCATTTTACAATAGCAGTAACATCAGAAAAAATTGGAGCGATTTATGAAAAACAAAAAAAATATTTTCAAGCACTTAATTATTATGAAAAAACATTAGCTATACGTCAAAAAACTCTTCCATCTGATGATCTTCTTCTAGGAGCAACACATAGTAAAGTTGCTAATATTCGATTATCACTTTGTCATTATTATTTAGCAATAGGACATTATAATATTGCACTCAAAATTAAATTAACTACTCTTCCACCTGATCATTTAGAAATTGCATCTGATTATCGTGGTATCGGACATATGTATAAAGGTACAGATAATGTAAATCAAGCATTGATATATTATGGAAAAGCATTAGAGATTTATCGTCAACATTTACCACCGAATCATCCAGATATTATTGAAATAGAACGAATTATTGTATCTCTTGCTGCACAAACTGAATAATATTGTATTGTCGCTTAAAATAAATTTCGAAATATTGTAATGGGAATGCTTTTCTTTTCATTATTATTGTACATCTCTCATAATATATTTTCTATGTATATTCATGTAATGTTACATAATAGTTATTCAATAATATCATCTATATTTCAAACTTTAAATAAATACATATTTTTTTCGAAACCGTGTTCACTATATCTACGTCTTTCTTTTTATACAGAAACTCAATTTGAGTAAGTCTGTGTTAAACTAAATCTATTGAATGCAAAAACTTAAACTTAAGCTGAACATCACTTTCGAATCTTCTTTCTAAATACTCATCATTTTATTCACCGAATAAAATTATCATTTATATAAAACAGTAGATAAAATAATAATCAATATGTACTATTCGTTTAATTTGTCTTGTTTTAATTCTACATCATCAGTAAAATAAAGTTTACTTGAAAACCCATTAAAAAAATCTTCATGACATAAAGAAAATTGAGATGGTGGTGGTGATGGCGATAGTGATGGTGATAATACTGGATGTTCTTCAATAGGTTCAAGCGAGATATTATTTGCATTACTTGCTCGACGTGCACGTCGAAGTCGATCTAATGCTGAACGCGTAATACGTCGTGTTAAATGATGAGCGAATTCTGCTTCATTAGCATTACTATCTTCATCGACAATTTCTGGTGATGGTCCCTAAAAAGAACATATTGATATTACAATAAATCAATAATTAAATTATTCATTCTATACTTTATTATCAGCTAAATGTGAATATTTCTTTAATATATCGAAACATGTTTGTAATTTGTCTGTTTCTGTTTTACACATTGTATCTTTTTCTTGCATTAATTGTTCAACAAATTGCATTGCATTTAAATGTTGATCAAGTTGAAGAAAAAGAAGTACAATTTCATCGGCTTGTAAATATCCAGTCGGGGCAGTTTTAACTATATCAACAGCAAATTTAACAGATGGATATTGATTAAATAATTGAATTATTGTATCTTTTATATTCGGATTGAAATCAATAATAGATATAAGATAATCCAAACAACGTTTTGATGATCCTAATAAAAAAATTTCATTTTCAACAAAAATATAATAATCAATTGATTCGATTACCTGCTTGTAAAAGACACGAAGCAACTTCATAATAAGCATTCAGTTTACGATAAATAAATTCAGCTAAGTCTAAAGCATTTAATCGTTCAACAATTTGTGCCATTTCAAAAGAACATGTTAATCTATAATAGATACCAAATTTATTTATTTATTCATATAAAAAAATTAAATTAACAAACCTATCTTCAGCTATCCATTTATAGAGAAGATTAAGTTGATTTTCATTACATGCTGCTTTTGTACATTCTAATGACATGATTAAATCAGGTTTAAATGGTGCTTCTAATGCTGTTTCAGCTAGCACTTTACAATGAAAAAGCCATGGACTTATATCTTCATTCGATGGTTGTTTAAGAGCTAAATTAATTCATATATATTATATTATATATATATATACATTCTATTTGATTTTTACCTTTAAATTTTAATAATGTTTCCATATTTCTTAATACACCTTTTGGACTACATGCTGCTACATACGATGCTTCTTTATAATTTCCACTTTCAATCATATTTATAAAAATTTCAATATGATCTACTAAAATGCTTGCTTCACGATTATATAATGATTCACTATTATATTCATCTTCATCATCTGGTTCACCTATGAATAATAAAATTTTCTTAAATTTCTTTTTCTTTTAAAAATATTTTATACTTTTTTGAAAAATATTCGTCGATTCATAAATTGCTTTTTTAATCAGATCTTCTAATAAAACCGAATTTATTGATATTTTCTTTTCTTTTGTACAATATGTTTTAATTATATTCCATACAAGATGATATAAACGAAGACGATTTCGTAATGTTAATCTTTGTTCACGTTCTTTATCTAATTGCGATAGAATTTCTTCAAATAATTCTTGTACTTCATTTCGTCTTTCTTTTGTTGTATAATTCTTAACAGAATTTTCTTCAAATTGAGAATATTTATTTCGAAGAAAATCATAATATTTTTCTAATGTTTTTAAATCTGTTTGTTCAGCAAATGTTAAACCTGGTATACGTCGACGGCCAGTTCGTAATTGTAAAGTATTATTATTCTCATTATTATTTTTCTCAATAAATGGTTTCATTAATTCTTCTTCGAATGTTTTCGTTTCATTTACTATTTCATTAATTTCTCCTTCGAGTTTTCGATTTTCTTTTTCTATAATTGCAAGTCTTTTGAGAAAATTTTATTAAATAGAAAATTTTTCTTTAACATACTTATCTTCTAATTCCATACATCGTTTTTGTTGAAGTAAAAATGTTTTTGGTTGTAAAACAAGTCGATGAAGATCATCAGACATTGTTTGGACTTCATCAGCGCCTGATTCAAGTACATTAATACATCGTTCATATTCTTGTTTAATAGCTCGAAATAATGGTCGATATAGAGACGATTTATTAATTACCTTTATTAAAGAATAGATAGATATGTATATAGAAATGATGACGAAAATTTACTTTTTCGAAAGCTAATCGAAAAACGGCAAATCGTTGTTTTGATGGATCATTACCAACTTTAGCTGATTCATCAGTCATATAACGATTTAATTCATTGAAAAAATAACGATCTCGTGATGTTAATGGAACATTATCATTTGTTTTTACATCAGACAGATCAATATTCATGATTTATTGATTATTATAGACGTACAAAAATGACAATCGTTCCGAAATTTTGCCATTTACGCCTTTTTTTCGAATGACGTTTCCAAGCAACAATTAACTTCAAAACTTCTGACTATTAATTATCTCATTAAACTTTTCCAAACAATAAATATTCATTTGAAACTATAGACATTTAATTATAAGTTAAACTTCAATAAATATTTAGTGACATCTATACAATTCAAATGATTGGAATGTAATTCTACCATGTGTTTAATGACATATGATTCATCTTGAAAAAACATAGTTATCGTCATCACGTAGTCTTCCATTGTATCATTAATACTTATTTTCTTTATTTAAAAAAAAAACTTCACCAACAATGTCTGGCTGGTGGAATTCAGCAAGTGCCAGTAATCTTACTCGTGGTTTAACTTCAATAACTGGACAATTATCAAATAATTTTAAAGATATTTTATCAGAAGCTAGTGAAGAAACTTATGATCCAGTAGCTGAATTAACTCGAGCTAAACAACAAATTGAAGATCTTGAATTACGAAAAGAAACATTATCTGAAGAAGTAATCATTAAAAACTAAATTATTAAATTTTATTTCAAATTTTATTGTTTAGTGTACATCATTAAAAAAGCAATGTGATGAACTTACGATGCAAAAACAAGCAGTAGAAATTAAATCGGATATGTTATTAGCTGAAAGTCGTCGAATTATCGATGAAAAAGATGTAAGTTTATTACTAAATATCATACATTATGACAAAAACCTTGATAACAGATCGTTTGTTATTTTTTAATATAGTGAAAGAAAAACAAGATTGTCGATATAACCTTGTTTGTGAGAATTTTTCTAAGTAGAATTTTAAATTCATCTCTATTTTTCTATGATCCAATAAAAGTTTTTTTCTCATATATCTCATTGTATATGAATAAAAAAACATTTTTATTTTATTGTAAACATACCTTTGGCATTGTTATGTAATGAAAGATGTCTTTCTATTATTTATTATATGATGAGATATTTCTCCTTAACAAAACGAAATACAAGGTTAAATTTTCAATTGCTACAACAACACTTAACAATAGCTTTGAGTGACAATAAAAGAGTTTCATATGAGCAATGAATAAAATAATTGTATTATCAACAAATAATAAAATTAGGAAAATAAAAGAAGAGTTATATATATTTTACCGTTTAAATACGTTAACTATTGAACACTTTCTCATATATATATATATATGTGAACAAAAAATGAATAGAATGTCCTTCTATAGACAAAACAATAACGAATTTTTTTGTCACGGAGTATTATGAAACAAATGAATATAAAATGATGAATATCTATATTTCACTGTACTGTTTCATATTTTATGAAATGAAACTAGTCGGGTTCTTCTTATCATTTTCTTCAATGTTTATGAAATTTTGTTATATGAGAGTTTCTCGTTTTAAAATAAGATTTCTTCCCGGTACTGAAATATTAAGTCATCGACCATACGAGGTAAATATCTTACCATAAGTTTATATAATATGAAATAAGTTTCCTTGTTTTTTTTTGTCTTATGATTAATTTATTTAGAATGAATTAAAACGTCTTCGAGAAAATACAAGTGCAATTACATGGAGTAATAATAATACTGATTTAAGTAATACTTGGACTGATATATTAGAAGGTTAGAGAAAAAATTTCAAATATTTTATTTTCTAATTATTTTTTGTTTTTTCTTTAGATGATCAACCTGAAATTAATGAATATCTCAGATATCAACGAACTATACGTGATTTAAAAGATGAAAATAGTCATTTACGTGATGAAATGGTTAATTTACGAAAATCATTAAAATCACAGCAATTAGAAAAAAATCAAGTATATTTATCGATTATTTATTTTTTAAATAAAAATATTTTTTTTTATTTAAATTTAGTCTCAACGAGAAAATGATATTCTTCAAATTGAACAAAAATATTCTGAACAATTATCAAAATGTCGTTCAGAATATGATGAACAGATTCATAAATTACAATCACGTATTCAAGAACTTGAACAACTAAATAAAAATTATCAAGGTTTGATTTTTTCTTGTAAAATCTTTTAATAGGAAAAATTCATTTGTTTTTTCAATAGAAGATGAAGCACGAAAATCAATGGAAGTACAAAAAGATGTGGTATGTTTTTAATATTCAATTAAATGAAATAAAATAGTTTTGTCGAATAGGATGACGTTGATAAAGATCTTCTTTCACATGAACTTGAACAAGCAAATCAAAAATTAAATTGGTTTAATGAAAAATTTAAAGAATATTCTGATTTACAATCTAATATGGATTTATTAATCTTACAAAATAAACAATTAGAAAATGATTCTAAAATTGAACAAGATAAGAATAAATCTAATTTAGAATTGATTCAACAATATCAAGAAAAAATTTCTCAATTACAATCGAATGAAAAAAGTAAAATTTCGCTTTTTTTGAAAGAATTTATTTTTACAAAAAAATTTATTTAGTTGATCATAATAATACAGATGAACTTAATCGTCTTCTAATAGAAGAACGACAACGTTGTGATGCACTTGTAAATGATAATGAATCAATGTTTCATCTTCTTGAAGAAGCTCGTTCACAAAATGATAATATTCATAATAAAGATAAACAAATTAATGAATTAACATCTCAAATAGAAAATCTTCAAAAACAAATTGAAATCGAAGTATGAAATGAATATATTTATTTATTTATTTATCTATCTTTTATTACTTAAGATAAACCAACGAGAAGAACTTAATAAACAAATTTCTAATTTTGAAATTAAAGAAAATGAATTTAATCAAGAAAAAACTCAATTAACTACACAAATAAATAATCTTCAACAATTTAAAGATGAACAATTAGCAAAACTAATTGAAGTTTGTAAAAAAAAGAAAAGTTAAACAAATAAGAATTTTATTTATTTTTCTAGGATGAAGAAAATCATTTCAAAGAATATCATTTACGTGAAATGCTTGAGAAACAATTAATTGAACTTAATGAAGATTTGCAAACATTAGAAAATGATAAAAATGATTTATATAATCAAATTGATGAACTGAGAGAACAATTACAATTAAAAGATAGACAACTTCAATCATATGAGGTTAGAAAATTTAATAGTATTAGAAATCTACGAAATAAACTAAGTCCCCCGAGGATCTTTTTTGTGGGAATTGTGTGTATTTCGACTTAGTTGGACTAATCATGATAGAAGACTCGGGGCCTTTTATTACGCGGGGGGTTTCGGCAACTAGTATTGGAGCACTTTATATTTTCTCTGTAAAGTAAATATGTAATTAGTTAAGTGCTCATATATTTGATGAAATGACAATATAGATTTCTTTCTAAACATAATGTCAGAGAGAATAAAATCTATTAAATAGATTGTATCGATCTTCTGCATTTATCAGCTTATTTGCCGCTAACTAATATCGATCAATCCATTGAAATCTGTCTAGTTCAGTTTTTCCATTATATATCCTCAGTTTTTTTAGTTAGACCTTGTATTCTTAAGTAAATCTCATTGTGTATCTTTTCTTGTTACTAAAATATCCAACACATAAATTTCGATTAATTAATATTATATTCTTCTTTTATAATAATTATAGAATTTGTCTACTTCACCTGGTTCTCCATCTGCTATATCTTCATCTCCTGATACTCGTGCTCGTTCTCCATCTCCTCAAACATTTGAACACGTACTTGAATTAGAAGCTCAAATTCTTCGAAATGAACAACAATTTAATGAACTTAATTCTGTTTATAATCGTTTTATAACATTATTACCTATTGAATTATCATCTACAGATAATACACAATTATCTTTATCTGATCGATTTACAAATTTATTTGAACAATGGTCAACCTATGTTGATACACTTTCAATAACACAACAAGAACTTGATTCTGTTAAACAATTACTTATTGAAAAACAGGATGATCTTGAAAAATTACAATTTGATTTAGATTTAACAACAACAAAATTAATTGAACTTCAACAAGAACAACAATCATCACCATTATCATCATCATTAATACATGATAATCAATTCAATAATGAAGAAGAAAATGAAAATGAAATTGAACGTATACTTGAACTTCATCAGTATCCACAACGTGCACCATCAAGACAATCAATTGTATCAAGTACACCGGGTGAAAAACAACAATTAATTGCTCAAAATGAACTTTTATCATCTATATTAGCTGATAAAGATCGAGAATTAATATCATTACAACAAGCTGAAAAAACACGTGAAGAGTTAATTAAAAATTTAGAAACATTAAAAAAAAATTTACAACAAATAGAACTTGACAAAGAAATTAAACAAGCTGAATTAAATGATATAAAAAATGTACTTGATGAAAAAACACGAGAAAATTCTTCATTGAAAAAAGAAAAAATGTATTTTATTGAAAAACTTGCAGAAATCGAACGAAATAAACAAGAACAACAATCAATTATACAAGTTTCACATAAACAAACAACACAAGAAGATGAAAAACCATCAACATCAATAATAACAAATAAAGAAGATGCACAAAATGTAAGTATTTTACAAACAAATTATTCAATTAACGATTTCTATTAACAATGATTTATTTATCTGTACATCGTATCATTGATAACTATGTAAAATATTTAAGATCATTGAGATAAACTTATGTCAACATAACTGAATAATGTCAAACAAAAGTTTATTTTGATTAGTCTCGATTAATGATAAATTGTTAGTAATCTATCCTTCGTTTAAACCTATACTTTTAGTAAAACGATTTATAAATTTAAAAAAAGCAAACATTGTCTTCATCAGTCATTTTTAACCCTTGGATTGCCGACAATGTATATATATATTCGAATAAAAGCTTTGATAGTATATTTGTTAAAGAAGCTTTTACCTTACTATCTCTTCGCCAATAGGACATTCACCACTGGCGAAAGTGTAGGAGGTTTGTTGGTGATACTACAATGAACAGTCGCCAACTGGTGAAAGTTCACGCATGGCTTGGCGTAAGCTCAGTGATCTTCCACTATTGACGAAAGTGCTTGTTGGTGAAAATCTTAATGGCAAAATTCGAGAATCCCAAGCCTTTTCTCATCCTTTGGGTATCACTGTATATAATACCCTGGTTTTCTGTTTGATATCATTAAAGAAATTGTTATAAAGTTCAAACTACTATCGAAGTGACCTTCTCCTCTGCTTTTAACTATTTGACATTTTCTTTCCCTTATCCTATAAACGCTTTGCTCATCTCCTAATCTTCAATACTATAAATGATATTTTGTTAACATAAAAATAGAATTCGATGTGAAATCATATGTAAACATTACTTTTCTAAAACTTTAATTTCCATTAAAAACTGAATATTTACAAGAAGAGTTTAGAATTCAAATTCTATGAACAGTATTCTTTACAACCCAAATAAATATTCCTTTTATTTTTTTGAAACTAATTCGTAATTATTTATATTTTTATAGCCTGAACAAATTCATACACAAGAACAATATGAAAAACTTCGTTCGGAATATGATAAACTTGCTGAATTTTCCAAACATCAACATGAAGAATCTACATCTTATTATAATGAATATACACGTATATTAGCACTTCATAATGAATTAAATACAAAACACAGTCAATTACAAATCGACTATGAATCACTTCAATCGTTAATTCAACAAAAAAATGAAGGTTATCTACAATGTCAAAATGAATTAAATAATTATCAAAATTTATTATATCATGAAAAGAAAAAATCCGAAGAAATTGATTTATTACGTTCAACATTAATTGAACGTGATATAAAACTACAACAATTAATTGATAGTGAAACAAAACTTCTTGTCAAACAATCTGAATTAGAACGTGATATTAAATTATTAGACCAGAATAATTTCGAATTAAGATCAACTGAACAATCATTTATTGAACAATTACAACAAACGAATCCAGAACAAATGGATTTCGAATTAAAACGTCTAGCAAATGAACGTGATTTATTTATTACGGAAAGAAAACAATTAGAAAATGAAATTGAATCAAATAAACAAAAAGTTTGTTATTTTGTTTTCTGAAATAAATTATTCAATTGATTTTTGCTTTTAGTTTTTACAATTTGCAGAACGTGAACAAAAATATATAAATGAAATTGAACGATTACGTACACATTTATTAAAAATGGAAGAATCATATACAACTGATTTAATTGCTGCTGAAGATCGTGAAAAATCTTTAAGAAATCAAATTGCACAATTAGATGATACAAATCGTGCACAAAATGAACTTATTCAACAACTGAATACAAGTGGTGAACAATCAAAACAAGCATTAGCAACTGAATTAGGAACATTAAAATATGAATATACAAAACTTGAAACAGCTAATACAAATTTAAATAATCAATTACAATATCAAATGAAATGTGCACAAAATTTACAAAATGTTCTGGAACAATTTAAACGTGGTAAATAAGATTTATTCAAATCTAAATCACTGATTAAAATCCTCTTCATAATAAAAGACATTCCTCTGAATACATGACAAGGAGGAAAGAGCGGAATCCAGATTCCGCTCTTTTCCCCCTTGATATATGATGTGAATGAAGTAATAGAAGATTTAGGAATTTTGCATGGGGAGTGCACGCCAACGAGAAAATAGTTTTTTGTCTTGTGATATAGTTCTTTATCGGTACCTCCCTTTAGATGTTTTTTGACCGAGACGGATGTATGGGCATCTGTACACCTCCCTCTATTTTCTGGCTACGCCTCTGAGAAGACCCCTTAATTTTAATTATGAATAATCTGGGATATCATTCGTAAAATTTTGTATCTATAATTCATGGGAAAATGTGTGTCATAATAGAAAATCTTTGAGTCTTTTATTATGAAGAAGGGATTTAATAAAAAATATGAGCAATATATTTTACGTTGAGAAATCGTTTCTTCTACTTATAAAATATATTTCATTTTCTTCTATACTTTGACGCTTTTTACAAGTATAACGATGTCTAAGTAGAATCGATGGGAAAAGGCAACGTTCTAACCTTGTTTATTATTATTATTGTTTGTTTTAATATTATAATAGTCAAAGAGAAAAATAGCATATGAAATCGCTTCACTTTTTTTTGTATTTAGAACGTGAACAAAATATTAATGAACATTTACGTCAATATCAAGATGCATTACGTGAACAAACATCAATAGCAACACGTTTAACAAATGAAAATAATGAAATTCGTAATCGTTTAGATGAATATAATGAAGCATTATCGGCTGCACATCGTTTAAATGATCAGATTGAAAAAAAAGATTTATTATTGAAAACACTTCGAAATGAAAATCATGAAAAAGATAAATTAATTCACCAATATGAACATAATCTACGTGATTTACAATCAACAAGTGGTTCACGTGTTGAAAAACAACTTGTGAAAAATATTCTTTTATCTTTTTTTCATACACCTGTTGATAAACGACAAGAAGTTATTCCACTTTTAGGTGCATTAGTTGGTTTTACACAAGAAGAATATAAAAAAGCAATTGATGCCACATCAACTAATAATAGTAATAATATGAAAGGAGGATCAGGTTGGTTAACTGGTTGGCTAGGTGGAAATCCAGCAAATGGAGGAGGAGGACCAGCTAATACAGGTCGAATAAGAACACAATCTGAAACTCCAGTTTATGATCCAAATAAAGTAATTCAATTTAAAAGTTTATTTATATTCTTAATTTTGTTTTTCTAGTCATTTGCTGAATTATTAATTCAATATGTTGATCAACAATCACCAAATAATCCTCAACATCCAACTGCAAAATTTAATACCGATGAATATCTTCATCGGTATGATAATACTATGGGAGGTGGTCATCTATTAAGAAAACCATCGTTATCTGCATCTGCAAATCCTTTTGTTAATTCTTCACATTTATCTCTTAATAGACAACCACCTACTGTTGTTTTACCAACAACAAATTCAACTATACTTAATCCACCTCCTCTTCCTCCATCTTCATCATCATCATCATTATCATCATCGTCAACAACAACAACAACAGCAGCAAATTCAGAATCATCATCAACTATACTCAAAGATTTATTAAAATCTTAACATACTAATCTTTAAAAATATAGTTGATTTTTATTTTTTAATTATTTATTTTATTTGTTTGCAATTAAACTTTAACTCTTGTTTATAAATATATATGTTTGTTTTCTTTCCTTCTATTTGCTTTTGGTCATTTTTTTTTCTTTCTTCGTTATCTTCTTCTTTTTTGTTTCTCTCGCTCTCTCTCATCAGATCGGCCTTGGTACGATGTCTTTTTTTTTCTCTTGTAGATTTTTATTCTTGAACAAAAAGCAAACAAATAATGGTATATTATCAATAAATATTTCTTTTTTATTAATGATTTATTTATTTATTCTAGGCATATCATTCATCATTTGACAAAAGTAAATTTCGTGTAGGAAATATTGCGGTATTACCTATTCGAACACGTTACAGTGGTCCAGCTCCAGTTGAAACATGTAAGACATAACTTTATGACTATTTTTCAATGCTAAGTTAATGAAGAAATATAGGAAAAAACAATATAGTTAAGATTGATGGAATTATGGGTGAGCAGAAGTTTATTTGAATGCTTTTCATAACATAAAAACCTGCTATCAATCCATGTTTGTGTATTATTCCTACTAGCTTCATTGTCGTATGTTTTGAAAATAAGTTTATTGTAAAATAAGACAAAGATTGACTCGATTTGAAATATATTTAATTCGATTTCAATTCTTCATCAATTGAAAATAATAAATTTATCGTATTGTTTAACATAGAAATCTTAGAAATACTCATTTAATGAATATAAAAACTATTTTCTTTTTTTTTTATAGCTACTGAGAATGAAGATATAATTGATGAAGCAATTAAATTCTTTCGATCTAATATTTTCTTTCGTAATTATGATATTAAAGTGAGTAAAATACATTATTTGATTTTATTTCTATGCAATAATATATCTTATTAAAGCATGATGCCGATCGAACATTAATTTATTTAACATTATATATAACAGAATGTTTACGACGTCTTCAAAAAGTAAATATTTTTATTTAATATTATTATTATTATTATCGAAAATGTTCAATAAATATTACTTTAGTGTCAATCACGTATTCAAGCACAAAAAGAATTAACATCATTAGCTATATCAACATTTCCTATTCCAGGTGATGCAGATTTTCCACTTAATGGCATGTTTACAAAACCATCACATGATGAAAATGGTTAGTTATGATTTATAAATATTTAAAAATCTATTTTTTTTTTGTTTTTTTAGATAAAATGAAACAATATCTTGAACAATTAAGAAAAGAATGTAGTGATCGTATGGTTGATCGTGTTATTGATCCTGAAACTGATAAACCATCAAAAGTAAAAGCTAAACGAATCTTTGTTTTTTAAAATTTATTTCTATATTTTAGTGGTGGCTTTGCTTTGTTCGTCGTCGCTTTATGGATAAAAGTTTATTAAATATTGGTTCATTATAATTAATGAGAATTTATCTTCGAAACGATTTCAAAAAAGAACATTTTTTTAATATGTGCCTTCTATTCGTTTTTTTTATATATTCATATTCGATTCAACTGTCTATTGTTATCTTTCTTTCCTTCTTTTTTTTATATCGCTAATAGAATCAACATTGATTTAATAAATCGATCGTATTAAATAAGAGATTATTCTTTTTCAATCTGATAATCAATATGAAATTGAATTGTAGTTGAGCGAATACGTCCTTCATCTGACCATTTATAATAAATCCCTTTTTGTATTTGTTCATTTGAATTTCTATCCGATGAAAATATTAATTGAAGTAAACAATTCTCTCCACGAAAATTTAATTTTAAACAATGTTCTTCAACATAATAAATAAATAGAATCGGTTTGATTTGTTGAATTATTGTACGAGCTGAATAAGGTAAACGTTTACATGAATGATATTCAATAAGTTTAGCTGTTATTTGTTCACTTGTATTTGTTGGTAGATATAAATTAAAATATATTTGTTTTATATTACGCATCCAATAAAATTTACGTGGTTGACGTATACGTAAATAATGATTTATATGAATAGATTCATGATTTATATTTGATAATGATGAAAGAGATAAAAGTGTACAATTTAATATAAGTGGTATATGACATATTTGAAAGAAATTTAAAAGACATTTATCGAATGATATTTGTTCATTGTCCGATAAATGAATATCAGGTTCAATTAATATAGTTAAATATTTTTTTAAATATATCGATGAATTATATTTATCATTGTTCATTCATTCAAAATAAATAAAACAGAAAAAAACGAATTTTATTGTAACTATGTTATGTCATATTCTTTATCTTTATATGATGTTTTCTTCTTTTCTTGTTATTTTCTAACTATTAGCCGTCTTATTTGTCTATAAGTAAGTTCATTGTTCGAACTAAATCGTCGTTAAAGTGAACATCATATAAACGTACATACACACATACATATATAGTTATAATTTGTTTTATTCTATCGCTTAGTAAACAAACTTAATAAAAAAAAATGAGTGGTAAAAGTAATACAACAATTTCATCAGCTAAAAGTAAAAGTAAAGATAAAATAAATACAACACGTAGTACTCGTGCTGGTCTTACATTTCCTGTTGGTCGAGTGGTAAGTTTTTGTATTATTAATTGTTGATAAGGATAGAAATGATTGTTTTCTTTTGTTTAGCATCGTTTTCTTAAACAAGGCAGTTATGGAGAACGAATTGGTGAAGGTGCACCAGTATATTTGGGTAAAAATTATTTTTATATTTATTGTTATTATTATTTCTAAATATTTTTCTTTCAATAGCCGCTGTACTTGAATATTTAACTGCTGAAATTCTTGAATTAGGTTCGTTTAATTTTTTTACTTCATTGTATTGTTTTTGATGAAATTGAATATTGTTTTTCCTTCTATGTAGCGGGTAATGCTGCTCGAGATAATGAAAAAAAACGTATTATTCCTCGACATCTTCAATTAGCTATTCGAAATGATGAAGAATTAAATAAATTACTCGATGGTGTAACTATTGGTAAATATTATTTGTTTAAAATCTTATATATAACTATGAACTCAATGGTTTTTTGTTGTAATATAGCACAAGGTGGTGTTTTACCTAATATTCGTATGGAACTTTTACCAAAAAAAACTAAAGGTGGTGATGAAAATGCTGGTAGTATGGAATCACAACGTGGTACGCAAGGTCAACCTATGATGATGGCACAATCAGGAGGATCAATGGGTAGTAGTGGAATGAAAAAGAAGAGTATGCCACCAGCTAAAAAAAGTCTTGCACCTCCTACATCACAAAAAAAATCGAATAAACCAAAACCAATGCAACAACAACAACAAGCACCACCACCACAAAAGCACAACAATAATAAGACTAATAACAATGATGATGACGATGACGACGACGATGATGATGATGATGATGAATCTGAAGACGAAGAATCTGAAGATGAAGTTAGAGAATAACTCAACAAGAAATATTCATTTACTAATTTTTCTTTTCTTTTTTAGGATGATGATATGACAGGTAATGGTAATACAGTTAGTAGTTCAAGTGCTTTAGCTACAACAACTGTTAATGATACAACAGCTGATGATGATGAAGATGAAGAATAAATATAATTATATCTTTATGGTTGTTTCTTGTTCAATATAAAAACTAGTTCTTCTTTTTTCTTCGTAATTTTGTTAAATGTATATTTATCTATTTATTTATTTATTTACTGTAATCAAGAATTAAATTCAATATAAAATACGTTGTCTATAGATACTTTTTTTTTCCTATTCTTTTATTTTATTTCCTAAAAATACCAACAAAAAAAATAGTAAGCAAACGGAAAAGGGGCAAAAACAAACAAACAAACAAAACGACATATATGATCATATAGTAAATAGATCATTGTACATGTAAAGTTTTTAATTTGTTCACCAATCTGCATCATTTCTTGAAGTAGAAGATAGATTATTACTTTGTTGATTTGGAGTTGATGATGGACTAACGGCTTCTTTGATTTTACGTTGAATATATTTTATTCGATCATTTGGTACTTGAATTTTTATAAATTCATCATAATGAATCTTTAAAAAGAAATCTTATTTTATATTTTCTAAAGAAAAAACGATTAGAAACATACCGGTACACATTTATAACCAAGTGAATTTAATAATCTTAGTTGTAGTGCTATAGAACCCGAAATAGAATTCGTTAATAATGTTTTATCTTGATAATCAAGACATTTAAGTGCAATTCTAAATACAGAACAATTTTATTTTATTATCATCTTGAGAATTTATCAAATTAATCCAAAACGCAAATGATTTAACTTACTTGTAACGATTTTCATCAATTCGTACTTTATTAAATGTTGTTTGTCCACTAGCACTATTACTTTCTCCATTAGTTAAAACAGTACTTAAATCTTGTGGTGTACCAGTTTTATCCACTACCATTAAACAATCTAGAATTTTATACATAAACTTTAAGGAATGAATGAAAAGTAAAATTTTAATTTTTACCAATAACAATCATGTTTGATGTGACAACACTAAATTTTGAATATTTATTTTCAGCAGCAAATGTTGTCACTGTTTTAGCTAATTGATCTTGTGCATTCGAATTTTTTAATGTTAATTGTTGTGCAAGTTGTTCAATATTAAATGTTGGTTTAAGAAATTTTTTGGAAAATTTTTGTAAACTATATGAATAAATTGCAAGTAATTTAAGTGCACCTGCTATTTTAGAATTTGATACTTCATCTAAAAAATAATTGATTTAGAATAACAAACAATGACTTTTATTTTGATATACTTTGTATAAGTTGAAATATATCTTGATTAAGAACGGATGATACATGATCTTGATTTGCTTGATCTAAAATTGCAAGTGACCAAACGAGATCAATACGATTTTTAATATCATTTAACTGATTTGTTTCTTCAGTAGAAGTGTTCTCATCTAATTTTAAATGATTTTCAACAAGTGTTGGTAATGTCGATGGAGAATAATTAACAGATGCACATGTACGTATGAATGATTGAATACATTTCGTTTTTGATTCCGAGTCTTCTAAAAGGATTTTTCCAAAACTATCAAGCAATTCACAATGACGAATACGGAGTGTGCCCATTGAAGTTATAATTGATTGAAGCTAGAAGAAAAAAAATAGATTATTCATATCTGCAAGTTTTTCAGACATTTGAAAAGACTTTGCTCAATTAAATATACTTACTATAAATGGATCATTAATATGATTGATTTGTTCATATGCATCTCGAGTTAATCGTTCTAAAAATGGCTTATCATATACATTTAACATGGCACATGCCAAAAGAGAATCTTTTAATTTGTCTATTGGAAATAAAAATGAATCACTTAATTTAAGTAAATGATAACAAGCAGCACGTATTATTGTTCGATCACGTCTTTTTAACATTGATTTATTAATTAATATTTTAAACCAATCATCAAATGTTAAACTATCACTTATTTCTAAAATTCTTTCATCTAAACGATTTATTAAACGATCATTATAAGATAATTTATGTGTTAATGCTAATATATCACGTATATTATCGAATTCAAAATAACGTCCTTCAGCTAAAGCTAAAAGACGATTATAAATTCGATGTATCCATTGAGCTGTATGACGTGAAGATTTTAATTCTTCTAATATACGAACAACCTAAAGAATATTTAATAGATCAAATATTTTTTTTCGATTTTAAAAATAAAATATATAGTTTACTTGATGAACACTAATACGTCTTAATCGATTAGCAAGTAAAAGTGAAAATTTATCAGTAAATTCATTATCTTCTGGATAATATTTTGTAATAAATGTAATAGCCGTTAATACTTCATTATCACTAAATTTATTTAACTAAAAAAAAAGACAAATCATATGTTGAGAAAGATTTATTTTATCTTAAAAAACTTACAAAACTAAGTAAAAGTGATTCCATACGATTTCGTGCATCATCTAATTGTGTATAAATTTGAACAGCATCACTATTTTCAACTGATGCCATTTGACACATTTTTTGTAAGCCTAATGCAAATTCTGTTGGTACAACATATTTATCAAAAATTTTTAATAAATCTTCAATTGTATTTGCTTGTTTAATATTTGATAAAAGTATTGGAGTTGATGTATGACGTTTTGATTGATCTAAAGTTGAAGACTAAAATAAAAATGTAAATAAATTAAAATTCAATACGAATTTCTACTTCATCTAATTGTCCTGTTAATGATCTTTCTTTTTTTGGTTGTCTTGGTTGATGAGATTGATTTGCATCATTAGATTTTAGTCGTTTTTCATTTGTTCGTTCAATAGAAATATATTCAGATTCATCGAAGACTTTATCGATTTCAATTGCATTTGATGATTTTTTTCGTGGTGTCGTTCGTTTTGATTTTGTTTGTGTTGTATCATTCGATACTTTTATTTGTCTTTGTTGTTCTTCATTTTGATGATTATCAATATTATTTTCATATTGACTTTTTGTTGGTAAATCTGATGCCATTCGTGATGGATCATCAAATGATGAAGAATGAAGAATATTTGGTCGACGAGGACTTGCAGGAGATACTGAATTTTCTCCTGATTCATCATTGGAAAAAAGTTTTTTTATATTAACTTTACGTGTTGTAGGCGATGGTAATCGACGAGATTTAGACTAAAATCAAGATAAGATAAGTTCTTTAACAAGAAAAAAAACAAGTCTTTTTACTTTATCATCAATCGATTGAGTTTGAGCTATGTTTTGATGATTGGAAATAGATCGAATAGATTTCCAAAATGTATTTGTTGCTGATGGATACGATAAAACTATCGTTCGACTAGATGAACCAAAAAATCGAAGCATTCTGAAGATATCAATTTGATTCGATATTAATTTGAAAAATAAGTTATATATGCTCACAAGAAAATAAAAATATTAAAAAACTAAATTCAAATACCACAAATATTTTTTTATTGAATAATTTATTATCCAATAAATACTGATTTCTTTCAATGATATTTTCTATACCAATCAGAAAAGATCTTTAACTACCAATAAAAAATATGAAGAGGCCTCGACGAAGACAAGTTATACATATTGATAGATAGAGACATACAATAGTTTCTGATAATCTATCTGCGATATTAAAAGATCTAGCAGAAGACGATATATTGTCATGATATTTATCAGACTTTAGAACATCAAAATGAACTTCTTGTTTCTATAAAACAGATTATAATATTCTGACAGTATCAAAATTCGAGGGATATAAAAAGAATTTTTATTATTAAACTAGATTTTCAATTATTAATTTCTGTTAATATGAATGTTATATTGTGAGTAGGTGTTGATATTTTAGTACAACTATATCAGCAATTTAGAACGTGGGTGTAACAATATACAAGGGTAAGCACAGCTGAATGATACTATTATTTGTATGAATCACCCTCAACGTCATGTGCCTATTCTTAAATTTACCGTTCGATTTTTCTCGAAATTATTTTTACAATTACGTATTTTTTATTTAAGTAAAAGAATTAGAAAGAAATAATAGGAAATACGTCACGCAGAAAATGAGAAATTAATAAAAAAGTTCGACCTTGAATAACATTATGTATCAGATTGTCTTGAACAGATGTTAAACAAGATTTTACTAATAAAGAAGATATAAATGTAATCATTTGAATTTTTGTCAATCTTTAAAGTATACAAACGATAATTAATCAAATTAAGAATAATTATATTTGTTATATGGATGGTTTACATAGAAGAAGGAATAATGAACTGATGGGAGGATAATAGAAAACATCTGCTAAGTGAACGAACGTATATTGTATCAATATACTATTGGATAAAGAAAAATCCAATGTTTCCTAAAGAAAAGCTCTATTCGTTATTTATGTTGAAGTATTGAAAGTTTCTATTGGTTGTTTATGACTGAAGCGCCACAGTGGCACTATTAACATGACAAACAATCATTGTCAATTGTAACATGATGAGTCGAAAATAAGACGCTGGATGTAACAGCTTGTTGTTTAATTTGCTTTTCTTTTTGAATTTTCATTAAATAGAACGGCTGATGCGTTTTAAAACATTATCACTACCGATTTTTTTTCTTTTATTCATTATAGAAATAACAATTATACGATGACGAACCAAACCGTCGTCGGTGAATCTCTTCCATCCGTAGATAATACTGATGAAAAAAAAGGCATTTGGTAAATGAATTTTAATTATATTTTTTTTTATTATTTTATTTTGAAAATTTTTCATTGAATAGGGCATCTATTTTACATGATGTTAAATCATCAACAAAAAAAGCACCTACAACAAAATCACTTGTAGTACTTGGTGATAATGAGAGCGGTCGAACAACATTAGTAGCTAAATTACAAGGAAATGAAGATCCAAAACGAGGTGCTGGTCTTGAATATCATTATATTGATATTAAAGATGATGATCGAGATGGTATTATTTATATTTCAATTTGAAATATAATTTTCATTGTTTGTTCGTTTGTTTGTTAAATAGATACTCCTAAATTAGGTGTATGGATTCTTGATGGTGATATTGTTTGTTCATCTCCATTACTTAAATTTGCAATTAAATCAGATACAGTAGAAAATACTGTTCTTGTTCTAGTTGCTAGCATGACACAACCATGGTCGTTATTATCGACATTAAAAAAATGGGTAACACTCATTGATGAACATATTGAACGATTAAAAATTGATTCAACATGTTTACGTGAAATGCGCGATCGTCTTCAGTATGATTTTCAACATTATACTGAACCTAATGATTCATCTATAATGACGGCATCATCTTCATCATCAGCAACAATAAAAAATGGTACATCTACTGGTCGAATTCCAAATTCACTTTCATCTATTTCAATTGCATCAACAACAACACCTATAAATATAAATATTAACGAAGATCAAATTGTTTTACCACTTCCTGATGGTGTATTAACGAAATCATTTGGAATTCCAATTATTGTTGTTATTACAAAAGTAAATTTTATATTTAAAAAAAACTTTTATAAAATTTCAATATTCTAGTGTGATGTAATGCCAACACTTGAAAAAGAAAATGATTATAAAGATGAACAGTTTGATTTTATGCAATATCATTTACGAAAATTTTGTTTAGAATGTATGATCAATAGTTTTTCATATTGAAAATATTTTATCAATTGGATTTCTTTAGATGGTGCTGCATTATTTTATACATCAGTAAAAGAAAAAAAGAATATTGATAAATTATATAGATATATTATACATAAATGTTATGGTTATTCATTTCATTCACCAGCTGCTATTGTTGAACGTGATTCAATTTTTATTCCAGCTGGTTGGGATAATCCAAAAAAAGCGGAAATTTTATTAGAAAATCTTCATCGACTTAAATCAACTGATAACTATTCAGATGTATTCGTTAAGCCCGTTGTTCGACGGGTATATAATTTTATTTCTTTTAATTAATAGAAATAAATTCATTGTTTAAAATGTTTTTTTCTCTTTGTATATTTATATATAGCCGTTACAACGTGATAATGAAACTGTTACTGCTGAAGATGATCAAGAGTTTTTATCTCGTCTTCAATTAACATTAAATAGAGCTGCATCACCTGGAAGAAATGTAAGTAAAAATATATTGAAATAATATCAGTATATATTATCTATATCATTATGAATTTTAAGGACGAAAATTCAACACCTGTACTTACAAGAAATGCAATGACATCAGGTGTAAGTAGTGGTATGGGCTCACAGACACCATCTATGGCTGGTCGACCACGAAATCAACCGGTAAAGATATGAATATATGACTTTAGTTAAAAATATGAATTCTATTTATATTTAGAATGTTACACCGGGTGGTACAAGCACAGCAGCGAATGAAGGTGCTTTGGCTAATTTCTTCAATAGTCTTCTAACAAGAAAATCAGGTGGTCCAGTAACTCCGACAACTGCTAATTCACCTGCTACTCAACGGCAAAGTAAGCAGTTTGCTCTTCCTCCCCGACCATCAATTACTAGATAAAAACTATATGAAACATATAAACCTAATATAATAAATATAATAAATCAAAACAATAAACAAATCAAATCAGGTTTATCATGGTAATCTCGCAGCATTCCTTCACATTTGCTAAGATTCCACCGATGAAGCAAACAAGAATGTCCATTATTATATATCTATTTCATATCTATGCAATGAATAAAATATTTTTAAATTATAATCATATCGTCCATCGTCGAACAAGAAGTATTTATCACTACGTAATATAATTCGATAGTTGCATAGGCAACTTTGCCGATTTTCCTCATCTCGAATGATCACTATAAAGATCTTTAAAAATAAAATTCATCTACAATTTCATGACGATTATTTTATTGGTTTTATTCAAGACAACAGCGATCTGTTTTATCTATCGATCATAAACTATATCGATTCTTATTGCGTTTAATACCATCGAAAACCAAAACTCTTTCATCTATTGTTAATTAATCTATAACGAAAAATAAATATTGGCTATTGTGTTTACATCAGAATAAAATTATCATCACGCTATTAGTATAAATTCTTTCCTAAAACCGATCATTCTCGGATCTTACACTATCTAACTATGATGAATACAAACTATTCGAAAACGGTGAATATCATCATAATACTATTCTACATATGATAAATATAAGATACTATCTCTCTAGCATTCTTCATAATGACAAAGTTAACCATTGCCATTAAAACATAAAGTAATTTATATTTTATAAAAAATGTAGTGCGTTTATGGGTCTAGGTTATTTCATTGCTTATTTCATTTTTTTTTATTATTTTTGGGAATATCACTGTTTTTTATATATACTTATTTTTCTTTATTTCTATTTCAGACACGGACAATAGCGATTTTGATACAACTTCAACGACTAACCAAAGTAAGTTTTTGTTATTGTTAGGATAAAATAATATTGTTATATTTTATCATTTTAGCTTCCCCAAAACAGCAAGAACAATCATAGCCACTACTAAATCTTTTTTTTAATTGTTCGCCTCATTCATTCTTAAAAAAAAATAAAATAAACTATAGATATGATTTATAATCTGCATGAGCAAGTGAACTAAGATAGAATATACAATAATTCAATTTCGGAAAAAAAGAATTAATTAAATCTAGTTTATTTAACAATAAGACTACAACGTACTTTTTTCTATACGACAAGAATATCTCTTAAAAGCCCATAGTAAACGAATAGTACTTCACATCTATTCTTCTGACAATGACGGTTAGAAGTGGCAATCAAAACCTTCAATGACATATTCACTAATAGCATTGCGTTGTGTCCTTAAACTACAGATGGTACTAATATTACTAATTCTCCCTTTTCAACATAGAATTATTGCTATATCTGCACGTTTTTTTAATGTTTATTCTTGTTTTTTCATTATAATGGATGTTTAATATTATTTTAACGTTTAAATAAACATTTCAATATTTTGATCAAAAGATACTTGAAAACTTGGTTGTCATTTAACAGAATGACAATTGAAACATTATAACAAATGATTATTTGTGCGAATAAGTTACATGGTTACAATTCGTCGGTTAGAAAAGTCTTTTTCTTGTTTCTAATCGAACAACATTCAAGTATATTATGAAGTCAATCAAAAATTAATGACGTCAATAATTCGACAAAATACTTTATAATTAGTATTTAAATTATTCACGCTGATGAATGAAGGAAATGAATGTTTTATATTGGTATAGGAAGGGTGTCTCTACTCTTAACTAACACCCACACGCATACCCTTATAATTTCTGTTTTGCAATCATCAGACTTTCAGGAATAACGACAAAAGTATTTAATATTATTTTTTTTTATTTATTCACTTAATAACATCTTGAACATAAATTTTTAATTTTCTACAACTATTTTTGAAACCGTCATCATCCCCATTGATACCATGTCGACATGGTGTTGCTTGAATAATACGTCCTGGTGATGTTTCGTTTCCAAGACGGATAAGAAAAGTTACACCTTCACACCTAATCCGCGTAAGATTGACGTCAAAGTTCTCAATAAAGAGATGTTCCGTTGAAACACAACCATTCGTGTCACACAAATGCGAGCCTAAAATGAAACAAAAGTAATGTCATTAAAGGATTATTAATTCAATCTTTTATTCTTACCGGTTTTTGCATTTGTAAAAGATGGATCCGTAGCGCGTAATATAATATGATGTTTCAAAATGCCGTAATCATTGATTTTTTGTTGTAATTTTGGAGCCATATCTCCATTTTTGTTAATGTGTAACCTTAGACTACTTCGTGGTAAAGATGTTTCATACTTTTTTGGGTAATGAGCAAGTCATCCATTTGAAAAAATATTCACCTAAAAAGAATAGATATTTTATTACAACAACATTAGCGAAAGAAAAACTTACCATTACGTTGATCGTCACTTGTCATTTTTCATATGTCTTTGATTTTAATACATTTCGAAACATGATTTTCATTGATGTAATCCTCGCATTCATCTTTTTTTATCATACCGTCCATCAACAATTTTACTTCATGATTTTTTAAATATTTTAAAAACACTGTACTCATTTGTTTGGTATCCTTAGTAATTTTTTCTCTTTTTGTAAAATTTTTCCTTAAAAAAGTGAAACACAATTAATAAATTTGTTTTAAAGTTTAACACTTACTTTTACTATCTTCTTGCTACAGTCGAGTAATGTAGCGATATCGTGAAATTCTTCCTCTGTAGGATTGGAATTTTTCTAAAAAAATTATCTGAAAAGAAAGCAGAATAAGATTAAAGCGAAAATAAGAATTCGAAATAACCGATTGAGTTGAATTAAGAGGTGAGTAGAAGTGCTTTGTCACATTACATCTGATAAATTCATTCTCTTCGAAGAGATCAATCGGGCTGATGATCTATGAAACAATAGAATGATAAGCAATAGGGCATCTATATAAATATCTTTCTTCTCCAAGTTCTCTTTCTCATAGAGATGAGTCTAGCAGAAATAAAGTGTGTGCTGGTAGCGAAGATATATCGGTTCTACGACAAAGAGCTGAGCTAGTCTCCAGACGAGCATTACTTGTAATAAAATATCGCCTGTATATTATCGACTTTATATTGATGATTGATCAGAAATATTTTTGAATGATCTACGATTTGAGATTCACCGAAAAAAAGATACAAGGTATTGATAGATATTAAAATGCAATCCATCGGTGTGTGCGATTCGAATTTTTTATTTCTTTGAATATATGATTAATGTGATAGCTGTCAAAGTTGTCAGATGATAATACCCATCCATTTCATGATTCGTTGCAATTCATTGTCTTATATGTTTATTTCTTTTTATTTCAGATTGATAAGAGCGCTATAGATTAGAATAACTTCATATATGTATATATATGTATATAGAAAGAGAGACATATGCGTATAAGAATGAATAAAATTTTAATGTGCTTATTTCGAAGTCGTTAATACTTTGTATCCGCTCGAATACTTTTTTTTTATAAAAGCAAGTCTGTAATTCATACTTTTCTAAGGTCGCTTACATAACCTTATACACAAAAACAATCACAGTTATGGCAGCAAATATTGTGTCACAGAGAATACAAAATAATATTCTTCAATACGGCAATACAGATAAAGAAAATCTCATTGGCGTACCACTCATTGTGTGAGCACGCATCGACGACGGGCACGGCGATACTGGTCCACTTGTTCATTATCAAGTCAACACTTACTTACAATAACAACAAATATTAAAACAAAAAACAGACGTCATTCAAACCATCGACACATCTTTCCGTCGACTGACCTGACTGAACTGTCAACAATGAAAAGTATTCGTTCCCAAGACGGTGAGTAATTGTTTATCTTATTAATTAATTGACAGTTATTTTTCGTTTTAGATAAATATTTAATAAAATAACACATAGATGGCGAAAAACAAATAATTCAAATAGAACCTTGTCAACATGAAATTTATTACCAATCCAACCAAGTCAATCCATTCCAGTACAGTTGTCGGAAGATCAAAATTATGATGACAGATGACAGTAAACTTCTATTTCTTTGTAGATAGTTTTTCTTGTTCAATAAACTTTATATTTTTTAAAATTATTTTCAAATTTTAACTCTACTAAACAAAAAGGGTGTGGGTAATAATCTAAAGGTTGCTGGAGGAGTTGACACCCTCAAATGTAGATATTTTTCTTTACATATTTCAAACAAAAAATTTATATATATATATATCTTAATATTGAATAATTCGATATTATATTTTTATTTTCTTTTTAAAATTGATGATCAAAACACATATATGAAAAGATATAATTAGTTGGTATTCATATCTTCATCATCGTTGTTTTATTTTGATCGTTCACGCATACGTCTTCGTTTACGTTTGAGTCGTCGCATGCGTTTCTTACGCCACTACAAAAAAAAACAAAATTAATTTTATAATCATTCTAATGGAAATAAATATTTACTTTGGCTCTCATAATTATTAAATTAAATTAAATTTGAATAGAAAACAACAATGTTTTCTTCAAGATAATCTAGAAGGCACTACAAATTCATTCATAGACAAACAAATATATATATAATCATATTGTATTTCAAGAAACTATTAGAAAAAAAGATGAACATCATAACATAACAAAAAAAGAAAGAACTATCTCGTCTGTACAATAAACAGGAAAGAAAAAGGAAAAGAACATCATCTTTGTATCTAATGTATCATAAATCTTTACGAAATTGATTGAATGCATGTATAAATACGAACATAACTATAGACATATACAATGTAAAAGACGAACGACAGACTATTTGACTATATGAGAAGAAAAGTGCAACATCCGACTAATGATAGTATTTATTTACCTGAGATTTATTTAATCTGATCGGTGCCATCTAATGACCGTAGAGAAAAAGAAATCATAATGTCTGACTTAATGATTCAATTAAAGGAATGTGAAAACTGAAGATATATGGATAGATAGATAGATATAGAAAACGAGAAAGAAGACGTTCTTAATCAAATGTATACTACTGTTCTAATAATAAAAAACAAACAGACAACTAGATGAATAAAGATTACAGACGAGACGCTTTGTTTTTATTCTGTTGAACGCGTATCTGTTGTTTATCTGACGAGTTGGATCCACGTACAAACACTTTTGGTTGTCGTTTTGATTGTTGTTGTTGTAACGAAGTAAGTTCACTACCAGTTGTTGCTGATACTGATGTAGAAGTAGGTTGACGAGAATTTTGTACATTATGTGGTCGAGGGCCATGTGACTAAAGATACAAAGAAAGAATAACATTTTCTTCTTAGTATTGAAATTATTATCAAAAGAATATACATACTCCACGTTTAAGTGAAAGAGATCGAGCAGGTTTAAAACGTGGATTTGATGAAGGTGTATGTACAGAACAAATTTTTACAAAAATACTCATAAAACCAATAACACCTAATAGTCCCAATACAAATGCCCACCAATATTCCTAACAGAACAAAACAAAAAATAAATAATTATTTCCACCTATTTAAATAGAAAATATCAATAAACCTGAATGAGTTGAGTAAGTGTACGAATATTTTCTTCATTGAGCAACATATTTTTCAATCGAGTTAAAGGACCTTCAGCATCAACAGCACGACATTTACCAAATACATCACAATAGCCAGCTGTTCCGGCACAAGCATGTCCTATGAAAGTGAATAGAAAATTACAATCCAAAAAAAAATCAACTCGTATAAAAAATAACAAACCAGGTCGGTGTTTATAACCAAAACCATTTTTACTATAATTATTTGGCATACGAAGTGTAAGTGTATCAACACATGAATTTGTTCGAGCTATAATGAATAAATTATTATCCATATTTATATACTTATTATTAATTTCATACTCTCAAAACAACCAATGTGACATAAATATTCTCGATCAATACCTCGTTGTCGTAATGGATCTTCAACATTCGGTATTGTTAATGTACATTCTGTTTTATCAATTAATGTACATATACTTTTATTACATTCCTAAGAATAAAAAAAGAAGGTCGTCTTTGTAAAAATAAACTTCAAATATTTTTGTCATACCCCTCGATCGCATAATTGAGTATGTTGATTACATGGTGTATCAATTGGTTTAAAGAATTGTGTGTCATTAAGAGGACATGTAGCTTGAATACCACTAGAAATTAAATTTATATTAATTAAGATTTTTCAATATGAGTCTTTTTTTAAAACTTACTCGCATCGTACATCACCAATACAATCTTGACTAGCCTTATCTTTATGACATATATGAGTAGATGGATGAAATGAACATTGATCCGAACAACAAGGTCCTTTCGATGGACTAAAACATTTTGGAAAAAAATTCAAGTAAGAAACATTATTTTTTTATTTTATATTTACCTGCAACGAGCACCTGGTTTTAATTTACAACCTAATTTTGCATCTGGACCACCAGCTGGATAACAACAATCATCTGTACATTCAGATATAAAACCACAATCACATTCTTCATCATCTTCAACATTTCGATTTCCACAATAACCAACTTGTAAACATTCTGTTAAACAATTGACTTTTCCAACAAGTTGATTTTTAACAGCAATTACAACTGGGCCCATTTTATCCATACTACAATTTGAAAATTTATTATTATTTTCTTCTAAACCAGTGGTTGCTCGTCGATACATTATATAATGACCATTTGTTGCATCACCACCACATTTTTCATCATCATGCTAAATAAAATAAATACATTTTTAGTAAAGCATTTCTTTCCATGAAATCTATATATACAAACCTCAGCACCTAAATTATGTCCAACTTCATGAGCAAATGTTAATTCAGTCATTAATGAAGATGTACGTGTATTATGATTAATAACTGTTATCATTCCTGTATTTAATGTTTTCATAACACGTTGTCCTTCATAAATATCTTTTGCTGGTTTTTCACATATACCACCACGACTATCTAAATTCAGAATCAATTAGTTTTATTTAATGACAATTTTTTATTGAAACATACTTGATGCAACACTTCCCATCCATGCTAAACCTAATGTGCCATCACCAAAATCTCGTGCTGCAAATATATATGCTAAACAATAATCAGCAAAATTTTCAGCTGAATGCCATGTCAATAAAACATTGGAATCAAGAAATGAACGACAAATATTTGTTTCACTTAAACTTAAATTTTTTTGTCCACAATCATCAGGTGTTAAAATCTAAATTATTGAAAATATATTATTCACTTATTTGAATAGATACTGATCATCTCTCAATGAGATGATTTCCCTTTAGGCGTTTACACTCAAACTATAGTTAGTTTAGGCTTTGGTATGATGCATACCGTACGAGAAGCGAAAAAAAATGCAGTGTCATAGCAATAAACCAAGAAGAAGGACCTAGGGGAAATTATCTTTTTGAGTTTTTTCACGCCAAACTGAAGTCACTCGTATATGTAGTATTCGAGTTCGCAAGTAATTGATCATCGGAACACGTTTCGTTAGCTGTCGATACACTTTATTAGATCATGTCATAATTCATTAAAATTCTCTTGAACTTCAATCTTCTAGTGAGAAATTCTAAAGAAGATCTATATTTAACCTTTACTAATCGAAATCTAAGACATTTCAGCTTACAAATGATCTCAATAGAATTTAAAGATATAACATACTCGAATTCGTTTTATTCTCAATGTAAATCTATATAAAACATCTCCATTTGATTCAAATTTTAATGAACGATAAATTGCATTTGCCGCCGTAACTGTTCGATAAAGAAATGTAACAATTGCATGAATAGTTGGTTCTTTTTCCTATTTAATTTATAAATAAATTCAAAATAAAAGAAATATTTTTCAAACAATTCTTCTTACATTAAGACCTTCATTTTTATAGACAACATCCCAAAGTGTTGGATCAACACGTATATAAATATAACAACAAGTTCGTTCACGTTCATTCTTATTCGTTGTTTGTCGTTTTGATCGTGTATAACGCGATTTAAAATCCATATCATCATATTTCTCAGTATTTAATTTATCTGATTCTTCTTTCATCTTATTTCGTTTTTCATTTTTATCAAGTCCACAAAAAGACGAAGTATCATCATGATCATCATCATCCCCATCTTCATTCATTACAAATCGTTTAGATCTAAATGGATTTTTACTATTATATCTTGTCATATCAACATCAAGTGCATTATAAATAATCGATGGACCAGCATCAGCTAAATGTTCACCATATTTACGAGTTGGTTCAATATGCCAAGTTTCATTCGACATCTTAATTGTACCATCAAACCAATTTGAATAAAATCCTCCACTAACATAAGATTGATCATCATGACCTAATTTATATAATAGAATAAAAATTTTTGATAAATAAATATTTACCTAAGACATAACCATCGTAAAGAATTGAAGAATCTATAGGAATAAAATTTGATGAATTAAGATGGATATCAGCATCTGTTGCAAAAAATTCATTGGTATTTTTTAAAACTAAAGTTATATTTCTAGAAAAAAAAGAAAAAAGAAATATATTTTATTAGAAAAATTATAAAAACTAACTTATGATCAAGTTCTAATGTAAGAATCCGATCGGGATTATTTTCGATAATTGAACGCTTTCGTCGATGATGATCCGCTGTCGTTTCATCATGAATTTTACGAATAAAATTATAACGTTCGATACCTGATGATGAAAGATGATCAGCATGAACTAGAAAATATTGATATGGCCATAATATTGCCAAGAAAAATAGAAGAATGAGCGACCACGGCATTCATTCAGCCGTTATTCTTTTAATATCTGAAACAAATTTAAATAAAATGAGAAGACCTTGAAGTAGAACACTTTCATATGTTTGATAGATTTGATTAGGGGGGGAAAAGTAAAGATGAAATTGAAAGAACCATGAAGTATATTTTTAGAAAACTAGTAATATTTTAAATTTAGTTCATCTATTTATATATAATTAACAATCAACGACAGAATGGGAAAGTATACTCTTGATTTCAAGGCACAAACCGTTAGCCAGCTGATGACGATGGAAAGAAAGAAACAACAACGAAAGGAAGGAAGGAAGAAAGTAGGAAAAAAAATCTTATTTTTGAACAGCCAATGAGAAAAATATGAATAAATAAAAAACAAGTTCCTTTTTTACAGATTACAAATTCTCGTTTTTTATTTTCTATAAGACTTTTTTTTGTATTACAAAGTAAAAAGTAGATCATTTATGTGTTTATCGTATTAAACGCCATCTATCTGAACATATGTCATGATATTAAATGAATCAATACATGTAAATTTTTCTTTTATTTTTCTTATTATTATTTAAATAATTGACAATTTATTTCTCTTTATAATAAAAACAAATGTTATGATGACGACAACAGCTAGCCAGGCAAATGACTAATGATTATTTGACGAAATCATTGTCGAATCTAAAATATTTATAAACCTTCTCTATTATTTATTTACTTCTTCACTATACTTGTACTTTTGAATACATGATGATGATGATATAGATAAAATCATTATATATGACAAATTCTTTTTATTTTTAGATGGCGTCAGCATCATTATTTGAACAATTAACTAGCAGTGTGTCATTATCAATGATGACCATTGTTTCAGTACTTACTTTGGCTTTAATTTTACTTGTTACAGTTGCTGTTCGAGTTTTCTTTTCATCATCATCATCAACTAAATCGAAATCAAGCTCATCTAATTCAAAACAACATTCAACTAAAGATAAAAAAACCAAAGAAACTAATACAAAAAAACCATCAATTGATACAACATCTGCTAATAAAAAGAAAACTAATAATAAAACAAAAAAGGATGTAACTACAACACCAGTAGCTAAAACTATCGTATCATCAACATCATCAAGTTCACAATCTGAAGAAAGTGAAGATGAAAAGGTATTTAAATAATCCCGAAATTTATACAGAAAAATATAATACTTATGTTATTTATTTAGCCAAAAATGTCAAAAAAATCAACTACAGGTAAAAAAGTAACATCCAATGATGCAAACAATAAGTCTACTACAGTAAACAATGACAATAAACCATCATCAACAAAACAACAACAAGTATCTGGACGTAATGAAAAGGTTGCTGGAACTCAAAGTACTGATGCTAAAAAGAAACAATCAAAACCTGTTGAAACACCTGCAGTTAACAAACAACAAACAGCAACAGGAAAAAGTATATTGAGAATCTAATTTGATCAAAATATAATATTTGTTTACAAATATAGATAATCCATCGAACAAGGTCAATACAACAACTTCAAATAAAAAACCAACAGTAGTTGCTAACACTGAAGCTAAGCAGACATCATTTAATGATGATGATGTTAGTGTTGAACAAGAAGATGAAGGTCAATGGGTTACACAAGGTGGTAAACAAGTTAATAGTCGTAACAAAACTAAAGGTAAAAATGAAACAACAACGACTAATCATCAAGAAATATCACCAAAAGCATCATCATCATCAAAACGTAAAGCTACATCAGAAAAACGAACTGTACAACCATTATCATCATCAACAAATAAAACTGATTTTGATGCTGAAACAACAACACCATCACAATCAGCTACATCAAATGTTTCTTTTCAACCACAACCTCAAGAACCAATTGAAATTTGTCAATTATTACCAACAGGTGAAAATCGTTATACTTCTAGTGATAATTGGTGGAAACAAGCATTAAATAAGCAACAAAATTTTTCTATCAATGATATTGGTGACTGGCCTGAACGTGAACAAGATGAACAATATATTGTTAATGTTACACGTATTGTACCAGTTAAAAATAATAAAACAGCATTAACTGAAAAAGATATTAATGTTGATGGAAATGATCATATTCAAAATTATAAAAATGGACAAGAAGATGAAGTATAAGATTTATTAAAGAAATACAAAAAGAATACTTAACTATTTTAATTTTAGAAATTAAATTTTGATGATCAAAAAAATTCATCATCAGGTGTTACAGGTCAATCCACAACAGCAACATCATCTCAGTCGAAAAAGAAGTCAACAAATGTACGTCGAATTTCTTAAGTAAAAAAGAAATCGAATAGAGTCTTGTTGTTTTTTTTCTATTTTATCTCTTATTATTTATCTATTTGTTTGTTTTTCTTTTCATATGTATTTCTTTGTTTTTTTTGCAACTATTATAGTTTTTTCGACTGTCTTTTTTTGTTCGATTGGTTAAAACATTGAGGATGATTTTTGCACGCCGCTTTTAACTGTGTGTGTGATTTTCTTTTCTTTCTTTTTTTTTATCGTTTTTCTTTGTATGTTTGATGGGAAAAGGGTTTGTAGGGTTTATGGGAAATCTCTATATGTATTGTTGGGGTGATTGAACGCGTGCAATCTTCATTATTATATACCATTTTTACTTTGTTCTTAGCTAGGACATATTTTTCAACAGTAATTTTATTTATCGTTTTTGTTTTGTTGATGAAAGTGATAAACAAAAGAAAAAAGAAGACAGAAGTAGAAAGAGAAAAGGAACGAGACAAACTATATAACTTTGTGCCTGATAATTATTTGACGCTTCCGATTTGTTTTGTTGTTTATGTCAATGATTTTTTTTTCTTCTTTCTCTTCTATATTACTATTGTTGTGTTGTTTTTCTTCTATCTTTTCTTGTTACTATTGCGACTGGAATAGAAAAATAGAAATAGAAAAGTGAATTTTTTTGTCTTCTGTTGGATGCAATTATTGCCAGTGTTTCCTTTAAAAAAAAACATGATATTTGCTTTTAAAAAAATAAGATTAAGAAACAAAAACAAAATGATCCTTTTGTCAAAAGTCATGATTTCCAAATATGACTTATATTTCTTCTAGGTAAGAAATTCAATGACAAATATTTGTGTATGTAAATGGTATTATACGCCTTGCATTACTATTGAATTTCAGTATAAAATCTTTTCGCCTATTGATAAAGATGTGCAGCACATTCAATCGACCATTTATTATCTGCATCTATTGTTAATTTAGTTATATTGGGAAATAAATAATGATACGACATTGTATTCTAAAATATATAAAATATTTTTGTAAAAGTTATTTCAAACATACATCTAAATTAAATTTAAATAGGCATGCACCAATTCCAATACCAATTCTAGAATTGGAATTGGTTGGGATTGGAACTGGAATTGACTCAAAATCACTAGAAATCGTAGGAACTTTCATGTCATTCGCTGAAACTGATCGGAACTAAGACTAGATTAGTACGGATCACTAGAAATTACTGAGTATGGATTTGATTCAGCCGGTATTTGTGAATATTTTTCTATAATTGACTTAGAATAGAAATAGCAAAAGTTTATTTCTATTCCAATGTATTCTAATTTTTATTAATTATAGTGCTTAAGGATTGACACTGTTTATTCAGTTTTGTGTGAGTTCTGATCAATTCTAAGTCAATTATAGAAAAGTGTTCACAAATACTGGCTGAGTCAGATCCATTTCCAGTAATTTATAGTGATCTGTACTGATCTAGTCTTAGCTCCGATCAGTTTCAGCGAATAACATGAAAGTTCCTACGATTTCTAGTCATTTTGAGTCAATTCCATATCAATTTCGACCAATTCCAATTCTAGAATTGGAGCCGAATCGAATTGGAATTGGTGCATGCCTAATAAATATGCATCAGACACTTATTGTAGATCGCTTTCAGATTTTGAAACACTTATAAATTTTCGTGATACAGATATTGCTAATATAATTAATTAAATTCAAACAGCGAGAGCACTTCACTACTTTATGACCGCGCTCGTACGAGAAATGAATGGTTGTGCAAGTGACAGTAGAAAATCGTTTATAGTAACTTACGAAAACGTTAATGCGGCTTTTAAGAAATCAAATCAATATATGTCTCAGCGACACTGTTGACTAATACAAATAAATAAACAAAAAATATTCTGTCTCTCTACTCAATGACAAAACAGCCGATAAAAAAATCATGTTATTTTTTCTTAATTGTACAGCTTATTCATGTTAAATATAATGTACTATTAGATTATCGGATTTTCTTTCTGATCTTGCAAAGAAAAGTGACATACATTATTATATTATGGTATTCAAAAGAATTATTTTTTTGAATATCCTGTACGATGTAGATGGGATGCTACGATATTTTAGTAAACATAGATGGATGTGGGTAGGAGTATGGGCATAGATGAAGAAGACACACCCACACCTACACCCAATATCAAGCGAGTCCACACGACGAACGTTACTTGTCTTTAATCATTTCGGACAGAGAAACTTTATCACCTCTTTTTATCATGACTAAATTCATTACACATTCGAAGATTTTATATAACATTTCAATTAACTTTCCTTGAACTCTTTTCTATATCACGTTATAGTTTTATTCTAATCTTATTCAATAATATGATAAGCTCTCTTCGGAAAAAGATCTCTGCATCGTATTTCGTGATAATTAGAATGTACATGATCGTGTGTGTGGATATTGTATTAAACATATAGTACGAGTGAAAGTGAGAACAGCTACCAGAGGATGAGCTGAGTTTCAAAATATTTAATCAAAAGAGAAAGGATAAATCAATTTAAAGAAAGATTATCTGTTATTTGACGTATCCACGGATTTCTATCTGCCAGATTATTCTAGATCTTTACAGTTAACATGCTTTATCTAATACGTATAATTAGATAAAAAGGATCCTATTGCCAAGACATGAATCGAAACCCGCACCTTTCAACAATCGGTTGGATATTCTACCGTTAAACTGCTTGATTATCTCCTCAGCTACATAGTAGCTACAAATCATAATTTAAAATAATCATAACAAATGGGCCAGGACAGTAGTAATACAACAGATTCTGCTCAATCTTTTGCCGTACGCGTGCTTGACCTAATCTTGTTTGAAATAGTTTATTTTGAAATAGCTAAACAGAACTTATGTCTACGAATATGATATATAAATATTCAGAATAGTAGAGTTACTATTCCAACTAATAAATTTTTGTATTGTTAAAGGTAAAGGAATATTTTTCAACAATGTTGATGAACGTTTTCTTTTTGAATAAAATCTTGCAAGTCTTCTCTGTCAAATAACAAAACAATTACTAGATAAGGCTTGATTAATACTGGATTTATACGCATTTGTTATGTGATACAACGTTGTGGAGCACATTCCTGTTTACGTCACGAAAATTATCAAAAGTAGATTTGTGTCATATATTAACTGATTGAGCATACGATGTACGACAAACATACACACATGACTTATGATGGTCGTCATTTATTTTATTTACGTCACATTCTGACTCAGATCTAACATGCTTTGCCTTCTCAATTATTTTCGAAAAGAGGTGTGTTTGTAACTACGTATAAAAGAGAATGAGTAAGAAAAGAATAATCTTGAAGCGTAATTTTATATGTATGTATATATAGATACGCTCACCTGTACATGCATTATGATCATTATTATTTATATACAAATGACGCACGCTCGACGTTATCGAATCAAAGATGTATCAGTTGCATACCACCATTTATTTATTGTATCGGATGATGAGGACAAAACGGTCTATATATTTCATTATCAATATGATAAACTTGGTCACACACTGATCTTGATGAATTCATCTGGCACAGTATTGATCAATATTCGTCAAATAAGTCAAATTCATATAACCTTCGATATTTATGCTGTTGATGATAACGAACATCACAACAACTTGTTAGGAGTTCTTCGACGAAGAGGTCCACCATGGCATCATAAATATATAATCGAGTCAGTCTACGGTGAATACAAGATCGATCGAACAGGAAAATTGCATAGTCATGAGTATAAACTAATGCAAGATCAACAATCAATCGCTAAAATCCATCAAGAAGATCAGGAATCGGATCATTTGGCTTCGATCGAAATTGCAGAAGATGTTGATAAGAAGAAAGATCCATTCATCTTGACTCTAGTGATGATTCAATTATCTTTATGACGTATTCAACAGAATGGATATTTTTGTTTCTTTATATTTTTTCTTTTAATAAATTTGTACATTCTCATAAAAAACTACAAACTATTTTTTTGTCTAATAAATTTTGGTCACATTACAAAATTTAGTTGAAGGTGTGGGTGAATGTTCTTCCAATGGTATTTACACCCACACTCTCAAGATGGATAATAGAATAAAATGATTTTTATTAGTTGAAAGTTATTTTCAGTGATTATTTAGGACAAGATTGCAATTATAAAGATAGATATGTAGTATTACGCTCTAATATTCAAAGAATATCGTAATACAGATTTAGCAGTTATTCGAAATAAGTAAGAGCAAACAGATTTATTATGAAGATTAAAAAAGTATATATTAATTGTTTAAGTGAAAAAAGGTGGAAGTAAATCATCTTACTATAAGAAAATGCCACTTGAGTAAAGATAATTATAAATATATGAATAAATTAACTAAAGTAATTATCGAATAAAAAAGATTCTATTTATAAGGAAGTTTTTCAAAAAAATAGATTTATACGAAAACGTACTTTTTTAAAATCCTTCTTAAAATATCTTATCTCCTGTAGTAATTTTTTGTTCAAGTTGAAACGTTTGTCATAAGGTAAGACAAATAAAATCACTTTCCAAATAAACGTTTAGACTGAAATCATATGTATTCGACTAGGTTCTCATCAAATTAAGCCGATGATATCAATACTATGTATTTATTTTTATATAACCATTACAGAGTTTGTCGTACTTATAGATGACATTTGCATGTTTAGCTTAACACATTTTTATTAGTCGAGTGGAATAAACAAAATAAAATATGAACTACATTTGAATTTTTACTCTCACGTTAATAAAAATGAGAGGATGATAATAATTAACATACGATTCACGTATTTAATTAAAAAAAGAACATTTATTAAAGTTTAAATGTGTAGAAGAAGTGTGTGAAGTTTGCATTATTATTAACAACTTAAATAAACATTTATCATCTCTACATGAAATAGATCAGAAGCCTTTCTAGATATAATCTCCATCTAACGAATGGTCCGTCTGCAGGTGATTAAAGATATTAGGCTTATTATTAATAAAAAAAAGAAAAAAGGTTTAATTTGATAAAACTTGACACATATTTTCTGTTAATGGAAGTTTATCTTGAGGCACCACTCCATGCATAAAAATAGGTTAATTTGCTTCAAAAATTTCGGAAGCGAGATAAATGCATAAGAAGATAGCTCATCTTCTAATCTTTTTTGAGAAGTTATATTGTTTTTCTTTGACATCCACGTTTCGATTATAATTGAAATTAGCTGAACATCTGCGAGAAAAACGTCAAAAAAATGCAAGATCTCTTCTAATTGTTCACCTTAACTATCTAGTTACACGACTGATTTAATGCATTGAAATCTTTCCTTTTGCTTAAAATAGCATGTAGAGATTGGATTCTTGACCGAGCTTTTTTTAAACTGCACTTAATTGTTATTATATATATATAGAAAGCCTTTTTCCTGACTAGTTGAATTCGTGATTTCTTCTCATCATCAAAAAGGTACGTATTTTAAAAAACATCCTCTTTCAAAAAGAAAATTTAAATATAACAATTGGATAGAAACAGAAACTTCAGATACTAAGTGAGCTATTTCTGTGTCCCTTGTTTAGTGAACATTTCCATCAAACGTCATCGTATTGAGCTGAAAGTTTTACTGTAATCTCTCTACCATAGTCCAAAGATAAAGTAAAAATTTTAGCTAATTTCGATTTTATTAGAACAATTTATTTTGTTATTTCAAATATCGCTGGACTTTCATGTGATGCTGACGATATTATCCCAAGGTTAATATTCCACGTGTTGCAGCAGAAATACCCTGATATTTGTACCCCCACATGTTCTCTTCCCATTGATATCGAACAAAAAAAACCAAAAATATTGAGAACATATTCAAAATATAGGTTATTTTACTAAACTAATAAGAATGATAGGATTCATTTTTGTGTTCACCTCATGAGTGCAGTCATGCAAGAATGCTGATGTTTAAGTTTTTTACGGAAGACAATTTGTTTTTGAGTGTGCCTGATCTTATTAATCGATTATGACAATAGATATTTTTTTTGTTCAAGCACAAAGACGTATAAGGTTAATATATTTACGAATACGAGGAATACTGCTCCTCATCTGAATCTGTTTCTTCACGCCTTGAATGATGTAACTCATGCATTAATCTGTACACTGATTTCTCAGAGATATTTAAATTTCGATATGAAAAAGTAATCGTATTAGAAATGTAATGTAAACTTGCATTTTCTTTTTCTTTAGAAGCTTTGCAAAAGAAATGTCCAACACAACGATAAATGATACTATTATCATTGTTAATAATGATCAAGCTTATTTGATTTCACTTATCATGTTTATCAACAAAACTATTTCACAATATGGTCTAGGTTCGATTATGATCAATGGCAATATTGGATCGATTTTGACCATTATTGTCTTTTGTCAATCCGCTTTTCAGAAAAGTCCTTGTGCCATGTATTTCATTGCTTCCAGTTTTTCACAGTTGTTCACTTTCAATTTTGCTCTTTTCACTCGAATGCTACACTATGGTTATGGTGTTCATGCTCTCAATACCAACCTTTGGTATTGTAAGATTCGCTTTTACTTATCTTATGTATTTCTAACTATTCCTCGTTACAATATCGCTATGGCATCAATTGATCGTTATTTTGCTAGTTCTCGTATTGCACTTCGTCGACAATGGAGTTCACCAAAGATCGCCATTCGTCTTATTATTGGTAATGTTATTTTCTGGTGTGTCATATATATTCAAGTTATTATTTTCTATAATATAAGCACAGGTAGCTGTTGGTATCAATCAGGAGCCTATGGAATGTTTTTTAGCATTTTTATTGCCATTGGAAGTGGAATACTTCCTATACTTTTATTATTTATTTTTGGCCTATTAACTGCTAATAATGTGCATAAAACTAGACATCAGATTGAACCAGTTGGGGCAACACGTATTGGTCGACATATTCAAGGTCGAAAAACATCTAAAAAAGATGCTCAACTCCATAAGATGTTAGCAAATCAAATTCTCGTTTTTATTATTTTCAATATGCCAAATCCATGCTATCTTATTTATAAGGCATTCACTTTAAATACTTCGAAATCAGTACTTCGCAGTACAATTGAGGAGTTCGCCGGTAATATGACATATTCTCTTACGGATTTTGAATTTTCATTGACATTTATTAATTTTATTATATCATCAGATATGTTTCGAAAAGAATTTTTACAACTCATTCGAGTAAATATACTTCGTCAACATCCAATACGTGTATCAACTGTGGAGAGAGATAACAATAAGGATTCTCAAGTCAAATGACGAAAATAATTAAAATAGACAGAATGAAAAAATATATGATGATTATGTTGTTTAGTCTACTTTTTGTATATTTATGTTACGTATTTATCAATAAATATATATGTTCATCTTTAATATAAATATCATTTAAAGCAAGGGGGAAAAGCGGATCCTGGATCCCCGGATCCTCTGAATTTTTTGGATCCTGAGAAATCCTTTTGGATCCTATGGATCCTGACATTTCTGAGGATCCACCAGGATCCGCTTTTCCCCCCTTGATTATTCCTATTTCTTGTAATACAATATAATCAAGGTAAACATTTAAGTGATGTTCTCTCATTCATCACTTGGAAATTTCAATATAAATAAAAAGAACAAAAGAAGAATGAATTAAGATAACGCAAGGAAAATACCATATAAACATATATGTGAGAGAGAGGGATTTATCCCATATGATCATATATGAATAAAAGAAGGAAATATCAGAGAGACAGACACATGTGAAGAAAAGAAAGAATAGCAAACAAATAACACATGTGTTCGCTTACAAAAGAAAAGTTTGCATGCCATATATAAAGCATGTTTCTTTTTATCATTTATATACACAGTATATTGTCACTCATATCTTATCCTCAAACGTTGAAACATACTGACATGGGCAACAACATGGCTAATATTCCTCCTGTAAATGGACTGGCTAATATAAATCAACGTGGACAAGCTTCACTTGATCGTTCCCAACTCGAAGCGGCCAAAATATTTACACCGGCACGAAATCAACAATACAAAACAACGTCTCAAATCATTCATTGTCCTCATGGAGCTCAGCCGGACTGTGTTTGTGTGAAAGGAACAAAATATGAGCGCATGTAATACTATTTTGTATATGCTTCTTTTGTGCTATGTATTCCTTTAATATCTTTTTACATGAATATATTCAAGAATAAAAAAGATCCTGTATGTTACTAAATAATGTGCATTTTTGAAGGTATAAGTATGAGTGAGCATTCGAGAATAAGGACAGTTAACCCACACCCTGAAGGTATATGTGCTGGGCATAAACTCTTGGAAGGGTTTTGACCAGTTTTTTACTGTGCGAAGGTTGATTATTCTATGGTTATTTTTACAGTAGACTTGATTCTCGTAGTGTATCGATGACTGATTTACTCTTTGGAATATATTAGGTATGGCATATGTTGACCCAGTACCATTGAACAGCTCATTTGTATGTTTGAGTTTTCTCTACACAACAGATCTTCGTTAGTGGATATAAACAATGTGATAAATAAAGTTCATGCTACGATCAAATTTATTTTCAAAATAAATCTATCGTGAACTCTTTGATCGAATTAATTTTAAATAGCATCAGCCATTATAGTGGTACACATTACGTGTAACTTTAATAAACTACCGAAAATAATATTTGAAATAACTTACAGTGTGAAGAATCACGATTATTTTTTGTGCAGATAAATATATTTTTAGAAATTTAATCATTTTTTAAATTTATATTATAATTGTTTCGTTTCACATATGAAAGCGTTTCTTGCATTTATATATAGAAAGATACACATTCAATTCAATAATATATTAGTTATATTAATATTATGTTTAATATCATACTTTATTAAGAAAGAAAAATCATTACTTAGCAATATCACATTATTATAATCATAAATCAATCTCAAGAATATAAATTAGATAAAAAAAAAGAACAATTACCAGAAGTATTTTTGTTCTATTCACCATACATTTTAAGTTTATCATTCAATTGGTAAACAGCATAAAATAGATTTTGTGGATTAGATCCAGATGCACCATAAAAGAATGTGGCAAGAAGATGAAAACCAGTATTTTCAAGTTTCTCTCGCAATTCATCACATGATCGGTAAGAAATTGTTTTTATATATTCAATAATATGTGACTTTTGTTCCATCCAATCATCTATAATATTATTGTAGTCTCTATTCAATACTTGTTGATTTTCATTATGAAGATCATTCAGAGAAGTAGCAAATTCTCCAACTCGTGCGATCATCATGATAGCATGTACAAAATTGAGATACTTAGCTGCAAGTGATCTATCGTTTTTGCAATTATGTTCGCGTAAAATAAGATAACCACCCGATCGAAGAATACGAAACAATTCAGTAATTGTTTTCTCAATCTGAGATATGTGATGAAATGTAACGAAAGAAGTTATAAGATCGATACTATTATCAGCTAAATAGATAATAGAATTTCGATAAGACAATGAATGAAAAGAAAACGATGTTTACTAACGAAGATTAATTGTTGATTGACTTTCATCCACTTTAATAAATGTAATGTCTTTGCTTTGCCCTTCGTATATATCACTTCCAAAAATATATTCTTTGTTTAAACCTAAATAAGCTCCAATTGCAGCTGTGATACTTCCATCTCCACATCCTAAATCGAAATACGATCTGATTCTGTCACGATTTATAGTATGTTGTAAGTTAGGTGGTGATACAATAAATGGATGACATGATGATGTACATTTACTATTGAATTCAAAGATAAGCTTTAGATCTGTGAGACGACGATTGATTCGAGAACTATCTTCCCATTTATTGAGTGACATCTGAGCATCTAGAGATAAACTGGTAAAACTAGATCATTTCTTTCTCTTGATCTAATACACACCATGTCTTTGCTCTGTTTTCTCAATTAATTTGAATAGAATATCGAGTTCGTCGTTTTTATAATTTTCTTTTTGTATTTCATCGAAAAGTTGATACATATGAGCCCTCTGATCGTAAATTCTACCAATATACTGTAATAGAGCTTTTCTATATATATCATCCGACCATAAGGATTGTTCAGTTGATGATGAACATAACCAATCGTAAAATCCATCCTTCCTTTGATTTTTAACAGGTGATATTGAGTGTACGACTTGTCGTTGATTTAGATGTGTATTTTGAAACATGGATTTCTGTAATGAGAAATATTATGCTTATTTCTAAGATAACTTTGAACAGGAAAGCTTCTTTTCGCTTTCTCATATCTAAACACCTACTAATGCGACATTAAAAATACGCTTAGAAGCTGCCATGTCTTGATTGATGATTGTTTTGTTTTCTGTCAAGTTCTTATCATTTCGTCGATTCGATTGATTTCGTTGGTTCGTTGAATTTGTATTTTTCATATTAGGTTTGTCTAATAACAAACATTTAAAATTCATAAAAAATAAGGCTTTTAAACTAATATAAAACTAAACTACCTTCTATTTTTTGAGTGTTTGGTATTGCAGAGAAATCATCCGTTTCCTAAAAGAATAATCATAGTCAAAGAAGAATAGATCAAAGAAAAACAGTAATACATAGTCATCATATGCATTTGCAGATACAGTCCATGTTGCACCATTCTAATATAAAAGATCGAGTAAAAGATGGAATGTAATATGATTTCAATTAATTCTACTAATATACTACTAACTGTTTCAGCATAAGTAACCTCATCATAGTCATCCAACAGATTCTTTTGATTTGAATTGATTGCTTTTGACACTTCCTTATTTCCTTGAATATTATTAGATGGTTTTCGATTCACAGGTGATGAAACATATTGAGTTTGTCTACAATAAATATATATGTAAGTATAATTTAAATTTTCTTGGAACTCTCATAAACAATAAAATGACTCTTCAATATTTAGATATTCTACGCAACATTTCAATAAAAAGTATGTAATTCGTTATGTTTTTAATGGCATTTGATTATCGATGAGTTTAAATTCAATATGCTCAATGTAAACATGATTGAAAAACCCCGTCATGTATGCTACATATGCTAGACCTATCCTAATGTCTTACTCAAATTCTTTGGTTAGTTTATCGATGGAGTCCATATAACATTCAGATTGTCTATAAGTACGATGGTTTTGTTGGTTAATATCTGATACAGCAGCAGGAGCAATTGCATTTGACGTAACAGAAACGTTTTCTGAAACAGTGCCAGACCCATTGACTTTTTGTAACGTCGTCTGAATTAATATGAAAAGTAATATTAACAGAAATCAAATTGACATAAAAGGACAGTTTACATACGTCTTTGAAATGTTTAGTCGACCACTATAAACAATAATATACATAGAAAGTTGAACAAATGACTAGAATCGACATATTTACAGTGCTTGAATTTTCTACTGTTACGTTTTTAGTGTAGTCTTTGTTATTTTTTGATGATAATTTTTCTGCTTTAGACATGACAAATGAACACTTAAATATAAATAACAAATCAATACATCTCTCTATGTTCATTTTATTGCATTAAGATTTTCTATGAACTGAAAAAAAATAGTATGTTTTGCTTACCTGTTTCTCACCTGTTTTTACAAACAATAAAAAATAAAAGTAGTGTTGCATTGTTATTGTCTCTTGATATCTATTTAGAAAGATAAGAAAACAAAAAGATAATATTAATATTATATTTACTCTTACTATTGTTAAAGGCTTGAAAATCGTTCGTATTACAGAATAATAACAGATGAATAAGATGAAAGCAAAAAGTAAAATTTCAATTCTGTTCTTTTCTTACTTGAAATAGTGATGAAGTTAAACCAACGCCCTCTACATGTATCTGCTACGATCGGTTCAGTATCCTAAACCATTCGTAATTTAATCATAAGTAAATGAAATGACGATGATTAAACCAAAATAGAAATAGGAACAGAAAAAGTGATTTTGATTTTCAGCGAATCTTCACTTAAATCTTTTCATAAAACATTATTTCAGATAATGCAACCTCCGTCACAAAATTCCTCAAATAATTCTGCTAATAAATATTGGAAGCCAGGAGGTGCTCGTCCACCCCGACAACAATCATCATCCATAGTAGATCGACATGATGCTACATCAGAAAATGTTGATCTCTATCAACATTCAAGTATGTCTATTACTCAACATCGTCGTCATTTACCTATTGCTAATTATCGTACACATATTTTATATTTACTTGAAAAATATCGAACTTTAATCATCATTGGACAGACTGGTACGTCAACAAAAACTTTCTTATTTTTTTCTGTCTATAAAAATTATCATTTTGAAAAATTAGGTAGTGGAAAATCAACTCAAATTCCTCAATATCTTCTTGAAGGTGGTTGGACACGTAATGGCAAATTAGTATGCATGACAGAACCTCGTCGTATAGCAACTGTTCAATTAGCACAACGTATTGCAGATGAAAGAGATGTTTTATTAGGAAAAGAAGTTGGTTATCGAATACGTTTTGAAGATGTTTATTCAAGTGGTTTAACACAATTAATAATTCTTACTGAAGGCCTATTATTACGTGAACTTATGTATGATCCATTATTAACACGTTATAATGTTGTGATTATTGATGAAGCACATGAACGATCAATACAAACTGATCTTTTATTAGGTTTATTAAAAAAAATACAACGACGTCGACGAGATTTACGATTAATCATAACTTCTGCTACAATTGATAGTGAACGATTACGTGCATTTTTTGAAAATCAACCAAGTTCAATAGTTAAAAATGAGAATCAATCTGCAGAAAAAGAAGACGAAGAACAATTGAATGAATGTTTTATAATGAGTGTTGAAGGTCGTTCATATCCTGTTGAAATTTTTCATACAAGTGAACCTGTCCCTGATTATCGTAAAGCTTGTGCTGATGCATGTATACAAATACATGAAAATGAGAAATATAATGAACAAGGTGATATTTTATGTTTTATATCAGGACAAGATGATGTTTTACAAATAACACGTGAATTACATGAATATGCACGACGTTTAACTGATGAACAACAACATTTAAAACGTAAAGATGAAAGAAAAAAATTAATCATTTTACCATTATATGCCAATTTAAAATTTATTGATCAAATGAAAGTTTTTGAAAAGACACCACCAAATACACGAAAAATAATTGTTGCAACAAATATTGCAGAAACAAGTATAACAATTCCCGGTATTGTTTATGTTATTGATTGTGGTTATGTTCGATTAAAATTATTTAATCCAGAATTTGGTTTTGAAGTATTAACAACATTACCAATAACACATTCATCAGCATTACAACGTGCTGGACGTGCTGGTCGTGTTCGTTCAGGAAAAGCTTATCGTCTTTATCCAATATCTGAATATGAAAAAATGAAAGAATTTCAATTACCTGAAATGCAACGATGTGATTTAGCATTAGCTGTTCTTCAAATAAAAGCATTAGGTATACATAATATTGTTCGTTTTGATTTTCCTTCACCACCACCATCAAAAAATCTTCTTCAAGCTATTGAATGTTTATATGCATTACGTGCTATTGATGAACAATCTCGTTTAACAACAGATTTAGGTATGAAAATGGCTGAATTACCATTACATCCAACACATGCACGTGCATTAATTCTTTCACTGGAATATGGTTGTACACAGGAAATTTTAAAAATAGTTGCATCACTTCAAGTTAAAAATGTTTTTCTTCATCCACCAAGTGAAAAAATGCGTGCAACAAAATTACATGCGAAATTTGCTTGTCAAGAAGGTGATCTTATTACAGCACTTAATGTTATTAAAGCATTTGAAAAACAAATGATGCCACAACAATTTTGTGATAAGTATGTTTAATAAACGCTCGTTTAATTAGAAAATTCTATCTATGTTTTTAGGCATATGTTAAATGTAAAATCATTAAAACGTATTCTTGAAATAAAAGATTCATTAGAAAAATCACTTCGTCGTTTAGTACCAAAACATCATAAAATTTCTTCGTCATCTGGTGATGATGTTATACCAGTTCTTAAATGTTTAACAGATGCATTTTTTATGAATGCAGCACGTCTTGCCATTGATGGTTATACTTATCGAACATTTCGTGGTTCATCTCAAGAACTTTATATGCATCCATCGTGTATTTTATCACCTATATTACAAGCACAAGAACAAACACAAAGTCAATTACCTAAAATGATTTTATTCAATGAATTAATTCAATCATCAAAAATGTTTATGTCTGACATAACAGTTATTGAACAAAATTGGCTTTATGAAATAGCTGGACATTATTATGAACAATTATCAACAAGACAATGGATGTTAAAAGAATCATATGATATGGAATGAGAAAGAAAATATTTTGTTACTAATATCTTTTGTTTTTTCTTTGTTTATTCTAGTCAAAAAATCTAGATTAAGTTTAATTATATGTGTATATATTTCAGATGGAAAATAATGTATTACGAATACGAATTATCTCATTTAAAGATTCTGCGAAACAAAATATAAATAATATACTTTGCTATATTAAAAAATTGACAAATTTACCATCAAATACTGGTAAGATATTGTTTATGAGTAAATCTGTCTTATTCAAGAACAATTCATTTTTTATGTACAGATTCAACAATGATACTGGCACCATCCGATACAGCTGAAACATGTGTTTGTTCTGTCAATGAAACATTTGATTGGCGTATCGATGATGGAAATTATTGTCAACTTGTCTTTCTAACATCAAAATCGAGATCAAAAGCTATTGCGGATATTATTTTATGGTTTAATTATTTATTTGAATATGTTACTGATCCTAAACATAATAAAGAATCTCATACTGAATTACTGTGCACTGTAAAACATATACTTTTTTTAATTAGACAAAAATATCATTGTTCAATTTATTTAGGCAATGATTCGTCGAGATTATCAGTTTGAATTTACTGTTCAGTTACTTCGAGATTCAAAGACTTTAGTGCCTTATCGTAAGTTTAATAGTATGAAAAAGAATTAAATTTTAAATATCTTATTAGTATCGTCAGCAATAAAACAGCGACAGTATGATAAAATATCTTCTCGGCAATCGATTCGAGGACATTTAATGAAATTACAACAATTTAATCATCCAGTTCATTGTGCTATATGCCATGGATTTATTTGGTATTTTATTTGAATACTATTCTTCTTCGATTATAAAATCATTGTTTTATTTATTAGGGGTCTTCATCATCAAGGTTTTGAATGTTCACAATGTTTTCTTGTAACTCATAAAAAATGTAATCAACATATACCATTTTGGTGTCGACGATCTTTATTTCCAGTATGTAGTTTTTCTTTTTCTTTTTCACATAGACGAATATTTTTATTGAAATAATAAGGAACCTCCTTCATTAAACGGTAGTTCCCGAATAAATATTCATATTCCACATACATTTAAACAACATGATGCACCATTTGTTCGAGCTTTAGTTACTCGCAATCATGGTCATTGTAATCATTGTGGTTCAGCAATATTTCGAAATGCTCTTAAGTGTACACGTACGATATACAATAAATAACTTCTAAACCCTATGCTTTCACTAATAGCCTATACTAATAAGAATTAAACTTAACAAAATATGATTATTGAAATATTTTTTTGATTTAGAATGTCATTTTATTATTCATGAACATTGTCAGCCAAATATTCCACCAATGTGTACAATTCCATATAATTCAATGGCTGAAGCTATAGCAGATGCAGGTGATTTAATTAATAGAGGTGTACGTATTCATTATTCTAATCAAGAGATTGAAGTAACTCATTCAAGATCATCATCTTTCGATATATCTTGGCTTGATCCATTGCCAGAATTTGATTTTGAAAAACATAATACAATATTTCTACCAAAAATTGCAGATTTTGAATATATCGGGCGAGTTGGTGATGGTGCTTTTGCTCAAGTCTATTGTGTTCAACATATTTCATCAAAACAATATCTTGCAGTTAAAGTTGCGGATGGAAACAATGATCAAGCTCGACAACAATTAGAAGTTGAAAAACAAATCTTATTTCGTTATAGTCGTGGAAATCCTTATATGATTAAAGCTTATTGTACATTTCATCAAGGAGTTAGTAAAAATTGATTTTCTATTAATTTTAATACAAAATTTTATTTTTAGAGTAAATTATTTCTTGTTATGGAACTTGTTCAAGGTGGAACTTTATATCATAAAATTCAAACAACACGTATGAATGAAGATGAAATAAGATTTTATTTAGCAGAAATTATATGTGTACTACAATATTTACATTCAAATAATATTGTTTATCGGTATTAGTTTTTTTACAAAAAGAATAAATTTATTTTCATACTCTATTAGAATATTTTAGAGATCTAAAACTTGAACATGCAGTTGTTTGTACAGAAGGTCATATACGTGTAGTTGATTATGGACTTGGACGATTATTAAAAACTTCGGATGAAACTTGTCATACTTTTTGTGGTACATATAGTTATATGGCACCTGAAGTAAAACACTGGTTCATTTTACAAGAGAAAGAGAAATATACGAGTTTTTATTTTTATAGGTTCAATGTTTAGAAACAAAAGCAACTAAAGAGGGTTATAGTTATCCAGTTGATTTTTGGGCACTTGGTATAATGTTTTTTCAAATGTTATCCGGTGAATTATTTGATTATCCCCCTCAATCATTTTCAAATACTAATGAAGAAACAAATGAATCAAAAAATATTGTAGATATATTAGGATTACCTCGTCATGCAAGTCCCGAAGCTTATTCATGTATTTATGGTTTACTTGAAAATGATCCAGAAAAACGTTTAGGTTCACCTGATTCACCTCATGGTCTAATACGTAATCATCCATTTTTTAAAGCTGGTCGTAAAATTGATTGGGAAAATATTGATGAAGGTGTATTCAAATCAATGGTGAAAAATATTTCGGTAACAAAAAAAACAAACTAAATTTATATTCTATGAATCATATATTTCCTATAGGCTGCCATGGTTACATCTGATGCATCAATTTATCGACCACTTGCAACTTTATCGATGGATAGAGGAAGTCATGGTAAAGCTGAATGGATAGCTGCCGGTCAATCAACATGTACATTAGCTGAAGATGAACAATTTAAATCATTTGATTATATTAACCAGTCTTCATGGCTTGAATTAATTCAATCAGATGTTTAATGAGAATTTTTGTTTTCTGTATTAACAATTATTTTTTTGTTTCATTCCTATTTTTTTCTAACAAATACATAAAATTATTTATTAAGTAAAGTATATATGAAACTATGCATAAAAATTCTTTCGATAAATATTTTATAAATATTATCTATTCAGGACAAACATTTGTTATTCGAATGATTAAGATTAGATAGTTGTTCTTATATACATATCATAAGTAGTTACTCAAGGGCATTATTATCCTCAAACAAAAACAAACGACGAGTTATATCGATATCAAACCTTTTTTTTCTTTCTTCTTCTTTCGTTTTTCTGTCGTGTCATATTATTCGACAGACAAAAAAGCAAAGTTTCGTATTTTTTTCGTTAAGTTCTCTCTCTATATATATTTGCGTATAGATTTTAGATATTCTTTTTTAACATTTTTATAATATCAAATGGCATCATCTCAAATTGTTCGTCGTATTATTAAAACAGCTGCAGCTGGCCCTACAAGCGGACCATACAGGTAAAAAAAATGAGTAAAATAATGAAATTATTTATAGAAATATTTTAATTTTAGTCAAGCTGTTCAAGTTGGTCAAACATTATATTTGAGTGGATCAATTGGACTTGATCCTAAAACAGGTCAATTCGCTGGTGATGGTGTACAAGAACAAGCTCGTCAGGTAGTTTGATCATAAAAATAACTATAAATTTCTCTTTATAACTAATTTTAGTCATTGAAAAATTTGGGTGAAGTTCTTAAGGCAGCAGGTGCTTCATATAAAAATGGTTTGTTATAAGTAAAATAAAATGATAATAGAGAAAAATACAGATTTTGTTTTAGTTGTGAAAACTAATGTCTTTCTTCAGGATATGAATGACTTTGCTGCAATGAACGAAGTTTATTCTGAAAGTAAATATTTTATTATAACTAATATATAAATTAAATATTCGATGATAGTTTTTACTGATCGTCATCCAGCTCGATCAACAGTTCAAGTTGCTGGTCTTCCAAAAGTAAAGAAAATTTTGATAGTTATCAAATTTATATAAATTCAATTTTATTTAGAATGCTAGAGTTGAAATCGAGGCAATAGCTGTTTTGGGTGATATTCAAGAAGAATAAGAATATAATTCTTTCATCTGTGACTTTGATGTTGATTGCATGTTCACTATCGATGATTTTTTTTCCACCTTTTTCTTTTTCTTGTTCTTGTTCTATTCAACGCAATCATAGCAGTAATATTAATAAACTGTGTTAACAACAACATACCAGTGAATTAATTGCTTGTTCATTCGTTTTTCTCATTTTATCACAGACATGCTTCAAAATGTAAGGAAAAAAAGAAGAAAATCTGATTAGACTGTCGTTTCTCGTGGGAGATTATTTTTGATCGTAATCGAACGTCGAATATGGTTTGCACGCAAATATGTCACAAAACCAATCGATCGAGCTAAGTGCTTTTTTCCCAATAATGTAAGGGCGGAACCTGATCTGCTGTCAAATATCAAGTAAACCTAGAGGCAATAGAGAAAAGTGAGAGAGAGAGAAAGAGATGGGAGGGGAGGGGGGAACAAATCTATATGAACATGAACAATACTACCTGATAGTTTACAAGATGATGGAAGCCTTTAACGAGAGGAAAGGCAACCCCCAACCGATTACATGTCTATTGTGATAAGCAACAGGAGAGGAAAAAATATGATTCAATTAGGGAGAGGAAAAACCGAACAAGCTCACCAATATACATATGCATATATATATACACACATGGATAAACGAGGAAAGAAGAACGAACTATTGAAGCATTAATCAATTGTATAGTGCACCTCCCACACTTGTCTAAATACAAGAAAAAAGATGTGCTCAATTAATTGTCGATGACGAGTATAGAAACGAAAAAAATATATATAGAGGTGATCAAGTTTCATATTTCACTTCAATTAACATATGAAATTCATGTTTTGTAAACATGATTATGAAATCGAAATAAGAAAAAGTTTATATTTGTTATCTTCTACCAATCAAATCAGAATAAATTTCTGTTCTATAAATTCTTTCAATGTCTGTCAATTTTCTAATTTTTATTTGTATAAAAGTTCTCAGAAAGATACAATATTTCAAAATTGATTGATCATGCACGAGTAGCATTTCGTGAAATGTTCATCATTATATCTCATCTTAATTATGGATACAACTACTCTAGTAGTTTCTATTACTGACATTGTATCGGTAAAGATAAAAGTGATGTACATCCAACTGTTTCTTCTTCTGTCTATTGTTTCTCATTAAATACGATTTTATTTGATCATCTTTTTCTCAACAATATATTAAAATTGGCTTTGTTAATTTCTTTGAAGAAAAAATTTTTCTTCTAATTTTTGAAAATAAAAATAGAAAGAAATCCAGGATGTTCGAGCTTATTTTTTCTATTTATAATAGTTTAAGACAATCAATCATCCGAGTGATAATAAGGCGTGAGACCAGAAAGAGCACAACACTTGTGAACGATGATGCGCTAGTCAGAATAATTATGTCGTTGAGATGGATAGGTGCTAGCGCAATAGGCAATGACACCATAGTCATTTACGCGTTTAACTACTTGACAATGATGATGACTGTAAAATGGATGGTGTGAGATTCCTTAAAAGACAAAACGATAATTTCTTATCCTTACTGCCATCTTGATTTTAGAAGAGAGAGAAGAAATTAAAACATGCTGTTTAATAATTGTAGCTTATTTAATTTGAGCAATGAAAAATTATTCTTATAATAGATATTTGAAATTTATTCAACTAGAAAAGTTTTTGTTTATAAAGAAATCATTCATAAAGAATATTCGTCGTTTGTTAAAAGAAAAAGATTGGACAGAAACCTCAACAGATGGACAAAGATCAAAAAAGCAATTTGTTCATCGGATATTCTTTGTGAATTACTCAAAAGATTGTTTCTCAATCGAATGACTTTTGTACATCTTTATTACAATTTGATTAGTATAAAAACATAGCCTTTTTTTAAATTTAAAAATAAAAATTCGATTTTCTTCTTTTGTCAACATTAAGCAAACATAGTATAGATAAAAACAATTATCAAATGATAAGATCTACAATATTCAATAATTCTTCGATCAGATAAATCTGATACGATCTAATGATGATAGGAACAGCATTGTTATATCCACACATTATTTTCTTTGTTTGTCTCATTCACATACAAGTCAATCAATCAATCAATTATGTATTTGCCTTGTCTCTCTCTCTTTCTCGGTTTTTTTGTTCTATATAATATTTTCTACTTTATAAACTCTATTGCAAATTGGAAATATGAGATGAAGCCATAATAACCAAGAAAAGAAAAAGGGCAATTCTGCTCTTTTCTTCGCATAGTATTTCTTTACATTCTAGAGAAAAAAGAATGTAAGATACTAACGATAACATCGTACCTAATTGGGTGCAAATTACTACACAACAGAGTATATAGAGAATAAGGAAAAAATTCTCATTTTTTTTTCCTTATTTCTTGTCATTCGCATTATGATTGGCCCATTGACGAAAATATCAGGCTTGTTGAGCCAATTCTTTCTTTCTCTTTTAGTTCTATTCTAGACATGTTCTGATTGGCTTAGTTAGTTAGTAGAGAGAGAAAAAGAAAAAAAAAAGATTCGACCCATTCTCTTTTTTGCCCAATTATCAACAAATTAGTTTCTCTCTGTTTTTTTTTCTTCTTTCTCTTATTCTCTTTTCTTGTTCATATATGTTAACAACCTAATAATCAATTGATTGACTTCTTTTTCTTTTCAACATCGTGTCATGAATTTAACTCATCAACAACAACAAATGCATCATCATCATCATCATTATCCTCAACAAATTCCTTCAACAACTCGAACAACTGCATTTGCAATTCAAGAAATTCTTGGTCTTACATCAACTGATCTTGCTGCAGCACGAGCTTATGCCGATCATCAAGCCTATACAGCTTATTTATCTCGATCAAGTTTATTTTCATCTCCATATCATCCTCAACATCATCCAACAGGATCATTTATTAATCCAGATGTTACACATTCACATACAAATTTTCTTCAACAATTTTCTCCAACAAATTCGCATAATACAAATACAACATTAGATTCATTACAAGATAATTTAGGTAAAAGAAGAAAAAGAAAGAACACAAGTTTTGATAAAGAATTTGTTTTTTGACGTTTGAAGACGATAAAACTAGACAGTTCTTATGTATAATTTTGCCTCCTTATTTAAACAACACTTGACGGATAACGATTCCTTTCGTGTTTTATTTTATTTTTCAATCAAATCAAACAAAAATATGATTATCGAAAAAAACACTTTAAAGATAAACATTTTTCTGTCTCTGATCTTTTGTTATTTTTTGCATTGTGTTTAGATCGAGATATTCTTATTGGTAATACAAATGGAAATGGAAATGATACATGTGGTAGTAATGAAAAATTAAATACAAATGGTACAAATAGTAGTAATAGTAGTGGTTCAGGAAAAAAGAAGAAATGTAAACGAAGACATCGGTAAATAATAAGCAACTAAGTTTTCATTTTTCAATTTTATTTTACTTTTTTTTTTAGAACTATATTTACAAGTCATCAAGTAGAAGAATTAGAAAAAGCATTTAAAGATGCTCATTATCCGGATGTATTTGCACGCGAATTACTTGCAGTTAAAACTGATCTTCCTGAAGATCGAATACAGGTTTGTTAATTGTTTTATATTGAAAAGTTAAATAAAAAAAGAAAAAGCTTATTCGCTTCTCTATTGATAGGTAGGCGGAGAAAGAAATTTTCATGTATTGTCATTGTGAATGGGTTAATTAATTCTCTCGGTTCTCATCATCATTAACGCACGGCGTGCGTGTATGTCTCCTATTTCTAAGCTTACACGCACTAGTCTTGTACATGTTTCTGTCTTTCTCTCTCCCTTCGTTGGTCTATATTTATTATTCTACATCGACAGCATAAATAGTCGCTCAGCGTGATATCTCTATGCCATGTTCTAATGAGCATTTTCACATCGATTGGTGGAAAAACTATAATAGCACGTGTGCACGATTGGATCATCTCTTTCTCATTCCTTTGCCTTTTTTTTGACATCCTCAACCATTTATTGCAGGATGGGTGTCAATGCGAAAGAAGGATTCAGTCTGTCAACTAATTGCTCATTTAGTTTATATTCATGACGTCATTTCTTTTCTCCTGTCTCATATAAAAACGAATGTGTGAGCAACTCATCGGTTCATTGATGAGTTTTTTCTCGCATATGGATTGCTTACAATGAATATTCTCACACACACACAGATTTTTTGTTAGTTGACAATGTGATAATGACAATTTATTTTTTTTTCTGTTTAATTAGGTTTGGTTTCAAAATCGTCGAGCTAAAGTAAATTTTAAAAATATTATATTTCAAATAAATAATTATTGTGTTTTTCTTCAGTGGCGTAAAACAGAAAAAACATGGGGTAAAGCGACAGTAATGGCTGAATATGGTCTTTATGGAGCTATGGTTCGTCATTCACTTCCATTACCTGATACAATTGTTAGATCAGCTAAAGATGGTATTGATTCATCATGTGCACCATGGCTTCTTGGTATGCATAGAAAATCATTGGAAGCAGCTGAACAATTAAAAAAAATGGTTAAAGATGATGGAGAAGAAGGTGAAGAAGATGGTGATGGTACAAATGAACATGATGATAATGACGATGATGATTGTAGTAGTACACATTCAAGAGAATCATCTCGTTTATTACCTAGATCAACACATATTGATATGACAGAAACGATGAGAAGTGAAAGTATTGCCGTACTTCGTGCTAAAGCTCAAGAGCATAGTGCACGTACAACAACAACAACATCACCAAATAATTGTCAATAAATAACGTTTAGGACAGATTTTCTTGCTCTCTTTTTTCTTCTTTTTTTTTGTACAGTGCATGTTTGTTTCAAGAGATAAGAAAAATAAATATAAATTGCAGTTTTCAATTGAATGATGACAATATTTTCTCGGTTCATACGTATTAGAAGTCCGTGCAATTAAGTAAATGCAAATTATCATGCGTAATTCTTTTTTTAGTACTTTGTTACATAAAAAAAAGAAAAAGTTATGATAACACGAGCATCTAGACATTAAACAAAAAAAGAACCAGTTTTTGTTTTTCTTAAAACTAAAAATAACAATAGTTCTCAAAATTTATTTAGTATCATATTTAACATGCATTCATTACTACGTGACATTTAAATTATATATTTTAAAATGATGAATATCAATAGGTAACATATACAATTACGATTACATAATTATTAATGAGTACTAGTTAGAATGACATGTGATGAAATAGAAGCTCTTCTTCAGGTATTTTTGTAAAGTACGTTCATTTATAATTTAAAATTAAGATTCATTATTTAACAGTAATTATATTTAAAATCCATTGTTACTGTCTAAGATTCGTTAAGAATCTATTTATAATATAGAATTGTTAACATCGTAAAATAACAAGTAGTTTTATAGTACATTATAATTATGAGATACTTCACTTCGGGTATAGAAAATGTTTTTTTCACATTTAAATGTCAAATTAGTTCTATTTTTGTGTTATTAATCAGTATCATATTTTAACAATGAAATATCACATTTTATTTATAAAATAATATTTATATATATACTTTAAAGGCAAAGTTTTATTGCCGATCTTTTTTAATTGCTGTAACTAAAAAAACAAGGGAAATATTAAAATTAAGATTAAAAAATTTAGTAAACGAACTTTTTTCATCAATTCCTATTTTACGTTTTTGTTGTTCAGTTTGTTGAATTTCTTTAGGTTTAGGTAAACGTTCACTTGGACATGGTGCTGGTGGATTATTAAAATATTCCATTTGAAGTGTTTCACTTGCATCTGGTCGACGTTTAGGATCGAGTTGCATAATTCGTTCTAATACATCAAGTTCATCTTGTTTTGATGTTACAAATATAGTTCGTAATGGTTTTGGTTCTGTTTGTTTAAATTCAATATAATCTGAGAATGTTCTTACATCCTATTTTTAAATAATAAAATAAACACGAAAAAAAAATCTTATATTTTTTATTTACCGGCCAATTACTATCTGTTGGTGTTCCGAATACTTCAAATATTTTCAATAATTGACCAAGATCGGAATCACCAGGTAATAATGGTACCTAAACAGAATTGTAAATTTTCTATTTAATTCATTGATATTTACTCGAAGAAGTAATTCAGCCATAATTAAACCAGCTGCCCATATATCTACCCCAGTACCATATTTTTTTGCACCAAAAAGTAATTCAGGTGATCGATACCATCTAATAAATATTAAATTGATAGTGTAATATTTAAAAGAATTTGTATGTATTTACCTTGTAACAACTTCATGTGACATTAATCTTGATGGTGAACCAAAAAATTTAGCTAAACCAAAATCAGCTATTTTTAAAACACCGCGTTTATCAATTAATAAATTGTTTGGTTTTAAATCCTAAATTAGAAAAGATCAAAGATATTTCAATGCATAAATATTTTATATTTACTCTATGAAGTATCCAATTATTATGAAGATATTCCAGACCAAGTAATAACATAATCATATATGATTTAATATGTGTTGTTGTCAAAAGAAGACTTCGATTATTAATAACATTCTATAAAATACAAAATCTTTTATATTCAAATAGAAATTTACAACAAAAAAAAATCTTACCTCAAGATCAGTATTCATAAATTCAAATACTAAACAAATACTTGGACTATTTGATCCATATTCTCCAAATGAATCGAGTAACTTAAAAGGAAAATAGAATGTCTTATACAACAATCAATCCTATAAATAAGAAAATACTTCAATAACATTTGGATGTTTAACTTCTTGCAGAAATTTAATTTCTCTTAAAGCTGTTAAATTAATTCCATCAGCTGCTTCTTGTCGACTACCAATTTTAATTTTTTTTACAGCAACCTCATCATTTGTTTGTGTATCTTTTGCTTTATATACAACAGCATACTAATGAAATATAATAAATTTTTTTTATTTCCTTTTTTATTTTAATCATTAATTTTATTTTCTACCTGTCCTTCACCGAGTACTTTAAGAAAATTATATCGACGCATTTTTGTTGACATTTTAATTTTTCTAGAAAATATAAACTCTATGAATAAACAATAAACAAACAAAATGATATGAACAAAAGAAAAAAGAAGACCCAAAGATATGAATACAAAGATATACACAGCAAAGAAAAAAAAACGAAGACGAAATTCTCGATCGAAAAATACAAATAAGATAAAGATCAAGATTTTGAATGTCCAATAACACGGCGAATTATATCATTGATATCCTAAATAAGATAAATAAAATAAATATAATAATTTTGTTTTTATATTTTTTACCAATGGTCGACATGAATCTTCAACCCAACGAAGCATTGCGGATGTAAATTGAGAAAAGTTTGTTATTTGTTCCACTTGCATTGCTTGATCAAAACTTAGGAATAATCCATCAGCAATATTTTGAAACTAAATATCAAACAAAAAGAAAAATAATAACAAGTCTATAAATGCGCATACCACTTTAAATTTCTGTTCATCATCAATTGTTGCACTTGCATTTTTACTAGATTTTAAATTCATTTCAAGAATATCTTCATATGTTCTGATTTTTTCAAATAAAAATATTTTTTTGTAAAAATTTAGAAAATAATAAAACAAACTTTTGAACAGCACGTAAACAATATGTATCTTTTCTTTTCTCTTCTAATTGAGTATTTAATTGTTGTTTTTCTTTATTTAATTCCATAAGATAATCAGTAGCTAAATATTTTCAAAAGTTCAATTTGTTTTTTGTTTTTTTTATAACTTACATCGTTTGAGAATTGCTGCTTTACTAACTTTTTGTGAACTAATTGGGTCAAGTAAATGACTATTTGGTACAAGGCTTTGTAAAGCATCATATCCTTTCTAATAAAATCAAAGAATGATAAATATTCAATAATATCAATGGGTGTGGGATGAATATAATTCCTATACCAGTGTTCTATCCAGATCTCGTTTTTCGGACGGGCGACACCTACCCGCTAGATAAAACACTGACCCCCTCCCCCTCTAGTCATTTTTAAAGCTGGTTTTTATGAGATGATCTCAGCAATGGGTGAAATTTGCGACTCCTCGATTAATCGAGATTAGAAGGATCTTTAATAAGCATACTTTTGGATCTAGTTATGTTATTTTTTTTTCTTAATATTAAATATAATATATTTAAATTACTCGAATAGCATTTCGACGTTTTTGTTCAGCAGCTGTATGAGCAGCTCGTCTTCGATTATCATCACGTTTGATTTCTGAACTTTTTTCCATAGCACCATTTGACATATTCGCATTCAATAAATCACTTTCATCGTCATCATCATCATCATCATCATCTATGTTAAATAATATTCAGAAAAAAATGTTTAAATTATAATCATAAATAAACCAGAATGATCAGCAGAAGATGGAAGAGAATATGATACTTGAGGAACATATTGACGCTTTTTTAATGGTGAAACTTGTCGATCTGAATTCGAATAAGTACGTTTTATTTGAGGATTAGTATTAGTATTCGTATTATTATTATTATTGTTATTATTTGTTTCTCCATAATAACGAAGCACTAAATATTTATGAGATATTATAAATATTAAGAAGAAAAATAAATCTATATTTACTTTCATTATAATTAGATGTTAGTTGTGAGTTAACAGGAAACTTAAAAGAAAAATAATATTAGATCTTATTTAAATCATAATCATACTTTTAGATGTGATTTTATTGTTTGATTGGCATCTTGTTCAGGCCAATAATTGTTCATTCCTGATGTATTCATATTATCTAAAATAGATTTGATTAGAATTTTATATTATTACGAAAATAAACTTAGAAAAATCTTCTAAAAAAACAACCTATCTATTTAATCAACAGTTGTACGAATTCTGTTTGCACAACCTTATATGTCATATAAATAATTGTAAGTGCAAAGTTTTCATCGAAGTCAATTTCTACCTTATTTTTTAAATATACATTAAACATGTATCAAATGTGATGTATCATAGATTATACGTAGTATAGTTTTTATGGTTCTATTCAAAATCATGAACAATCTTAGGTATACCTTTCACAAAAACAACAATCTTTTTTACATTTATCTTGTAATACAAATAACACTTGTTATTTAGGCATAAATGTCTAATAGTTCTCGCAAAATAAGAGAAAAGGCATAGGAAAAAAAAACAACCCTTTTTACATTCAGCTAAGCATGAAATAATTGTAGTATACAACTTATTTTGACAAGATAAATGTGAAAGTCATAGTACTACTACTACTACTGTGTTAGTATCAATAATATCATCGAGGTATTATTGACGATATTTTTCAAGTGAAAATTAGTGTTTTTTGCTTCAATGATATCAATTTCTTTTGTTCGAATCGATAGATGAATCATACTTTATTGATACTGATAAATTGATATCAATTATATAAACATCTTTGGGGACATCCTCATGTTATTTATTGTTAATAGAATAATGTAAACATGATTTTAATTTCATAGCAAAGAGCTTAATCAAGATAAAAATTTTTTTAATTACCTTTTTAATCAGTAATATCAAATAGTGAAATCGACATTTAAATAAAAAAAAAAGATTTATATAGATAAATAGAAAAAGAATGAATACACTCGATTATTGATTCGATGTGTTGATATGACTATCACCAATAGATGCCGTTACTGAGCAGTCATTTTCTCTTGGATTTTAAATGCAAAATAGTATAAATCTATTTTTTAGTTTTTTTTCAAAATGTATTTCTAGAAAACAGAGAAAGTCTCATAGTTATTATCAACAATATAATAGATTTAAGATATTTTTTAAATTTATTTTAATTCCATGATTGACACTATGTTTATTCTTGATGTATTCATATTATTTACAATAGATTTTATATATCATTATCAAAAAATAAAGTATCTGATTAGTGAAGATTTGCATCAGCCCGTTCACATAATCGAGCAAGTAATGAAGATAATTGTAATTGTGATTCAACACCTTGACTAACACGCATATAAGTCAAACCAATTTCCTTTTAAAAATAAATTTTTTTGATAAATAAAAAAGATGATTTTCTCATACTCGAATAAATTCAAGTTGTATAAATTCACTCATTGAATATGTTTTTGTTACACGCATTATAACAGAAAGTATATCTTCAGCTGTATAACCTAATCTCCAAAGATGATTCATTGCTTTATAAGCTTCATCAAGATCTTTTTTAAGACATTTTTCAATCATATCACGAATAAGTATAGGATGTGGTTCATCACATACTTTAAATACATTTTCACTATTAACATGACCAAATCCAAATACAGTTGATTGAAGATTATTAATAGCCTAAAAAATAGTTCGATAGATAAAAATTTCTAAGTAAAATAATCTAATCTATACTTGTCTCATATCACCTTGTGCTGTAAAAATAATTGCTTCAAGACCTTCCGAAGTAAATGAAACTTGTTCAGTTTTAGCTATTTCAACTAAACGTTTTAATAATTGTTCATCATTTAATTTTGAATATCTTAACATTGCACATCGAGATTGAATTGGTTCTTTGATAGATATATATATATGGTTTTGAAAGAAAAATATAAAATAAATATCTTACCAATTATTTTATCTGACGCATTACATGCAAGAGCAAATCGTGTTGTTTTAGAATATAATTCCATTGTACGACGTAATGCTTGTTGAGCTCCTTCTGTCATACTAATAGAAATAAAATATAAACAAAAAAAAATAATATGATTTATAAATATACCTATCAGCTTCATCAAGAATAATTATTTTATGTCGTCCTTTTGGCAATGATACTTTCGATTGAGCAAACATTTTTATTTTCGTACGAACAACATCAATACCACGATCATTTGATGCATTCATTTCAAGTACAGCTTCACGAAATGAATCACCTAACATTTGTCTTGCAAGACAAAGAACACTTGTTGTCTATATAAAATAGAGTTTTGTTTTTTGTTTATGAAAAAATTGTTCAAATATAATAACAAACTTTTCCACAACCAGGTGGACCTGAAATAATAATATTAGGTAAATTGCCTTGTCGTGCAAAATGACTAAGACGTGATACGGCTTCTTCATTGCCAACAATATCATCAAGTTTCGTTGGACGATATTTTTCAAGCCAAGGCGTATGTTTTATTACTGGTGTTTTGACGATAACATCATTTACTTTTGTTTGAATATTAGGTGGATCATTTTCTTTTGTCACAGATGAACTAATATCAATCATATCAACATCTTCTAACATATTGTCGATTTATAATAGAATGAAAATAATATTTAAATAAAGTCATATACTATAACAGAAAGAATGAAAGAAAGAACGTACGTGGTCGTTCATTCATTCGGTGTGTTAAGATAACTATTGTCGACAGATGACTTTACTAATCAATGATCATATAAAAAAATCATATGTTATTCGTTGAGAAAGATGAATATTAATGTATTATTTATTGTTCTTTTACTAAACAAGGTCATATTATACAGATAATCTTCGATCAAATATAATATTAACCTACCTGATATCATATCAATTGCATGATAGCAAATATTCTATTTTTATTTTTATTGTAAATATTAATTCATATGATGTACATAGAAAGATATTTGATAAATATATTAAATTTCATTTTCATGACAACATTTTTATTTCGAAATCAATCTATATTCTGTCATCATCATCATCATCAAATATGTTATATTCAAAGCCATTTTTATTGGTAAAATTTGAAATAGATTCATTTAGATCTTTACTACAACCGAAATTTGTCTCTAAATTTACATAACAAAATCAATATGATTTTATCACACTTAAACTTTTGTCAGTTATATAATTCAATATCAACACTAATAGTAGGTATGATAAGAGTTGCTCTCATCTTGTATTGTTATTATACAGATGTTCAATAATGTACATAAATGACATTTAAAGTACTTCACCTGTCTATAGTTAGACATTGTATTCATTGGTCATAGTACTTCACCATTTATTTTTAGTTATATTTATCTAATTGAATACATACATATGTCTCAATAAGACATTTCATGTCATAAAAAAAAACGAAAAGACGAAATAGTCATTTTTATGTTGATAATGTTATTTGTCTATACATGACGATGATTTTATACATAAAGTTCATCGATAAAAACCAAATATTTAATAATTTACATTTTTTTTTCAAATATGGTATAAGATTTTTATTATTAGATCGTAATTTTATCATCTGCATGTTATTGTAGTTTATTTAACAGTATATTAAATAAATTAATTTTCATATTATTTGTATGTCTTCTTATACTTACTGTATATCATTTACTAATGGGATTTTTTAAACGGTTGTAAGTACATATAAAAGTACTTTCCAAGTAATAGTGAAATAATCATAATTTACACGTAATCATCTACGTCATAGTTTAGTAAGAATAAAAGAAAGACATTCGAATCTAGTATATTCGTATTTATTCAATTTCTTTTTTTCCTTCTGTCCAATTTCCTTATACTTTCGTTTGCTGTCAACTCATAACGAACACATACTGAGAAAGAAAGAAAGAGAAAAAAATGAGAATAACGTTCTCAGTATAATGTTTGATTTACTTATTCTCGAAAGAAAAAGAAAATCTTTTTTTTCTTCTTTGCTCCTTGTTGTCCTTCATATTCTTCCACTTTTTTTCCTCTTTCTATTAGATTTTTATTTACTAGCTGATTTTTAACTGACTTAATCAACTGTACATATATATATATATATACTTCACAAAAGCAACTTACTACCACTACTGACTGCGACGCGTGTGTACAACAACATCTTTATGTAGTGCAGGAAGTCATTCGATACGTTTTATTTTCTTCACATATAATCTTTTTATATCATAACAAGCTTTTGACAATGCTAACAATCGAAACAGGACAAAAGAAGAAGAAAAAGCAGAATATATACTTCACATTTTTTGTTATCGCAATGAAATTTATGACTGATTTTGTACAAGAAAATAGTTGTTGAACACAAATCAAAGAATGAAAATTAATTTATTGATACAACGAAAAGATAACAAACGATTAATTACAACGAAAGGTATAGTTATACTAGATAGAAAATTAAAAAGCATGTTTTCAATTAGAAATAATCGAATTTTTAAAGTAAATAAACAGAAAGTCAGTTGAATGGATTTATTTGAATAATCAAATAGTCAGTTGAGTGTAAATTTATAAACATGTCTAGGTCTTTCTATACTTGCATAAATATCAATCTTTATTTTAAGTACATTTCTCTTGTTTTGATATATATATATTACTAGTTTTTAAGTTACAGGATCTGACTAAATATTTATTTACTTTCTATTATTATTCTCACCGTCTTATACAAATAACTGCACAGAAGAGACAAAAAAAACACTATAAAAATGCCATAAGGGCTATTACGTCTATTGAATACTACTACCATATTACTCTCAGTTTACGATGTGACCAAAACAAAAGTATTCTATTTATTTTTTTTAAGATGCTGTGTCATAGTTGAAATAAATTATTAATTAACTAAAACTAAATGGCTCGTAAAGAAGAATATCATCGTCAACAACATCAAATGCATTATGCTACAATCATGCCAATTCATACTACTATTACTAATGGAAATGATTCAAATATTTCACCTTTAACTCGAAAACAAACCAATGAATTAGAACGAGTAAAAGCTGTAAGATGATTTATTATTTAGCACAAAAAAATATTATCAAAGAAAGAAAAATTATGTTTTTTCTCTCTCTCTATTCTTAACTATAAAATCATAATAGTACCTCGAGTACGAAAAGAAAATCTTATTGAATATTTCTGTCATATTCTCTTGTATATATATATAAGTAAATGAGTGTTGAATTGACACATTATTTTCAATACAATGATTATATTTTGGTTTTTCTTTCGTTAGTTGTATGTCGAATTTGACGATGCCTTTCAAGAAGAAACTAGAAATCATGATTATTTTGGTTTTCAACCATCTCATGATGAATCTTATGAACCAGCAAATTTTTATCTTCAATCAGTTGAAACAATATCTGAAGTGAAAAATACAAGTTTTTCACCATTTATGCGTCGTCGTACATCTCGTGAAAATAGTCGTCCATCGACACCTTCAGATTCATCACCGAATCAACGACGACATAATCATCGTCCTAATCAACCTCCTCCACTTCCTCCTGCTTCGCAAAATCATAATATAACGAATATAAATGGTATAACAAATTTAAGTCGAGATTTTAATAATTTAAATTTAATACATACAAATCATATTGATGAATCACCAGCTCCATTTACTCCCGATGCTATTCTATTAAAAATAAAACAAAATGAATATGTTGATGCTCCTGTTGTATCATCACAATACAAATTATTGCTACCACAATACTTTCTTGTTAAATATTTAGGTCGAAAACCATGCGTACAATTATGGGGCTCAAAAGCAGTACGTGGTCCTATCGATGAAATGGTAGAAAGTGCTCGACAAATATCATCGATGAATGAAATGCCAACATTAGAGGCATGTATAAATACACGTGGACTTACGCTTACACATCGACAATCACCAACACGTACTAAACATAATTCACGTAATCATAGTCCTGAACGTCATCAACATGGTCTTATTCCATTAGAACATATATCTTATGTTATGCATGATGTCAAATATTCTAAAATCTCGGCTTGTATCGTTTTACGTCAACCGAAAAGTTCATCTACTGACAGTAAAATAACTAATGAAACAGTAACAGAATGTTATGCATTCTTATTTCAATCGAAAGATCATGGACATCGTTTTGCTCTTTCACTTGCTGAAGCATTTAATGCCCAACAACAATCTTCAAGAGGAATAAAACAAAATCATGATGATAAAAGAGAAGGACATTCACCTCGGCGTCGATCAAAACATCGACCTGGCCTTCATCAACATGAAAAAACACGAAGCAAATATGATGATACTTATTTAAGAGATTCAGAAGTATAATCAATTCTATCTTTTTCTTCTTTCATTTATAATTAGTCTTTCATTAACCTGTGATGTTGAGACAAATCATGCAAACATAACAAGACAATAAAAAACATGTTGTTGTTTTTTCTCTTCCCATCAAAAACAAAAAATATCCATAGTTAACTTTATCATTAAATTATTCAACTAGCTGTATAATATTGTGTGTTTTTTTTCTAATTTAATAACTTTTTTCGAAGAATCGAATTCCTTTCGTATAAAAAGACCTTTATAATAAATGTAATGATTACTCTAAGCTTTAATCGAAAAGAATACAATTTTTCTTTGAAAAATGTTATGATTTTTGGCCTATATATTTATTTATTTCTTTATGACACCCTATTTGATAAATGTGTATCAAGGTTCTATTCATATATCAACTATTCATTATGATTACTTATATTATAAATAACATTTGTCTTGTCTAGGTCAAATCATTAACATTCAATAAGTTCTTAAGATGTCTTGAGTACATTTTATTTTCAAGATCGTAAATAAATGATTATGATTTATTTTATAAAGTTATCATATCATTTAGTACTACTAGTCATCACATTAAATCAATTATTTCATGAAGTACATCTCGATTAGATAAACATTTTCATGGTATGGATCTTCTTGATTTTTATTCATGTCGACCGGAGATACGACATACTTAATTATACAAATTCAGACATATTACAAATTGTCCATTAACTAAAATAAGAAAAAAATATCACGTGTAAGAAATATGATCGACTATTCACAGTTCAACCTTCTAGTACAAAAAAAGATATATGATAATATTTAACATTAATTGTAGAGTGTGAGAATAGTAACAAAGAACTATATGTAGAATATTTTAATTTTATATAATGACCGATTTTTATCCTTGTTCTTTCAATATTAACTATAATCAAGGATAAAAACGTGTTCTTTATTATGTCAATCTCAGATGATAGATTCGTTCTGTTCTTTGAATAATTGCATATTATGTAAGTTGAATTTTGTATATGAACATTTCACCTTCACTTATAATGTATTCTTATTCAAATAATTATTATATATCATTATCCATATGACAACTTATGATAATGTCGATTTTTGTTCCATTGAAATTTTATTATATGTAATAAATAAATTCTTTGATTTTTAAATATCAGTAAATTTGATCTTATAAACATTTTGCCTGTTTGATAGTGTGAAATATACTGCTATTTTGATTATGTTTAGCTTATCGATATAAAAAGTCAGAGAATAATTAGATAAACAAAAGCATTAGTTTTTCTTTCTAATAACTTATTGACAAATGTCCTGTATTCTGCCATTGTAGAAAAAAACCTTATGGTATATTGTATCTCAATCTATCACGTATATTATCAATTACTGAGCGACAGAGATTGATATGTTATTCGTCATAGTTATTTTTTCTTTCTCTAAGATCTTTTCTTATTTATTAAATTTGAATTATAAATAAAAGAAAAGAAAAATAAGGATATGATTTAGAATAATAAAACAAGTATAATTATTTAAATATAAACGTCATTAGAAGTTACAATCATAAACGAAAGATAACTCTTACAAAAATTCTGAATGTTTTTCATGTGACATATAATTTCGTTAATCATATAAATTTCTTATGGAATACTATTACAATTCTCATAGATGTTCCCTGACATTTCCAAAAAAACAAATCAGTATTTTGCTCAAAATCATGCTTATATATATCTACTAAATAAATTATCTCGATTATGAACGTTAATAAATAAATAAAAGATTATATTATATTATTTCGTTTAAGATACAACATTCAATAATTAATACAAATATTCTTCTTTTTTTGAATCAAAAACTTAGTTATGAATATCGTTTTTTTCCTGTATAATAATATTCTTCATATATTTTGTAGTTTTATTAAATATGAATTTTCTTGTGTATATAATTATTAATATGAAATTGAAATCATCATTCCTAGTGTAACTAATAGAGGAATTAGATATTATTTTTTTTCGCAAAAAAATACTTTGCTTTCCTCATAGTCATTCAAACTCGTTCTATGATTGGCTTCATAGATAAAACTATCTTATTAAATCAGGAATCAACGTGTGCAAATAATGTTGCATGTTCAACAATATTGGAATGAAATGAACAATCAATCATCTATCTCCCAATAAAATAAATATTCACTATCATGCGAAAAATAGGCTGTTCAATTGATATAGAAAAAATAATCTCTAGTTTTCTTATTACTACAAGTTAGATCTTTCACTATTTTTTTGTAATCATATGATTATGTTTATTTTGCACCGAATATATACATATATTTGTTCAGAAGGTAACTAATTCTAGGTTAATATTACTAAATCATATAATATATATCCTATAGAAATCAACTAGTAGATGTAATTGATAGAATTTAATAGATTAAAATTGAATCGTAAACTAAGAAAAATATTTATAACTGAATGTAATGATCCGTAACGGTATATTAATATTATATTATTTAAATTTTTCCTTCCGTATACTATTTTTTTCTCTACAACAAATTTGTCTAGTTTTTGAGTATATGCGTAAAGACACAGATTGCCGCTAGGCCTCGCGTTAGTAATGCTAGTCTAAGATGCGAGACAAAGAGAGGGAGAGAGAGAGAGAGGAAGAAACAATTGTTTGAGACACAAAGCAAAGAACAAGTCGCATTTTACGATCAATTGTTCAAAAGTATCTACTCATCTTTTCCGTCGATGTAGCTGTCATGATTACTACATACCATACTCACACATAAAGATAGTTAAAGGAAAAAAAAAGGGAAAAGAAAAAGAATAAAAATAGAGCTAGCGAAAGATAAAAAAATGCAATTTTTCTTATATGTAGTACCATTAGTAAAGAGAAAAAGCTAGGGAAGATGATCTGATCGTAAGTTTACATCGCATCGTGAACGATCGAAATAGAACGCTCGTACCCGCGCGCAAAGAGGAATACTAATAAAATATTTCTCTAGTTCTTTCTTTTTGAGTCTAAGTATGGATGCATCTCTCTCTTTTTTTGTGTATGGTGTATTAGCTCAAGGACTATGATAGTAAAGAAACGAGGGACTTCAAACGCGAGGCGGGACCAGTATGTGTGTTGTGTATGCTCAGTAGTCATAAATAATAATTCGAACAAAAAGAACAAGGGAGAGAGAGAAAGTGATTATTGCGTGCCAACATCTTCCTTATGAAGAATCTATTGGAAAAATTCAACAACAATAGTTATCTTCGTTTTTTTTTTGAAAAAATATTTCAATATTATTCATACCTTCAATATATAAAATGAATACATATATATATATTTACTTTTTAGATGATTTCACACATCATCATCTTTGTCCCTATTGTGTTGTATTACATTTAACGTTTTAACAATTCATCTTTCGATTACATCGAATAATCAATAACAAACAACACAAGTCCCTTTCCCAATTGCGCAGTGACGGCGTATGGATGGGTAATTTTCATCATAAGGCACTAATGGTCTCTGCTTCGGTCAGTGCCTATACTGCGCCTTCACTTATGGCTGTTTGTCTTCTTACTGATTACTGGATATATGGAAAACAAACACGATTATCATCAACTACAATAACAAAAGCAGGCGATATGCGAGTTTTAAATTTTACGTATCACCGAATTGGTCTTTGGCGCGAATGTATGAAGGAAGTTTATAGTAAATAATATAAATGAGAAATTATTATTTTTTTTTACTTATAAATTTGAAATTATATTTAGATGCTTCATATAATTGTGATGTTGTTAGGTATTCTAAAGCTGAAGCAAAAATGGAAAAAGGTTTTAAAGCTGTATCATGTAAGATCATATTTTTTAGTTTTTATAATATATATATATATATAATTTATTGTTTTAATCAGATCGATCAGCACCAAGTATGGCCTGTTTTACAGCTGCGTCTGCTCTTTTAGTCATTGCTATATTTTTATTTTCACGTGGTCTTTGCAAACGACGTCGAAAAGCTGTTTTCTTTATCTCAGGACTTTTATTTTCTATCTCAGGTTCATTTCAAATCTACATATATGACAGTATTTTTTTTGAAAATCTATTTTTTTATTCATTTAGGCTTGCTCACGATGGTTGGTGTTACATTATACGTTTCAATTACAACTGAAGAATCGGTTAAAATCGATCAAGATTATCCGGTGATGCAATGTTTCTATGGATTTTCATTTCTTTGTGCTGTTTTATCATTTGTTCTACAAGAATTAACTGGTGTTTTAACTGTATATTGGTTTATATATCGTTTTCGTGCACTTGTACGTAAACAAGAAAAATTACGCGAACGTACTCGTCGATTAATGGGAACTTGTTTATCAATGACAACAGCTTTAACATTAAATCCTGTTTCATTTGATGCAAATAATAACAATAATAATAGAAAACCAATGGCTAGTCGTTCGAATAATCAAATAAATCAATTAAATTATTCGAATTCCAATGATCCTCGTTATCAATATATGAATAGTGATACACCAAATTCTTTAGTACATAAACAACAAACACGACGTTTACCATTTGATAAATCTACACCATCATTATATAAATATGTTGATAAAACTTCTTCTCCATCATTTCCACCACGATCACCGACACTTCTCTATGGAGATTATTGTCGTGTTTTGATTCGTGCTGAAGATATGGATTTACTAACAAAAATGGTTAAATCGAGATCCCAAGCACATTTAATAGCTAATTCAAGACCTACAACACCAGCAACAACAATGTCAAATGTCAAAATTTTACGTAATTCGCATACACAACGACAAATAACTGAGAATACAACGAGGCGAAGCACTCGAAAAGGCGTTAAGCGGACTACATCTGTTTAAAATCTCGAAAGTTTTCCTTTTTCTTCTTCTTCTTCTTCTTCTTCTTTTTTTGTGTCTTATAAGTTCAGATAGATGAATTCTTATTTCTGTGTGATGCGAAAACAAATTATTATTATTAGCAAAACAAAAAAAGAACTTTTTTTTTCTCCTTTTTCTTTTTTTTTCTATTTGTTATTCTCTATTTCGTGACTAATATTTATATTTCATTGAAAAAAAAAACTCTAGAAAAATATATGAGAATTTATATACATTTGTTTATTTGGATTCTTTTTTGATGATCACCAGATTCAAGGACTATATGATGTCATTTGAAGGCTTTTATATTATTAGTTCTTGATTGATTAGAATATAAGTGATAGAAAAACAATTGATCACTTATTGGAATAATGATATATGACAGAGTATTTGTGGAGTCATTTTTCTTCTCATTTTTTTTCTATTTCAAATATACTTACATATGTATATTTACTTTTTGCTTTCTGACATTTTCATTATATGATTCATTTGATATTAGTAACTCAAAAAACGTGCCGATTGTATTAAAGATCATAAAACCACTGTTAACTATCTGTTTATGATAGTCACATTCTTCTCTCTCTCTGGGTTTCTCATATATATATACAGGAGTAAATCTGGGTAAACACTTGAGAAAAAACAATTTTCTTGTTGTTATTATTCCTATTCAGTTGACAATATTCTACCTGTAATTCAAACTATTGCTTTCATTTTACTCGTTTCTACATGAATTTATATCGTTTCATACTATAAGAGTTTGATGGTTGACATGATTTTATTTTATTTTTTATTACATATATAGAAACATGAATATATACTTGTACACATTTTCTTTATATAGAGTATTATTTCTTATAAAGAACATCTACAGTCGGTGTGTAGAACTATAGAAATAAAATCTTTTTTTTTTCAAAATACATATATACACCGAGTGAGTATAATAACATATATATATAGAAAGAGACACACAAAATATGGTTGAATCGATCGAGGGAATAAATAAAAAAGAAATGACGGAGGGAGAAAGTGTTTAATCAAGGCTTCTATATGTACATTATTTGTTGTTGATTTACTTTCTCGTTTTTTTAGATTTCTCTTTTCATACTATGGCGTATACCGGAACGAATTCCACGTATCAAACAATGACTTCTAATAATTCAAAAGGCAATAATCAACAAGAAGAACATATTTACGAAGAACAACCATATTATTCAAATGAACGATCCATGTTGTCAAGACAAAGTATTGTTGGACCTTATCAACGAACTAGTGAGGTTTGTTAAATTTTATTTATAAATATTCTTACGATTGACTGTTAGTTTAACTTTAAAAAACAATTTCTAGAATTGATTAACATAAATTATGTTTTTCTTCTCTTTTTTTTATAGAATAAGTGTTAATAATAAAAAAGTAACATAGATATAAGTTATTCATTTTCATCATAAAATCTTAGATCTTAATTTTTCAGTTTTTTTTTCTCTTCATATACAATAAAAATAACTTGTCTAGATTGTCCCAATAAATATCTGTTTATATCCATAAAACTTGTATATGTTATCAAAATAGTTGCTTGTCTTTTATATTCTATTGACATAAATACTTTGTTTTATGATTTTGTCTGTTAGAGATTATTTCATTATCTAATCTTAATTGCTGTCATATATATATTTACCAATAAATGAATAACATTTGTAATATATATTTGAAATTTATCGAGTAGAAAAAGAAAACCTATGAATAGTTCATCATTGATTAAGATAGATATTTATATCTGATGTAAAATTACAAAGATTAGATATTTCTATACATATTTTGTTTTAATATTTGACACTTAGACAACATCTAAAAGCAAATAAGTTATTCGTAATTCAAATACATAGATCAACTACTGATCATCATACGGATATTTGATATCATCTATCATTAACAACGTATTGTTCATTTATTCGTTTTCGTTTGTCAATTGTAATATACAGAAATATCTTCTTTTTTCTATGAACTATATTTATACGTAAAGAAAAGATTTTCTTTTCTTATTATGAAATCTATCTAGACAGAAATAGTTAGATCTTATCATAATGTATTTTGTTCTTTTTTTATTTTATTTTGATATCTTTAAAATGACTAATGATAAGATCTCTGTAATAATAACATCGACAGACATATATAAACGAAACGAAAAAAATATTGAGTGACCGCAAGTCTATAGACAAACGATAGTACGTAGTAAATCTAAAACAGAACGAACGACAATAAATAGGTGACCACAATATATATACGAGAGAATTTTCATCTTATCAAACATCGCATGGGTGTATGAGAACGAAAGAGATGCAATATCGTCACAAAGATTTAGCGTGTCTCTTCTCCTTGCATTCATTGCGCTCCTACTCGTTTCTTTTCTTCCTCTCTCTCCCTCTCTCCCCTCCTTCGTGTGTGTGTGTGGTAGCTTCAACACGCTTATATGTTCTATTTGTATGCGAGCCAAGCATAGTTGTTCTCTTTGTCTCTATACCTTATCATATTTTGTCGACACGTCGTTCGCTCATTTTTTCCTCTCGTTCTATTCTACAATTACTATTACCACCACTAGCTCTATCGTTCGCTTGCTCGTCCGATAGCACTTTGAAAAAAAAAGGACAAAGAAAAAGAGAAAAGATAAACTCAAATAGACAGAAAAAAAAGAAAGACACATCGTTCTATATTCTTCTCTTTCTCTCATACATTATAACGAAGAAGTAAAGATAGAGTCAACGTGTATGTCTATGTCACTGTGAGTTATCGACTAATACAATGCGATTGTTATCCTAATCATTACTCCTGTCATTATAATAATTATTGTTTTGCATTGTTTCGTTTTGTTTAAAAGAAAAATTTATTGAAATATGGAAGACGAACAAGATCAAGTTAGTATTTATTAAATCACTATGTCGCTTTTATTGTTTTCTTTTTTTCCCATAAGATAAAACAAAACAATTTCACCATAAAAAGATTTCTTATACTTCTATATTAATGTCTGTAAAAGAAAAGAAAAACAAATACTAGACTTTATTTAGCACCATCCTACAACCATCCATATTGTTTTGTAATAGAACTACAAGACATTGTTAACAGATGACAGCTAAATAAAGATACTACTCGATGATAGACAAGAAGAAAAGATAATAATTTGCATACAAGGATTTATTTTGATAAATATTATTAAGCAAAATTTCTATATTGATTAATTGTTTTTTAAGGTTGTTTATAATACTGGTGAAGGTGATTATAATCGATCGTTAAATGCTACTACAAAAATTAGCAATGGTCATACATCATATCAATATAATTCATATGGTGGAAATAATGCCGGTCCAGAACAATTTGCATGTTATCATTGTGATCGAAATTTATCGGGTTCACGATATATACTTAAAGATGAACATCCTTATTGTATTAAATGTTATGAAGATCGTTTTGCAAATATGTGTGAAGAATGTCGTAAAAAAATTGGTACTGAATCAAAAGTTAGTATAGAAGAGAAACAATGATTTATATCATAATAAAATTTTTCTTTGTATAGGATCTTTCATATAAAGATCGTCATTGGCATGAAAAATGTTTCTTCTGTTCAATGTGTAAAACACCACTTGTTGACAAACCATTTGGTTGTAAAAATGACCAACTTTATTGTGGTGAATGTTATAATCAACAATTTGCTTCACGTTGCGATAAATGTAATCAAATATTTAAACCAGGTAAAAAAAAGAAAAATTTCGAAAATAAATATCAAAAAATAATTATTCATATATATATGTTTAGGAACGAAAAAACTTGAATATCGTGGACAACAATATCATGAACATTGTTTTACATGTTTTGCATGTTCACAGCCTATTGGAATAAAAAGTTTTATTCCAAAAGAACAAAAAAGTTATTGTGTTCCATGTTATGAAGAACATTTTGCAACAAAATGTACTCGTTGTACGAAGGTATTAATTAAAAACAGAGATTTAACCTTTCTCTAGAATTTATATTTTAATCATTCTATGTGATTTTTCTTTAATAAAATAGGTGATTGCACAGGGCGGTGTAACATACAAAAATCAACCATGGTATGATGATTAATTAATTATTGATTTCATAATTATTTTTTAATTTAGGCATCGTGAATGTTTTACATGTACCCATTGTAAAAATTCATTAGCTGGTCAACGATTTACATCACGAGATGATCAACCCTATTGTGCAGATTGTTTTGCACGTCTTTTTGCTAAAAAATGTTATTCATGTAGTAAACCAATAACTGGTAAAATCTAAACAACAAACTATATATGATAATAATTGATTATTGTTTTTTCTGTTCTACAGGTGTTGGTGGTACACGTTACATCTCATTTGAAGATCGTCATTGGCATAATGATTGTTTTGTATGTCAACGTTGTCGAAGTTCACTTGTTGGTCGAGGTTTTCTTACTGAAGAATCAAATATACTTTGTCCCGATTGTGGTAAACGAGAGCAATATTATCAAACAGAAAACACGGGTTTTAACGGTGGACAACGTAGTATTGTTAGTGATTATCATACAACAAATTAGAACAAAACAGAACAAAAATCTTTCTTTTTTTTATTCAATATGCATCTTGTGATGAAAAAAACAAAAACAAAAATGAACGATTATTATTCTTCATCTTCTTTCTTTATTTCTCTGTTTTTTTTTGAATGACAAACAAACTATTCAATTAATTTGCTTATTGTTTTTCGTTTATTCCACTGAAGCAAAACGAAAAACGATCATATTAAAATCATCATTTTCTTCCATTTTGATCCTCTTTCTCTTTTCGTGTTTTCTTTTTTATTCATGATGTTTCATTTTCTTTCTTACTTCTATTGCTTTTCTTTCTCTCTCTCTTTCTCGTTGTTTTTTTTCTGATAACGAATAGACAAAACAAAATTTATCAGTATATGTATTTGTTATGCAACATACTTGGAACTCTTTCAATTATCATACATGCCATATCTCTTTTACCAATCATATATCTACTAGTCAATGAAAGAGAAGAAGAGAAGGTTTTTTGTTTTTTTTTGAGAGGATGCTAAATTCCATTCTATTACATTGCATTTCTTATACATATTGCTTGAGATTAATAAACATAGCATGAAGGCTATTCGATTACATGATAGGAATGAAACAATCAAGTTCATTTTGTTAAGAAACTGTGTTTTTGATAATTTCAATAAAATGTTGTTGTTTATGTTTTTTTAAGCTGGTTCAGTCAGCGAAAGGAATAAAGAGAGAATAGGATGAAATAAACATAAAAAATAACAAGAATAACATTAAAAAAGAAGTCTATTGAAGTGTTCCTCGATTAAGTAATACATTGGTTTTTATTCAGCAATGTTTATTATCTTGTCTATTTTTCATCTTTTTTCTTTTTTGTTGCATTTGATTTGTCAGTGTCATCGGTATCCTTTTGTTGTTGTTGGACTTGTTCAAGAGCTGCTCGTACAGCTTCACTATTGATATCAACACCAGGTAAATCTCGAAGGACATCTTGTAAAAATTGTGGATCATTAAGAGAAGCCGCAAATGTATCCGTATGTTGTTGTTGTGTTTCTTCAGTTGTCTATTGAAAATTTAATTGTACTCTTACAAATTAATAATAGATTTGACAAAAAAAAATACCTTTGATGTCTGTTGATTTATGTTTGATGCATTACTTGAACTAGGAACGTCTTCTTTCATCTCAACATCGTTTGTATCTTAAAATAACGAAACAAACATGTTTTTATTCATTAAAAAGTTAATTTAATTCTTGCTCATACTTTCTGCTTGAGTCATAGACATTTGAATAGCTAATGCAATTTGTTCATCTTCTGTAAGTCGTGTTACATCCATATCATTACCACTTGTTCCTACATTCGAACTAGTACCTATAAAAACATTATTATACATTAATAAAAAAGAATAAAGATTAAATTATTAATGTTACTTGAAGTTCCTGTATTTGATTGTGGTACATTTTGTTGACTTCCTTCATTACCTGGACCACGGCCAATCTCTGCTTCTTGTACACGTCGTTGTTCTTCCATTGAAATTCGAAGAGCCTAAAGAAGATTTTCGACTAAGAAAAAAAACTAACGTATAGAAATAAACTCCAAACCATAGCTAATTCAGGATCATCTTCAGGATTGATTCCAAATGCAAATGAACTTGCTGAATAACCATTTGGTAAACCTGATCCATCTTCACTTTGAATAATTGGTGTATTAATAAGTGTATCAGGTAAATTAGCTCCAGATGGTACACATATTAAGTGAGAACTAAATCATCAATCATATGAATTTGTTTTTCTTTTATCAATTATTATTTACTTTGTATTCTCTTTGCCATTTATAACTGTAATAAATTCTTCAAATTTTTCTCGAGAAGACTAAATATTGAAGTATGTTTTATTTAATACAAAAAAAAATCTTTTACTTCTTCACCAAAGACAACAATGTCAATTGATATCTTTTCTTTTTTTAATCGTTTGGCTAATTTAGTAAATTCATTTGTATCAACTTCAAGTGGACTACCAACAAAAACAACAATACGAGGTCGATGATTTTTACCTTGTCGATGTTTTAATGCCAACTATGAAAATAAAAATCAAATCAGTTATTTTATTAGACTTGCTATCTTTGATTAGAAGTTTAGATTATATAAACTGTTCTGAGATAAATTTCAGATCGAGGGAAAGTCAATATGGTCTCAATTAAGAAAAAGAAACTTATAGATCATTATCCTTTTAAGCCTTTCTATGAATAGATATAATATCAGCACAGACGTTCTGATTCATAGGAGATAATCAAATACTGTATAGTTTTCTAAATATAATATAACTTACATTAGCTACTTTAATGCCTTTACAAAAATCAAGTTTTCCTTCAATTGGTAATAAATGTAATTTAGAAAAAACTTTGCCGACATCACTTGTTAATTGAGTTACAACTCGACCACTAAAATTTAAATGTTCGTGTTTTGTTTTTTAAATTATAAAAAAAGTATTTTAATTAATCTTACTCTGAAAGTGTAAGTAATCCAACATTATTCTCTGGATTTGATCTTGTCTTAGCATGAAATATAAGTGAAACAGCATCTTGTTGTGCTTGCATTCTTGTCGGAATAAAATCTCCATCACGCATAAAATCACTATTATCAATACTAAATTTTCAAATAAATAAATAAACTTTTATTTCATTTGTTTGTTTTTCTTTTCATCTCACCATATAATTGTACTTTCAAGAGGCATATTTATCTCGATTTATACAAAAAAAATGAATCTGAAATAAAAACGAAGTATTGTTTTTCCTATTCTTTGTTTTATCATCACTTATTGTTCAACAGTATATTTGTTTTTTTTATACACTAAAGACAAGAGAATGAGAGAAATATATATATATAAAAAGTAGTAGACAGATAGCGACAAAAAAAAGAGAGACACTGTTCTGTACATAGACAACGCACCGGGCGTCGTAAAAGAGACAGCAAAAAAAAAAGAAGAAAAGATATATCGCATGGACCAGCCAACAAGCACATTTACATGGAATGAAAATGATTACAGACACTGATCAGTAGCACCAGATTTAAGAATGAGATTGAACAAAAAAAAAAGAAAAAAACTACTAAGATAATCTTTGTTTTGGTAATTGATTTTGACTTCCAATACGTAATGTACGAATCCAGTCTTTTCGATCATCTTCTGATGATGATGACATACGATAAACAGTATGATGACCTGAAATAAATTAAAAAAAGATATATATATAGTTTTTTGTTATTTAAAACTAACCGTCAATCCATTTTCCAATTTCTCCCGGTGCTGGTTTACTTGCTTTAACTTTATCTCCTGTAAGTGGAAAAAGTTCAAAACAAAATTGTTTTGTACGATCATCGTCTATTTCTCGAATACCAACATCGACAAGTGGAATAACTCCACGAGGACTATCAACTTCCTATAAGAATAAATATGATTAGATTTTGTTGTTTTAATGATAAAAGAGATAATTTACTGTTCTTGATTCAAAATAAAATAGACAACCATCAGTTATAATAAACCATCGTCGTTTCCAATTTCGAACACGACCTCCTAAAGTAATTCAATTATTTATCTATTCTATAATATTACTTAAAATTATTAGATTAGCTATTTAATATGTTCTAATAGAATGAGATTTTTACAACATTACTGTTAAGTTAAGCAAAAGAAAAAATAATTATCGAGAGTTATTGATGTTTGTGTAAGTTAAAACTGACATTGTTTACATTTTAAACCCCAAAGCGTACGCATTAGGTCTACGTGACATTTACCTTGTTTCCATAACCATCCTTCTTTGATTACTGTTGAATCACTACCAAATACAGGCATAGTTGAACTAATATCATCATCGGGAAACTTTAATTCATTATTTTTTATATTATCATAAGTATTCTAAAAAAAACTTTTCACTACACAAAATTAAAGAGAATTTTGTTTTTACTTTGATTATATTTTGATCTGGCATTTGATTACGTGCAATAGTTTCATTTAAACTATTAACAAATTTTTCATATGTAAATGGTCCACCACCCAAACGAGCATTTTTATTATGTAATGATGTATTTAACATAATTATAGCAAATGATACAATATAACATACTTCTACAAGAAAGAAATATAAAAACGTTTTTTCAGTAGAAGATTTTTTTACCAGAAGTTGCATATATATGTGGATTACATTCATAATAACGTTCAGAGAATGCTTCCATAATTCGATCGATTTTTTGTGCTTCACCCGGAAGAATAAATGTGAATAAATATCGTCTAAAAAAATATTTATTATTAAATGTAAATAAAATAAAAAATACAAACCGAAGTGCATCAACAATATCCATTGAGAAAAAATCATGCATATGTGCAAAATGCTTCAAGACTTCAATATGAAAATCATCTCTATTTAATAATAAATATATATATTTTAAGAATTTCAATTTTTTATACTTTTCTCCGAGATAATCTCCAATCGCACGTTTACTTAAACCAGTTTCATTAAAAAGAAAAGCAGCTGTATGTTCTGATGTATTTTGTATAAGGCCATTGTCTATAAGCCAACGAATACCCTAAATAAAATAATTCGAAAAAAATAAGCATAAAATAGTAAAATCTTATTTTACTTCTTTTGGATTTTCATTGAATCGTTTTTTACCAATTGACCATTGTTTTACATTTGAATGACGACGACTAGAAAGAAAAATGATTATGATTAAAAACTTCATATTTTCTTTTTATTCTTAGATGTCAATAAAAAATGATAGATTATCTTTAATTGATTTTTAATGATTTCTTCTCACCTTATATGAATTGATATATTAGACATTCTATTACTTTTTCTTTCTACTATTTATTACAATCATTGATGAACATAATCAATAACAAATAATAATAAAACAAAGATCAATATTGATCTTTTTTAGAAATTATAATCGTTCTATTTATTTAATGACATAAGTTTTCTTTTTCTACATACTCATCGTTACTATGTGATTGGATCATAGACATTTCAATTTCACACTGAGCAATTTTCTCTCGAATTTCCTAGAAAAGTTTTGATATATAAAATAAAAAAACTTCAATAGAAATAAATCTATACTTGAATTTCTTTTTTCAATTGTTCTTTACGTCGACGAATAACATCCATAGGAATATGAGATTCAACAACGGTTCCGTTTCCTTCGATGTAAAAAAAAAACAATAAAGTAAATTAAGAAATTTTCATACTTCATTTATTCTACATACCGAAACCGTTGAGTGTCATCTTTCGATTTTAGATATTCAGTATAAATCTAAAACAACAAAAATATCGATAATAATTGTTTTTTTTCTTTAGTCTTATCACTAATATACTATTTCATTTCTTTTGAATAGATAGTTTATAACGATTATTGTAAATTCATATTGTTTTATAAAAAGAAAGAAATGTAATAATTTAGATGAATCATCTTCAAATTTTATATAGAAATAAATGATAAAATATTAGATAAGCTTTAAGAAGACAAATGAATAATGTAGTTATGAAACTATATGCGTAGAAACCGTTCGATCAAGGGCAAACATTTCTTTTTTTCAATAGAAAGATTATCTATCATGAATCATTTGTACTAAATAACATACAATAGATAATAAATACGAATCGAATTTCAAGATGAGAAAGAAGTTCGAGAGGAGTTGTTTGACGGCGTGATCATGACGAGAGAAGCGAAACAAATAAACAATCAGTACGGGTAAAACGTAGCGAAGATGAGTGCTTCCTTTCATATTCATGTTGCGTCTCGTGAAGAAGAAAATATTTTATTGGATAATTTTTATTCAAGTAAATCGTCGTTCTTAAACAGATGACGCCAGATATCTACTGTATTTATTAATAAATGAAAATCACGAGATCAATATGAGATAATATTACGTCTGGTTTTTTTTTCTTTATCATATTTTCTCAGATTCTTAATATTTAATAAGTAAATCTAGATAAAAAAAATCAGAATTTCTTTGCATCAACAATAATAACTAACCCTGGAATGAAAAAATTTTCGTATACATATATATTTTATCAGTATAATACTATACTTAGGTTTGTAATGATAAAACCAGATATATATTAGTATGCCTCGATGTTAATCGATCTTTCTCCAAAATAATGTACAGAAAAATCAGTTTACTCGTTGACTTTTATATATTTTATTAATAAAACTAATATAATAAATAATTCGCGAATCAATTATATTATTTAACAATATGTTATAAACAAGATTATTTTTCAAATACAAAACTTGCGGTTTTCTTGATCGACGTCGTGCTGTATCAATTCTTGCAGTTGTTATATTCAGTTTTATACTATAACGTCTACGTATAGCTATTTCTTTGATTTTTTTCAAGTATATAAGTGAACGAAACAAATGGATTTCAAAATACTCCACATTGTTAGATATGGAAGTTCTACTATTTGTTATACAAAATTATTTTGATGATGTTAGTTTAAGTAGATCGGCCATTGAATCATCTAGTTCGTTAATTAATTGTTCTTGTCATTGGTGTTCAAAATAATGATGTGAACATAATATCAAATTTTTGATATTGATATTACAGAAAAGCTGCGTATTTCAGTCAACTATAGTATGAGTAACGAAATGTTCATATACACGAATGAATTCGTATTGGATAAAGATGGCCGACACAGTAAGGTGTGGATGAAATAAAATACCCAGATCCTCAATTTTCTGATAAATGACATGAATATCTAACAATATCTCTAATAACCTAAGAAGCGATGTTTGTCTAATCATATTTATCTATTAGAAATATCTCTGTTGTATTCAGTGAGGTAAATCTTGTTATTTCTAATCAAGATAACATATAATTTTAATCAAAAATATCAGTTATCACTCTTTAAAGCACACGTAAATATTACCATAGGGATTACGTATAGGTGCAGTCTTTTGTTGCAAAAAGAACATTAGATATTTATGACAAAAAAATTCTATATCTGAAGTTTATTGGAGAATTTTATGCCGTCATCATTTTGACAATAACCAAAAGGCAAAACTATGAATAATACTAACAATAAAATTACTATTCTGTATATATATTCTTGATAGATTAGTAAATATTAAACATGAATTTAAATAGTATTCAATCGAAATCATTTGATTGTATCTTTTTATGTATGTATATTGATTTTATGTTCAATAAAAGAATAATGATTTCTTTAAAGTATTATTTATTTCTTTGACTGAAATTATCATATTGACTGACTTTTTCCTCATTGTATATCACATATAATGACACTTCTAAATTACATGAACGATAAGATATATAGGTCCATAATGATTATATCTTACATTTTCATTGTACATCTCGCTAATAAAACTATATATACTCAGCTCATTTCATTCAATTGAGCTGAGTTGAGTTGAGAAGTGTTTTCCATTCATATTAACATACTGATCTGTTCCACACTATGTTAATATTTATAAAAATCATTTATTTATTCAATACATATGAATTATTCTTTTTATTGAGACAGGAAGAAAAATACATAGTACTGAATAATTGCACTTCTTTTTCTCTCTCTCTTCGTTACTTTAAACAGCCTGTTTGGTGACCGTTCTTTTTCTTACCCCACACAGACAAATTCTACCTTGTTTAAACACAATAACTATATATCATGAAGGTCTTTTTTTACAATACATGTCTGTTCGTATGTATTGTTTACCTTACCGATGGATGTTACTATATATTTTTGTTTCAAAAAACTCAGTTTCTTTGTACGCGCGCGCATTTAAGACAATTCTATTCTTGTTTAAAAAATTTCTTTTTTTTCCAAAAAACAAAGTTCACAGCAGTACAAATGATTATTTGTTTTTTACACGTTCGAGGTTATTTCTCAACATTTGAAGCTTTGGGTGATTTGAAGATAATGACTGTTGTGCAATTTGTATACTATGTTCAATACACGTACGGGCTTTTGAGTAATCACCCATGTTGTAATGCACATTACCAATGTTGTTGTAGGACATAGCCAAATGAGGATGATTAGGAGGAAGTGATTGTAGTTTGATTTCAAGGGCTTTTTCATGAGATGAAAGTGCTTTTGGATAATTACCCATGCTGTTATGTACCAAACCAATGTTGTTGTATGAATCAGCAAAATCAGGATGATTGGGAGGAAGTAATTGTAGTTTGATTTCAAGGGCTTTTTCATGAGATGAAAGTGCTTTCGGATAATTACCCATGATTTTATGTACCAAACCAATGTTGTTGTAGGACATAGCCAAACGAGGATGATTAGGAGGAAGTGATTGTCGTTGAATTTCAAGGGCTTTTTCATAAGACGAAAGTGCTTTCGGATAATTATCCATGTTGCCATACACTGAACCAATGTTGTTGTATGAATCAGCAAAATCAGGATGATTGGGAGGAAGTGATTGTAGTTTGATTTCAAGGGCTTTTTCATGAGATGAAAGTGCTTTTGGATAATTACCCATGCTGTCATGTACCAAACCAATGTTGTTGTATGAATCAGCAAAATGAGGATGATTAGGAGGAAGTGATTGTTGTTGAATTTCAAGGGCTTTTTCATAAGACGAAAGTGCTTTTGGATAATTACTCATCTTGATATACATAGTACCAATGTTGTTGTAGGAAGAAGCCAAATAAGGATGATTGGAAGGAAGAGTTTTTTGAGCGATAGCAAGTGATTGGTCACAGAATGTAAGTGCTTCTTGATATTTTCCTTGATCTCGTTTTAAAATACCAAGTTGATGATAAATAGGTGTTCTATCTGCATCAGCGTTTGTTTGATCAAGTAAAACGTGATAAATATCTCCAGCTTTATCGAATTGACCCATTTTAATTAGTACCAAACCCAATCTGTACCATCCTTCACTGTCTGCAAAACTCTCTTGTCGAATGTAATCAGTAAGTCTGTGCAATTCTTGATCGTTGTCAGCAGTCAGTTGCAAGTTAACTTCATATAAACGATTATTTCCACTTATCTGTTTGATATCCTGGATACGGAACACGCTATGCATGGAAAATAAAACTTCCTCTTCTCCTTGGAATTTGCTAATTCCACCAATTGACGCAAATGGTGTTGTTGATTGAAGCAGATCGATTTTCATAACGAAAAGTACTCCAATTAAATCTGGATGGGTCAGGTTGCTCTCAGCAAAAGCATAGGAAATGTCACGATCTTTACTAGTAGATAAGAAATTATTGAATGAAATCAGACTTCCTTTGATTTTGCTCATTGTTTCAAAATCTTCTGTAGAAAAACCTTGACCACGGTAAACGGTAAAGATGTTAGCAGGAGTTGTATCAGGATATTGTTCCCGATGTAGTTGTTCAATCTGTCGATGCAAATCACCAATGAAGAAACCCATACGTGTAATGATATCACCATCCATCAATCGTAATGCACGATTGAGCATGGGATATAGGAACATTTGACAGCTGTACCAATAAATTGGTGTTTTATTGTGGTATTCACCTTCTAATCGTTTAACGTTTTCAATTTCTTTTTTCTTACCTTCAAAAGCATCACGGCAGTATTCGAAATAATCTTGGATGTGGTTTTGGTCGAACTGGATCGTTAGTAAGATTTCTTTAAGTATTTGAGTATACATAAAAGAAGGATCTAATTGATCCAGCTTTTTGTTTGATCTCACGAAACTCATGGGAATAGCATTCTGCTCGCATTGATGAGTAGCTTCCTTGAGAGCTTGATAGATGAGTGTAGTATCTGTGAAAACACCCTTTATTTTGGGCCAATCTTTGGTCCATTGTTCATTATGTTTTTGGTTGTCACAAAAAATAAAAATTGAATCAATTTGAGACATATTGTGTACAAAAGGCACAAAATGTTGTCCAATTAATCCAGATATGATCATACATACTTTTTTTTCGACAACTGTTTCAATGAACTCAAAGCATTGATCAACATCTGTAAATGTATTTGTGTCAATGACAGCCTGCCGTAATTTTGTAATTGTATTTTGACAATCGTCATTTGTTTCGTCAATGTTACTGTCTAACCAAATTAGAAGAACATTTTGCATTCCTTCAAGTTTGATACGTTGACGATCTTCTGCACCTTTTGGAACTGTAGATGCATTTGCTGTTGATTGTCCGTTGCTCATTGTTTGCTGCGTGAATGGTACATAGGGTAGTCAAAAAGTTTTGCAACTTCGCTATATTTATTCACAGAAACAACGCTGCATCTATCTTTCTGCATCATATATTAGAGGTAGTAGTTGTGATATTTTATAGAAAGTTTCAGTCTTCTAACACACTGTTGAGATGTTCTCTGAAGTAAACTATTGGTAAAAAATTGACATGCTTGGATAAAACTTCTGCTAACTTTTTGTAGCTGGCGATTATTTAGTCTATGTTGAATATACCTGAACAACTAAGATTCTGAGAGGCTATCCCAAGGTGAATACGCTTGGTGTGTCTTAGCTTCATCCTTTTCATTTTGAAGGAGATAATGACATTATTTTACATGTTGCTGAAAACAGCATAATGGAAATTGATAGGTTAGGAGCGTGATAATGCTTTTTTATTCGATAATGTTTTTATTTGTGAATTTAAACATTTCTCACTAATATAGAGAGTATTAATTACCACTATAGGAATCACCATATGATAGATAATGACTCGGATGTCATAAAAAGTTGATACATACCTTAGTTTCTGACATCGTTAGCAGTAAAATGTCGGCGGAATGACTATTTTCTCGTGTTTGCGTAAGTTCTGATGATGGTTTCGGTTTTATATTGTGGTGCAGAAATAAGTCTGGTAGCTACTAATGATACTACAAAAAATTGCATTTCCCAATCAAGAACTTCTCTAATTTTTTCAGGACTCAAAAAACTAGTAAAATCCAACGTTATCCAAGCATGTCAATTTTTTACCAATAGTTTACTTCAGAGAACATCTCAACAGTGTGTTAGAAGACTGAAACTTTCTATAAAATATCACAACTACTACCTCTAATATATGATGCAGAAAGATAGATGCAGCGCTGTTTCTGTGAATAAATATAGCGAAGTTGCAAAACTTTTTGACTACCCTATGTATGAATTGGGTGTGGGTGTGTAAAATCACTAGTGAAGTAATGATCAAAACCGATTCATTTTATAGGTGTCTACTTCCTTTCGAAATGGTTTATCTTTATCTATTTATGATGTTGCTATGAAAAACGCACATAGAGAACGAAAAAACGAGTGATGAAATATTGTTATGGTTGACTAACCATCGAAGTAACTTGGAAAAAATAAGTATTGATTTACGTTGGCGAAAATAAATGTGTTGAGTCATGTTTGTTGTTGAAGAATCGGACGTCGACAAAAAGTATTCATATTAACTAGTATATGAGCAATTACAGAAGTTGATCACATGTTTTTTGACAACGAATCAGGAAACATAGAATTTAAGAGACCTTTAAAATAAGTGATATCATTCTCGTTGCTGTATTCTTTCGACTGAAAGCCTGTATGTGACCATTATGAATGAAAAATGTAAACAATCTTAAGATTCTAATTAATTTTAATGAGATTGAAATTTATTTAGTTTGTTTTTTATATAATACAGAAATTTTAAATCTTGATATAATCATTATCAACCTTTAACAATACAAAGTAACAGATATTATATGACTAAATTTTTAACAACAACAACGAAATCAAACATAATTGTATATACAACATCGTAATTAAAATATCAAGATTATTTACATTTTTCATGTATTACTGTATAAAAGTAGAATTTAAAAAACTTGAGTACTGATATTTTAAAATTGTTTGTGGATTGAGTTACATAGTTTGTGATGTTTTATAATTATTCATGTGATGGAAATTGCTTAAAAATCGACGAGTTTATCGCGATAAATCGCCAAAGTTAGCGAATTTTTAAATAAATTCAAATCAACACGATGATTATGAGGATCATTGAAATTTTATGTGAAAGAAACAAAACAAAGAAATTTTTTTAATTATCTTTTATTTTAATCCTTTGACTCCCAGCTTTTTTTGGGAAGATCGTAACTTTTCATGATAAATCTTTCAATATAATCTTTGTTTCTTTAGGAAGACACAGTATTCTTGTGTAAAAAATCTGTTAGTAGTTCATGTTTGTATCTTGAGGGTGCTAGTACGGTTGTGGATGTGAATATTATATTATATTAATCATACACCCACACCCTCCTCACACCCACATCCCAAAGAGTAAGCGCATCCAAAGATAAGAGTTACTTGTATTAAAACGTGTCTCAAATATTTTTTCAGTCGCCTTTGGATGCGATCATGTTTCGTCGCTTTTGGGATGTGATTTTACTCCAAAAATTATTGTTCTAGAAGGGCTTAGCTATATGATCGAAGTCGTCGATTTAACTTCATTTTATTTATCTTAACGTCCTTAGACTTTTTAATAGAGAATGTTCATATAACGTGAAATTAGACAAAAATTTAATTTAATATAAGGCATATAATTCGTATTTCCTTAATGCTTGTATGAATAATAATAAGACAATATTGCAATAGTTTTCAAGCACCCAATGTCCTTTTAGCAAACTGATACATTTCGCTGTTTAAACTTTATGATTAATAACTTTTATCATACTTCTACTAAATAAATTCTATGAATAATTAACTATTTTATTAAATCCTTCAATAAAATAATTTATTATATTACCACTGCAATTGAAAAATTTTCTTAATATTAATCATATTTAGTAGACAATTAAAGAAAAACAGTATTTTCATAAAATCATAAAAATAATTTAAAAAAACAAGTGGAATAGCACATTGGTATATACTAAAGCAACTTATCAAAAAAAAATCTTACAGTTGGGAAACTTAGTATATGTACATTGATGCCCATACAAAAAATAACACATTCGCTCTTGGCGATGCTAAATATTTTAAATAAATTCTTTTATTGAATAATCCTTTATCTTTATAGCCCATCGTAATAATTTTTATTTATCTGTATATTGTCGAGTAATATCCATTTTATCATATGAAGCCTATATACAACAATTGATTGTTTCTTCAAATCGTACGTACATAAAGCTGTTTTTCTATTAATAATATTCATTAAATATCATATTTGCTTTTATTTCAAAGTACAAAGGTTTGTTTTTTGTTCTATCTGAATATAGACTTCAACCTTTTACAAGTACTTTTTATAATATAAATATGTTTTAAAACATGACATTTACCCTTTGAAAAGAAGATTATTCAGTGGTACATAGACAAAATCTTACTATTAATTCCATATATAATTAGTAGGAAATAATTGGTTATTCTTTTCAAATAAGAAGATTTTTTACGTGAATAATTCTTTTCATATTTAATTTTATTCACATCTGGCTGAGATTTTCAACCTGATAATAGTATATGAATAAAAATAAAAATAGGCTTTATCATTTGACTTTGCCCCAGTACATACAGACGAAAGCATACTGACATATAAATATGTTGAAATCAACGGAAAAGAAAACGCCATGAATATACGGAGAAGAAAAAACTGAATGCATGACAAATGATATCCACAGACAATACACAAATAAAAACGCAAAAAAAGAATAAACAATGAGAAACAAGCCATTATTGTTACGCATGCAAAAAAAGAAAAAAAATGCCAAAAATATATGGTAGAATAGTTTTTATAATTATAATATCATTTAATTAAACATCTAATTTACTTTTTTGTTTTTCAAAATATATTTAAATTTGTTTTTTTACTTGTGTTTTTCTTTTTCTTTATTGTAATTCAAAGTTTGATACACCGGATATATCGATACTAGACTTAGATTTACAACAAAAACTAAAATAAGACAAATATTTGCTTTTCAAAGATCAGAAACAAAAATGTAGATAAAAATTTCTAGTTTAATAATCATTTATCCTCAGATTCTTTATTTGAACGTTTTCTCTGTGATTGATGATCGGTCGGTGAATCTGTATGTTGTTGTTGAGTAGATGATGATTGACTCATTTGTCGTAAGAGATTAAGTACAAGATCACGTTTATGTGGATCAGCTTGAATAATATTAAGTAGATGTTGTTCATTTTCATCAAGTGGTGTTCCTGTTGGTAAATTTGTTGTTGGCTGAGATTGAGGATTATTTAATGAATGAACCGATGGTGTTGGACTTGGGTTATTTGCTAAACAAAAAAAAAAGAAAACTTTTAAAAAACAAAGAAATAAAATTAGTTTTACCTAATGAAAGATAACCAAATTGTTGTTCGGTTTGTTGTTGTTGATAATTTGTTGGCATAGTTGTATAATGATCACGATAATTTTCATAAAGTTGATCATCATATTCATTTCCTAATGTTGGTGATGGCATTGGATTATAAGCTGAACTTACTAAAAGAATAAAGAAAAAATAACTTTTATTCTTTTCTAATATATTATTGATGAAAATGTTTACATTGTGACTGATAATCATAGGATGAAAGATCATTTGGTGATAATGAATGTGTTTGATAAAATTGTTGCATTGAATGAGGACTTGAAATTAAAGATTCTTTATCTTTTGATAATTGTCCAAACTGATTCTGTATGGGAAATCCACTAAAATAGATTAAATATTTTTAATTAAAAGAAGAGGTTTTTGATTATTATTTCATTAACTAACCTGTTTGACATAACCATAACATCGCCATGTTGTACGGGTAAAATAGTTGGTACTTGATGATCATGTGGTCGCATGTATAAACAATTTGTGTTGGAATATTTATTATTATTTTTATAATTATTTGTATTTTTCATTTGAGTATTATTTGAATTATTTTGTTCGGTTCTTGTATCTGTTTGCATTGTAGATGAAAATTGAGGAGCATTAGATAATTTTCGTCGTTTTCGCCATATATTATGTAAATCTGTTTCATCGAAATCATCATTATCGAAATCCATAGTATCATTTGATGGACATGAGTTCTTTTTCGCAAAATCATCTTCGTCTGATCCATTATTACTTTCAGTTTCATTAGAATAAAGTTTATTGAATTCTAACATGTCTGTATCCGATGGAGATGATGATAATGATAATGAATCTAAAAATAAAATACAAAGATCGTAATTAATATTTTTTAGATTCGTTTTTCTTTTACCCATTTTTTCTGTTGTTGATCGATCAAATAATTCCGGTTTAATAGTAATTTCTTGTACAAGTGGATTAACATCTGATGTTGCAATAAATTTTTGAATAATTTCACCATGTGCTAAACTTAATGAGCGAATACTAATAATTTGAAGTAAAAGTTTAGGATAAATTTTGTCAGCATGTTCAACACCATAACGCCAATTCATATATTTACGTAATATTGTTGCATATTTTTCTTGTAAACGTTTAACTAAATCAATATCTTTGATATTTAAACGATCTGGTGAAAATAAAATAACTGGTACTAATAATGTTGATGTTACTTCATCAACACGTAAATTACACATTGATATTAAATAACTTCGTGTACGAGTAAATATTTCTTCACCCCATAATTTAATAAGTAATGGATCAAGTGGTAAAATTTGTTCATCCATTAACGCACGTTGATCACGTGATAAATAATTTGTAAATGTATGTGTTTTGGGATCAAATAATGTATTTGAGGAACAGACCATTATATCAATAGCTGAACCTTTAAGTAATGAAACTTTATCATCTTCAGTAAATAAATCAAAATCTTTTAACATTCGTGCAAATAAAACAAGACGTTGAATTGGTACAATAAGAAAATTAGCCGGTCCACTTGCAGGTTTGTCACTAGGTGGAGATTGCACATTTGTATTATCAGATGATGATTTTGATGGATTTTGAAATAAAGCTGATGGATTAGGAAAACTCAATGGATACGTTCTAGAAATATAAAAAAAAGAAATAAACAATTTTTAAGAACTTCCTCTATTATCTCTAATGAGTATAATAATAACAAATTAAAAGTTTATAGAACCGTAATAATGATTAAAAAAGAAAAAGGAGATACTTACGCTCTTGATTGATATAATGCATGTGCAATATCTTCAATAAGTAATTTTTCTTCTTTTGTTAAAAATTTATAAATATCTGGATCTTCATCAATTGCACGATTTTCACGAAAACGTTTTCGTCTTGCACCATATTTTTCTTCACGTTCTTTATCCGATAAAACCCTAATTATACCAATTAGATATTTTCAAAAAAAAACAAAAACATCATTATTTTTTTTTCTCTTACCATTTTGATTTCATACCAATTGTTGTACATTTTTGATAACGACAAAATTGACAAACCTTACGTGTTACAATATTCACTGGACAATTCTCTAAAATATAATTTGAGTTTGTTTACAAGTTTTTAATGAAATTAAATTTCTTTTTTTAGCATATGTCAAAGTTCTTTCGATCTTTGTTTTTATCTTATGCTATTTATAGGATTAATATGCGCGAGAAAAACTAATATTGCTCTAATTTTTTTTTTCTTACATTAACAGGAAATCCAAGGATAAAATACTTCGAGTATAAAAATGATTTATAACATGGAAATGGAACTAATTACAGTCTAGAGGTCACGATGACCTCTTCTTTTTTTGAAAGTACTCAAAATGAAAATGTCTATAGTTTACCTTCACCAGAACATTTATAATTTTGATAACGATGGCATTGAACTGATCGACGAAAAAAAGCTTTACAACTTTCACAACTATTACCACCAAAATGAATTCCTTAAAAGAGCAATAATTGCAGATAATTGATAATTGTTTTTTATTGAATAATATTATTTACCGGTACTTATATCACCACATACACTACATAATTTACTAGGTACACCAATAGCTAAATCATTCACTGTAGTTTGTTGCATTTGAAATCTTGGCTCAAATGATATTGAATTAAATGAACGTCGTTTTCGTTGATTTTCTATATTGTTCGATAATTTATTTCCTACAATTTCTTCATTATCATGCGAACGACGTTTTAATGTTGGATAATAATTACTAATAAAAAAGAAAAAGGGTATTTTTTAAAATTAATTTAATTACAATATATTATCATTGTATTCTATGAAGAATATAAAACAAAATCTAGTGATATATACATTGCTGAAATGATCGCACCTTATTCTAGACAAACCATTAGGTAATGATGATTGACAAGGATGATTAAGAATAGGTACTGGAAATGGCATATACATTATTTATTAAAACGAACTGATATTTAAATAGATAATTGTATAATATAAACGATAATAATTATAATATTTGAGTCTAACGTATTTGAAATAATGAAGTCAATGTTTTAATGTTTTTTTTTTATTGAATCAAAATAATAAATTTATAAATAGATAAGAACGAGAAGATTGAAGAAAATGAAAAGAATGGAATGAAGTGATATGTTTCTAGTCACAGAGAAAAAAAAGAAGAGAAAGAAAAACAAAAAATAGAAATAGAAAAGTACTCAGACAAAGAACGACAAATGAGCAAAGAAAGATAAATTATAATGTGAAAATCTCAAGGTATTTAGTTCTATCATCGTTTATTATTTTTTTTTATGATAACATGAAAGATTTGATATGGTGATATAGAATAATTAATCGTAAAAATATGAATACTATGATATCATCAAATAGTAAATAGAGATGAAATTATATTTGATTCGAATAAATTCTATAATAGATTATAACTTAAGATATTTGACGTATCGAGGTTTAAATAAAATAGATAAGCTATTACTCATTATAGTTCATTCCAAGAATATTTCTATTCGTGATAGACATATTTATCAAGTCGCGTTTCATAAGAATATGCGAACAAAAATAATAGAAACTGCTACATTCATATAAAAACTTATATAATTAGTAGGGCGAAAGAACACATAAAAAAAAGAAAACAAACAGCGAAGGTTATTAGAATGCGTAGGTACGCCATTTGTTTTTGTTCTACTCTGTCATGAAAAAGAGACCATACATATATGAGCGCTTATCAGGTAAGAATATAAGGGAAAGAGAGAGAGAAAAATACCCATTTTTTTAACCATTATGTATATACATTAACTGTCACTTATGACGCTTTTTTTTTCTTCTTTTTATGAATACTAATGTTTATTTTTACCTAAAATACTTCACCTTTGATCATTCGATCAATAGCTAAGACTCTATTGTGCAAAATAGTGGCAATTTGTTTTATCTTCTTAAGAATGTTTAAAATAAAAACTAAACCTAATCGAACTTATATATATATATAAATGCCTTCGAAATTATCTGTCATTAATCTTCATGGCTGTTTTGTCATATATCATTTGTAAATATGTCTCTATGTCTCGAGATAAATAGAAAAAAAACTGAAAAATCACAAGGCATATCTTAAATGAATAATTAGCACAAAATACAGATAACGTAGACATTACATAGATTATATCGCCATAAATATATGCTTTTCGAGTATTTCTTTCAGGCTACATAACATTATGTTCTATAATTATATAGAGAAAAAGTGCATTCTTTTTTATGGTTCTTTAACATTTAATGTTTCATTGAATGGCTTGATATATATAGAATTTTTCAAAGAAGTGTACCAGCCGTAGAAATGCTATTTTTATCAATTATATTATATAATTACAAGAATAAATTTCGATAATTAACAAAAAATAACTTCTAATATATATTATAAAATTTCATTATCTAGATAGTGTTCTATACAAATCATTAATTATGTATTATAGAATTTCAAAACAATCAATATCAACTTCATCACATAACATAGACCAGAAGTAATTTTCATTAAATATAATATTCAAAATAGATTCCTAACAACAAAAAACTGATTTATGTCTAGATTTCTCAGAATATTTTTTTTACGAAAATATATCATGCTCGAAATATGTTACTCATAGAATAAAGAACAAAAAAGTACGACATATTCGTACGTAAGTCTAGGTCATCATGCACTATAATCGCTTTGTTGTAATAAAAATGCACTTGAAATACTAATTATAATTTATTACAGAATTTTTTTTTAATGCATTTTTTTGAAATATTTTTATAATATCAGATAACATACTCTACTAAATTGATTGTATGTATACAAACTTTCTTTATTATATTCCAAATAAACAAAAGTGTAGACTACTTATATTCTTCCTTTTTTTTGTTTCTTTCTGTGACATAAAAAAATGGTCCATAAGGAAAAGCAACGAGAAAATAGTCGTTATGGTATAAAGAAAAAAAGAAAAGAAAAAATCCGTTTTTTTTGTTCTTATATTATGATCACACCATGATGTGAAATATGATTTCTCCCTCTGTCGTTCTTGTTAATTATTAGATAAATAATAATAATAAAAATCTATATACTTACAAAACGAATTCTCTGTTCTGTTAATCAATTGAGATTAATAATTGATATGATATTTTGTTGTTTTAATATCTCTTATTTGGTATATATTATCTGAATAAAAGGAAGAAATGCCGTCGAAAATATTACAGATAAAGCGATTATTGAATAATTAGTACATATAAACAATAAACAAGAAAATAAAAAAGAAAATCGCCTAACCTTGTCGAGTGTAACTATAATATATAATTTTTTTTATATACTGACAGACGAAAACAAACTAATAGAGAACGTTTATTTTACTAAATAATGATTGGCTTCAATGGACAACGAGTAACGTCAAACAATCAAAAAGATAAATATTTTTTATTTTATTTTATTCTATATTTTAATACGAAATGACTATCGATGACTAATATTTATATGAATATATCTATTAGAATTGTTAAAGAAAATCTATGCCAATAAAAACAAATAGTTTGTTGTATGATTATGTAATATAATATCGATAACTAGCGACACATATACCTGACAATATTTTGACTATTTTTGAAAAGAATGTCTTACTATTTATACTATGAATTGATAACAAATAGGTAATGGAATAAAAAATTGAATATTATATTTCAAGAAATTCATATTCGATAGTATACATATTATCTAAACATCATTCAGAATTCTACCTTACCTGTATGTAAAAATAACCATTTAAAAAAAAGTTAACTTACTTATTTTGATCGACAAAGAATTTCTCTATTTTTTTATTATATGAAAAAATATGTCAATTATTTTTTAGCATATTAATAGTAATCGATAGAAACTGGTTGCTGTACTTTAGAAGCTCAAGTGGTACTTGAGTAAATCTATACTTATTATTTTTTACTACCATATTTGATCTTTCTATGTATGGTGAACAAGAAAATTTTGCGATGAAAACTGTTATATATAAATATATTTAATGTCGATTCGTGCATGGCTACATTTATCCATTCGAATAGAATAATATTTCTCTCATTTAAACGATAAAGAACTGCGAATCTACCTAGATGAGGATTTATGGTTGAATGTAAATTTCTATTGATAACTCTATTCCATTTTTATACAATAAGAAATAAATTTATTATTAACTTTTCTTTAGAAAAAACTATAAAGTACCTGAAATCTTAATCTCTTTTATTTGATCACGTACTGAATAAAAAAACTCGGATTAATCTTGTTCAAAATCAAAAAAAATTGTGCACTAAAAACTTTACAAGTATGATTATATTTTTTGATTGGACAAATATTCGCTTTCTCGTAGAGAAGAGTCCTGTCAACATAAACTGTCTGATTAATTGCTTGTCTGTTCGCAAGGTCAAAAAAACATCGAAGACCAATTTTCCGGAAAAGACATTTCTAGAGGTATTTCGATGCGGAAACTTCGAATCTGAGGTCTATGGGTGATCATGATGAGGGCGGATAAAGGCGAAAAAAACGTCGAAAACCGATTTTTCACACTTTTTAATTGTTTTTCCAGTAAATGTAAAGAAAATTCATTTCCACGAGAAAGAGCTAAGCGAGGCCTCGAACGAGCGTTATTTGTTTTATTTCATAGTATATTAAACAAGTTAATTAGATATTTAATATTTCTATTGACAATTTCATTTACAAGTTGAGCAAGAAAATAGACACTCATAAGAAACACGAACTTGACGTCCAACAACTATTGCATACCATCAAGATTGATACTCATATAAAATAAATAACATTTATAGTTATATTTTTCTTTTTAATTCGTGGATCGATTTTCAACAATCGAAAAAAGACCTTCCATTAAAAACACAGACAAATAAATATTTATTTTAGAAGAAAAAAAATGTAAGGATGTTGTTTTTTTTCTCTATTAAATAGAATTATCTAAGAACTACTAATACCTTAACCCATTTTGCACATAAAATAAGTTTCACTAGTAGAATTTAGAAATCATGAAGAATTTTATTTACAAAAAAAACCTAATTTATCGTTTAACTAAAGTTGACAATTTATTTAAAAAAAAAAAAGGAAAAGCGGAAAAGAAAAAAAAACACATATGACAATAGTTTATCGTTCTACTCGATAACAATCAATATAATGAGTAGCTCGTTGTTTAATTAAATCACGTGTATTACGTGCTGTATCACGTAATTGTTCAAAACGTTGAACAGTTGGCATTGTTTCACGACTTGTTTCATATGATTTTAATGCATCTAAAAATAGAAAATTATATAATATGATATGATTTATTTTTAAAATAATCTCTTACTATTTAGTCTCGAACTATATTCCGTAATTTGCTGTTGTAATGCTTTCATATTTGTATCTAATGTTCGTACACGAACAGCAGTTGAACGAGTTTCAGCTGGTAAATCTTGTTTATCTCGTGTATAATTTACAAAATGTGCATTTAACTTTGTTAAATCCTATTAAAATAAAAGAATATTTTATATGAATAACAATATTCTTCATTTATATATACTGTTGTTAAGTCTTCTAAATATTTTGGAAGAAAGTCGTCCATATTTCGCTCAGTTTCAATAGCAATAACTTCAATTGAATTTCGAATACTTGAATTAAGAGTTTGTTCAACTGCTTGTATTTGTAATAAACGTTCACTTGTAGCATTTAGATTCTGTTCAGATTTATCAAGTAAATCTGATGTCTATAAGAATAGATATATATATATATATATATATGAAAATGAACAAAGAAAAATTATAGATTTTACTTGTATAACAGCTGTTTTAAGTTCATCAATACGACGATTTGTTCCACTTGCTAAACGTTTTAATTCAGTTGTTTCATTATCTAGTTTATCAACAAGATTATCAAGTATTTCTATGCCATTTTCTTGTGCATCATAAAGTCTATTTGAAAATATAATATTATAAGAAATTTTCTGTATAATTATTTGCTTCGTTTCGTTATCAAACGGATATCATTCTTATTTCTGACAAATTTTCCAAGAAGTTTTCCTATTAATGAGGTTACATTTTATTTTATTTTTCATACAAAGCATACTTTTGTATTCTCGATCACCGTGGTGTAGAAACGAATCGATAAGGTCTATGTACCACATTTCGTACGAAATAAGGACGTAAATTAAGTGCATTTATCGAGGGCGTTAGGTTATTCTTTACATAAATCAACTTATTTCTTTTTTCGAACTTAACTTATATCACACCAGACTTGGAACCGGTCAAGTTTTCTCGACCCGGACTGGACCGGCCGGTCTGACATGGTCGCCCGGACCGGACCGGCCGGTTACCGGCCGGTCTATATTTGTAACTGGACCGGTAAAAACCGGTAATTTTTACGGCATAATCTGATGGATAAAATTTAATATATATATGTATTATTCCAGATTTAACGTATACAAACTCAACTAATACTGTATAAGTTCAATATACTTATTAATATGCAAAAAAAGAATTTTCAGTCAGATATAACAGAATAGCATACGTTATATTGTGGAGTTAGATATTATGGTATTAATAAGAATGAGTGCTATCATCTGGCGTAAATCACTGTCGAGTATAAATGATAATAACATATGATTAGTAGAACTCCAAGAAAAAGACATCAGCCGTAAAAATTCTCAAACATTTTTAGGCAAAGTATTTCCAAAAACTGAAGTAGTTAAGAAATAATAGTTGCAATTCTCTCATTTATTACAATTTTATTATGATTTCTTATTCGTTAAGTAATAGTTAAAGAAAAAAATGACAATAAAAGAAAAGTCATTTCGGCACTTAAATTAAGCATCTAAACCTATTACTGATTTGTAAATCAATTTCATAAATATTTTTGTAGTAATCTGATAAGGAAGAAAATATGTGTCAAAATGTCGTTAAATACAACGATCGAATACAAAAGGGAGAGTTAAAAAATACTCAGATCAAATAAATATAATGGTTGTCATAAAAACCACATAATAAGAAACACTACACATAAGTAATAAGAAACTACAGACAGACTAGATATCCATAATTCAACAGAGATAAACAATATAAGCAATAAGAAAATGTCAATTATTCAATAAATATAAAGATGTGTGTTGAAACACAAAGTCTTTTTGTTCATCAGTTTAATATAAAGCTATAGCATGAAATTCAAATGTACAGACACTTATTGTCTGGAAAATATCAAGCAAAAACTTCGAAATTCAACTTTTAAAATTGTGTTGAGATGTAAAAATTATGTAGAAATAATATCATATACTGTCTTTCCCACTTCTCACACTTAGATTTCTAACTATCAACATGATATTTTTATCAATTTTAGTGTATATCATGTAAAAAACAATTATGCAGTATCCTCTAAAAATGGAAAAAAACCGGTAAATACCGGTAAAAACCGGCCGGTCTGAAAAGTTGACCCGGGCTGCACCGGTGACCGGCAAACCGGCCGGTCCGGTACCGGTTTGCCGGACCGGTTCCATGTCTGTATCACACGTCATGCTTTGTTTACGAGTGCAGTCATTGGATCAGATATATACTGTATGAACTTGTAGTGCGTCTGAGCCCTGGATCTATGAATTTTATGCACGGAAAGTGACGCACAGCTAGATATCTATTAAGTAATGTGCATACACGTGATTTGTACACGAGATAAAATATTCATATTATATAACTCGATAAAGAATAAAAGTATAAAGATATGATAGAAACAACAAAATAAGTATAACAATTAAACTAAGCACGAAAAATAAACTTTTATTTCTAGTAATAATCATATGTTCGATGGAGATCTTAATCACGTTTTATGATTTTTTTTATCTCGTGCACAACATGCGGAATCTTATTAATTCTCTCTTGATAAATAACAATAATATAAAATAAATTTTCTTACCTAACATAAGGTGATAGAGCATCTTCAATACCTTTTGCTCGATTTAATTTATGTGTTGCATCACGAATTTTTTCTAATTCATTTCCTGTTTGACTACTTATTTGAGCTTGTTCAACTAATGTACGAATATCTCGAATACTTTCTTCTAAATTATCTGATGTTAATGATATTTTCTTTGTTAATATTCGATCAATTAATTCTCTAATATCAGCTGGTTTTCTATCATGTAAAATATCTGTTAAATTTGTTATTTGCTGTTGAATTAAATCAATATTTGAACTTGTTTGATTTAATGTTATATTAAATGTTAAAAATTTTTGTTGTTCAAGTAAAATTTTATTTAAAATTTCCGTTATATCTTTTTCAATTGTATATTGATGTTGATAAATAAGATTTGTTTCATTTTGTTTTATTAAAAGTTCATTTTCAGTGGAATTTATTGTTTGAATTAATTCATTTAATTGTCCATGAATACTTGATGAACATTGTGATGATGAATTTGCACACGTTGAAGAACATCCTTCACCACCACATATTGAACATTGATTATTTTGTATACCACGTGAACCACAAACAATTTCACTAACATTTCCCTAAATTAAAAATGAGAGATGATAATAAATAAATAAAAGAATTGAAATTTTATTTACTTTATTAACATATTTTTCATTAAGATCATCATAAGTTTGTATAAAATTTTTTAATTGTTCTTGTGTTTGTTGAGTTTTTAATCGATGTTCTTCATTATTTGCCATTATACTTTCATTTAATTTTGATACTCTTGTTTGTTGTTGAAAACTTAAATCTTTTAATTGTATTAAGTGATTTTTAATATCAATTAATTCTTGTTCAATTGTTTGTGCACTTATACCAGCTGATTGTAAATCAGCATGTTTAGCACCATTAAATTGTTTCTTATAAAAATCAATTAATTTATATGTATCACTAATAACATTTGTTATATGTGATAAATCTTCTTCAAAACGAAAACGTTTTGTTTGATTAAGAAATTCCGGTTGAAATTCATCAGTTAATAATGATGTAAGACGATTAATTCGATCGATTATTGTTTGATATTTATAACGATATGGATCAAGTTCATTGGAATTATATTTTAATCCAAGAGATATTTGTGCTTGATCAAGTAATGAATCAACTTGTTCAAATAAATAACCATTTGTTATCGATTCAAGTTGTCGAATTTCAACTGAATTAAGACGATTAATAGATAATTGAACTTGATCAGTTACACGATTAATAATTGTATCCCAATTTGTAAAACATGCACCACATGTTGAACAATAAGGAACAACACCGTATTTAGCACGAGCACAACGATCACATAATTGACCTGTAACACCTGGTTTACATGTACATTGACCTGTTTGTGAATCACATTCTGAACTAATTGCACCATCATTTGAACATTGACATGGTTGACATGCATTTGGATCGCCATATGTACCTGGTGGACATTGATCACATCGTAATCCACCACGATTTGGTTTACAACGACATTGTCCTGTAAATTTATCACATACGGATGATTCACTTCCATCTGGATTACATTTACAATCTGAACAATAACCACGACCTAAACCCCAATAACCATCGACACATTGTGAACAACGACGACCAGTTTTTGTATCTTCAACATATTCTTTACATATGCATGCACCTGTTCGACTATTACATATTTGATCTTGTACACCACCAATACCACAATCACATGCAATACATTTATCTGGACCAAGTGCATCACCATAAAAACCTGCTCGACATGTTTCACAATTAGGACCACCTGTATTATATAAACATTTAAGACATAAACCAGTACGACGATCACATGATTCAGGATCATCAACATTAATATTATTATTACATGAACATGGTTGACATTGACCACCTTGTTCTGTTGGTGAACCATAATAAGCTATTGCACATTGTGAACATCGTGGACCAGTATAACCTGGACGACATCGACAGACAACTTGTTGAGTATATGGATCATGTACACATGAATCACCAAATTGTTGTGTTGAACCAGGACCTCCTATTTATTCAGAAAAAAATATTTAAAATTCTTTTTTTTTTATAAGATTTCTTTCTATTACCTGGACACATGCATGGTTTACAGACTTGTGTTGAACCTAATCTAGCATCACCATAATATCCATCGGCACATTTTTCACAATGATCACCACCAGTTGAGTCTCGACAATCAATACATTTACCAGTATCTGGTTCACATAGATCACTATGACCATTACATTCACATCGTTGACATGATGGAAAATTCCAAAAGCCTAGGGAACATGTACTACAATCTCGGCCAGATATATTTGGTCGACAATAACAAGCACCATTAACAACATTACATAAATTATTTAATGCACCCATATTATGACAATTACATTTTGTACAACCATCTGGTGAAAAATGATAAGTACCAGGTACACATAGATGACATTTAGTACCCATTACATAGGGTTTACATGCACATTGACCACCTATTGGGTCACATTGTGTACTGATAGAACCAGTTGGATCACAATCACAAGCTTTTAAAAATTGAAAAGAATGAATTTTTTTCTTCATCATGTTATCAGATAAAAATTTTCAAAACTTACGTAATGTTCGTCCAATAGTTAATGCACTTAAACCACATATAATTTTTTGACATACTTCAGGTAATTCAACTGGTTGAGTAACAGTTAATGCTAATTGTTTACATTGTTGTGTTTCATAATCATTTATTAATAATGGTTGTTTACTAAATTCATCAATTTTTTCAATAACTGGAACAAATACAATCTATAAATAATTAGACAAATTAGTGTAAATATTTTCGTTTTTTTTTTAAATTTAACATACAGAATCGATACTAATAACTGGATCACGTGGATTATCTCCATGACCATATTTAGTTAATTGTAATTGTAATTTATAATGTTCATTTTCATTTAAACATAATGATTGTGTTAATTCAGTAAATGTTTTATCTAAATAAAATCATTTAATATAACTCTAACTTTCATAGATTATGTTAACATACTAGCTGGCAATTTAAATGTTAGATCTTGTTCATAAGTTTGATTACCACATAATGTTATATTCGGTTGAGTTCGATTTTGTGATATAACAACAATTCGTGCACTTTCCCATGTTTTTGGCTAAATAGAATGAACAGGAAGAAAATAGTTTTAATAATTTTATATAAGTAAATATTTACTGCAGGCATATATCGAATAATTAAACTATATAAACCACTATGAGCCATATGATATATATCGAAATCGATAGTACCACCTTCATAAATTCTTACAATACTTGTACCTGTCCATGAACGTTGTTCATTTGGATTATCATATGTAAATATAATTGCTTTCTATAAATAAATATAAATTAAAAATATGATTAAAAATTTTACAAAATTTACTTTTTCTTCTACTCGTGCTAATTCAGCTTCATATGTAAAGAATTGTAAACCAGCACAATAAGTACCTTGTGCTGGTGTATCACATTGACGACCAATCATACCTTCTCGACATGGACATTGACCTGAATTTATATCACATTGAGGAGAATACGAACCACCTGGATGACATGAACATGGTCGACAACCTTCAGGAGAATTTTCATTTAAACCATAATAATTTTCCTATAGAAAAAAAAGGAAATTCTTTTTAAAACAAACTTTAAGAACTTTTATTAAAAAAATACTTGACACTGATCACAACGTTGTCCAATAATATTTGGTTTACATTGACACATACCAGTTGTTGTATCACATTGTTTATCAATAATACCATAAGGATGACAATCACAAGCTAAATAAGAACTTTTATTTTTCATTGTCAATAATTAACAATAAATACCTTGACAGCCTTGTGGATTATTATAATCAAGATTATAAAATCCAGCTTTACATTTATCACATCGTTGTCCTTCGACATATTCTTTACATATACATTGACCAGCATGAAGTTCTAATTGAGGATCATCATATTGAACACAACTACCCTTATTTCTTGTTCCATATGCATCACAATTACATGCTAAATATTATAATAAACTATTTCAATCTATTCTTTTTTGTTGTTGTTGTTTTTACTTACGTTTACAAACATGTGCATCTGTTATTGGTAGAGAATTATCTTTATAAAAAAGATCTTTACAAAATTCACATTTTGAACCAATTGTATTATGTTCACAATCTTCACAAACACCACCTGATGTATAATTTGTTTGTGCAAATCGAACAGCATCAAAACGACATCGTTTAGCATGACCATGGCATTCACATAGACGACAAGGATTTGGTTGTCCAATACGAGCTGGACGCCATGGACGATCATTGTATAAATCAGCACAACGTTCACAATTTAAACCTTCGGTATGATGTGTACAATTACATCGACCATAGACCTAAAATTTATAGATAATTAATCAAATATAAAGAAGAAAATGAATGATGAATAATATACTTTGCCTAATGTTGTAATATTTCCTTTTAATTCATCTTCAGTTGGTATACATCGTTTTGCATGACCATAACATGAACATGAACCACGTACAACCATTTCATATAAAGCATAATAATATTTTGGTGTTGTTTCTTGTCGTGTATCTAAATAATTATCTCCAAGTGTATGTAATTTTGTAAAATTAATACGTAAATTGGTAATTTTTATTAATTCTTGAATACTTGGTGAATAAGGATCACGATTACCAATAGTATTCGGTGAAAGTACACGAAAAACAACCTAAAAATAACAAATATTTCTTATTTTTCGTCTAAAAATTAATTAAAAAAATTTCAACAAACTTCGCCGCCAGTTGATGGTGTATCATCTGAATATCGACTTTCACAATAAGGTAAATCCGGTGATGCTAATGTTGGTATATAAGGAAATTGTGTTCCACATGATGCAGCAAAATAAGCATAGATTCTCCATGTTTTTCCAAAATCTGCACTTTTTTCAATGATCATACCTTTTGGTCGAAATGTACGAAATTTCATAATTAAATGTGTAAAAACAAATTCAGCTTCTAAATTTAATTGTATTGTTACATTTTCTCGATCATTTTCAGCTTGCCACCATGCTTGAGTATGTTTATTAAGATCTCCAGGTGATCGCGCAACAATTTGATCAATTGTATGAGATTTATTTGGAGCTTTTACATCACATACATCACAACTCACATTTTTTAAATTACCAATGAAACAAAAACGTTCGGGACGACGAAGACCACAAGTTGAACTTGCATAAAGATTTGCTGATCGACCAACTAATAAATCACCTGTAGCTGGATAACAACCACCATGATCACAATCAGGTGCTGATGAACCGCCAGTGGCGATAGGACGACGTGTTGATGTAGTAAGTGGTTTACGACGTCGAATAGGACTCACATTCAAACGTGATGATAATGTAGCCGTATCAATTTGCCCGTGAACAGAGACTAAAAAACATTTTTTTTTTGAAAAACAATTTTATAAAATATTATTTTTGTAAATATTTACCAATTAAGTCAAATAGAATTATAGCATTTAATAGGAAATACCATTGCCAATATCGCCTCCATACAGGATCAATATACATTTTTCTCATTGTTTGAATACGTATAAATTCGTTATTACGCGTAAGTATGTGAGCGTAAGCGTCTGTTCTGCTCACATATATTGAATGAATGGTTATCTTACATACACAAATACAAAGAGTGTTCAATCTCGTCCCGGGTCAAAAGCAATTCTTTTTCTTTTCGTCGTTCTTTTCTTCTCTATATTACAACTACTATTACTCTTGATGCGATATTGTATATCAGGTCCGAACAGTCAGTCTGTTCTCGCATCATCGACGACGATGGGCAATGGCGAGAGAATAAGGGCGAAAGACCATATCTTATATAATCATATAATATATATCATAAAGAAAGGCACAAAAAAAATTAACGTTCATTGCACTCATATTTCGATATATAGTTCGTTTAATGGTCAGTAAAGAGTCGAGTGGACATCCTTTTTTTTGTATAAATAAAAACGAAATATGAGATGTTTTTTACTTGCTTGTTAATACTCATATTTTATTATTTAATCGAATTAGACTAAACTAGTTAATTCCTCGAATAATAACATAAATAATTTACACTTGTTGAAATTATTTAAAGTGAAATATCGTATAATATTTTTATGGTGGATACTTAATGAATACTTTCAATGTATCTACTTTTGAGAGGTTTACATATTTTTATTAATTATTTCAATATATATATATATATAACTTGTTAAATCAATATTCGATAGAATCCAAAAGAAATTTTGTTTTCTCCAATAAGATCCAACACTCGAGTTTACTGATGAGTACGCGAAATTCAAGTTATTTCGTAAATGATCTGTATATCGTTAATCCTTCCTTTGACTCTATTTCGACTGAACCTTTTTCGTACTTTGTTTAGCACTATTCTTTATCAATTATGTTATTTTTCTAGTGCACCTACCTACAGATATATTCATCGACACTGTTTGAATTTTTTTATCTAAGTGAAGAAAAATGTCATTATCTACTGGCTCATAAGACATAATATTGATTCATTGGTAAAAAAATTAAAGTACAGTAACAATGTTATACAGTATCAAAAGAATGATTTTGACATTGTGGTGCTTATTTGTATAGTGAAATCAATCTAAAACTGAAATTTACTTCAAATGAGTTTGATAACATTTAACTAAACAGTTCATTTTATCATTCTTTTTTAAAATGCTGCAGGCAGGTTTCCTTTCATATTAATGGTATGATCTTTAATTGCAGATCTACTTGTCATTACTAGTCAAACAAGTGCGCATATATATTTAACTAAATGAAAGAACATTGATGAATTTAAATACATAGCCATACTCAAAAGATCCAATTTTAATTAAGAAAAAACTTCAGAGGAACTGAAGAGTATTCACACAGAAAGATATTACTAAATGTCTTCACCTATAAAGACAATATATTAACTGAAACATTAAAACATATCTGTACAATGTAGAGATATTCATATTTTTACAAATATTTAGTATCAACACATCAAGTCACTTGTTCTTTGCATAAATCTTATAGGCGTTTGTTGTATATGAATATTCATCACATCGTGAATATTTAATTAGCATTTTAGTTGATCTAAATATCCATATTATTATACTAGAGAAAATGAAATGATTATTGTGTCAAATAATTTCATAGTTAAAGTCGTTCTATTGTAAAGATGTAAAGAAAAATTTACGAAGCATTTATAGTATGGGATGTTAATACATTGATAGAAATGTTTTGTTGAATAAAATGAAAAGCTTTTTAATGCAGAAGAACACATTTTATATTATATACTTGTTACTATTCGTTAAAGAAATGTTTAAACAAGACACAAGAACTAAATTAGATGGGACACGAGTTGAGCTTGTATATGAAATGTAATGCGAAGTTTTCGTTTTGATTCTCACAAAAAATAAATCGTATAAAGTAAGAATAATGCATGTATAATAAATTCTAGTCAAATATTATTCTTTCTGTTAGAATAAGTTTCATTCAATAGATTATTTTTACCACGTGATTATATTAAGCCATTAGTTTTTTGCAAATCGGTCTTAACGATTTACTTTTTGCATTATTAGACGTATGATCATTCTTTTGAAAATATTCAGTTTAGTGATATTATTTTCGAAAAACGCTCATTTCTATTCTTAAAATCATTAAATGGTGATGGATGATATTTAAAAAATCACTTTGTTCAACGAATTGGAAATCATTTAATCTTTGTAAGAGGTTTCTTCCTATATAATCAATAATAATAATAATAATAATAATATTGTGTAGCTAGACGTAGAGATTAAATCAATAGACATTATTTCTACATTTATTGTGTTATCATAGTGATAGCATCTGTTTCATAGGATACATCATTACAGATCTTTATACTATTACAATATTTTCCTTGTCAATTTTTGAACATATGCTCGAACTTCCCTTTAACTTGAATTTTATACTGTGATTAAAATATACTCAATTTAAATGACGGATGGTATTGGTTTCTTTTTAGTTGTTTCATAAAACCAAGCTTTCTCTAAAAAATAACATTGGCCATTTTATTTATTTTTATAACTGATCAAAAGAAATCGGACCTCAAATAAAAATAATTACAAAGAAAATGATAGATGTAATGACGCTCAGATTATATAAAATTTATACGATCTGTTTCTCGTTCGTATCAGCCACGCTGGAGAAACGTTATCTTAATGTAATACTTTATTAAAAATAATTTTGATGTCTTTCAAAGAAAAAAACAAATTTTATTTGATATGGTGACAGATGTTTGGTGTCAGTTTTATGTGTTCAATTTAACAAAATATTGAATTAGAATAAAAAAAAAGAATGATTGAAGGTTTCTGTCGTTTTTTTTCCTTTGATATGCTAATATACGTGATGTCATATGTTAGGAAAAAAAGAAGAAGGTTGAACATTTATATTATTTGTACATTGTCGCACGTTGTTACCTTAAGTATTTAATTACCTTGATCTTTATCCGCAACCTTTTGTCTGAACATTTTATTATACACATCCATTTCGATAGTATAGAAATTATATTAAATCGTTATTTTACTTTCATTCTCATATACTAACATACACAGTCAAGATGAGTGTGTTATCGTTTATTTGCCAATCATTCTTTTTTCTTATATTAAATACATCGTTATAGCGCCTGACTTAGAAGTGTATTTTTTTCTCTCTCTATCTCTCTCGCTTTTTGTGTTCCCTTCTGTCGACTATTCCTTATAATCAATCTTATTTTGTCTACAAACGAGGAAGAAGAACAGTAATAATAAAAGAAGAATATACGAGACATCTAGCCACGATTATTTCTATTGTGTGCAATACACGATCAAACATTCTTTTCTTATACGTACAAAAACGATCGTTCTCTATAAACTCTACTGATAAAATGTAAGTTTATATCCTAAAAAAAAATACGAAGCTAAAGGTTTTTTTTATCAATATTTATGCTTTTACTTTAATTCGAATCGCATTAAATTGTGCTTAGACGGAGAAAAAAAAAGAGGATATCAAATAATCACATTCATACGAGTCAGCTGTCGATAACGGACATTTGTTGTGCAGTTGAATTTTTACTGACAGGTGTTCGACGTAGACATAAAAGAAATTTGACTCTTTTTCTTTTTTTCTTCTTATTCAGCATGCGAAAACAACCAATGGATGTTGATGATTCAACAAATCCTCGAAATACTTTAGATCATGGACATAGTACATTCAATCGGTATGCAACAAAAAAAACTTTGGCTAATAGTAGTTTTGAAATAGCATTACTTGTAACAAATGCTGTTCAATTAAAAACACTTCTTGGAAATAAAACAACTCAAGATGCACTTTGGTACGTTGGTCTTTCGCTTGTTTGTGTATCATTATTTATTCAAGTTATAAATGCATGTATTTTGGTTTTAATGGGTACTGATGATATATCAAAAGAACGTCGACAACATCGTTTAATATCATTAAATAATTTTTCACTTATTTTATCTGTACTACTAGCGATTGTAAATGTTGTACTTAATATAATCGTTGCTGTTGATCCACAAATTTTAGCAACAACAATAAATGCAACTAAATTACCTTAAAAATATGAGTGTATATATGATTAAAAAAAAGCGTTTTTCGTTTTATTCACTTTAATTGTTGTTGCCTTTTATTTAAAATATTAAAAATAAAAACAAAAACAAATAATTAATCACAACTACCATCTTTTGGTCCATCTCTCCATCTTTCTAATACTTGTTTACAATTAAATTCAGGTTTTCCTAGTTTTTTATTAACAATATTATGTTGATTACACATCCATGTTGAAAGACCAAGACGATTTGAAAGATCCGGTGGTGATTTAATTATTTCTTCTTGAAAATCATCTCGACATTCAGGACATGGAAATACTTTTGAAAATGAATCAATAAATTGATTCATTGATTGTTTTTCTTCTTGTTTAGGTTTCGTTGGATAATATGCAGCCATTGTATGAAGTAATGACCATGATGCACGACCTACATCATCACGCATTAATGGACATTCAGAATTAATAGATATTTGTTCTTCAATATGTGGTTTTCTTTCAATATTATCAACAACACCGTGTTTTAACCAATCTTTGAAATCAACACAAGCTTTACAAGGTTTCTCAAAATGGTCATCATCGATCATTGAAGGATTCGATAATTTTGAATATTCGCTATTTTCATTAATTGGATTAAATTTATTTTCATCATCGGGTTTTGTTCCACGTGGACGACGTTCATAGCCTCCACTATTCGTAGCATCGGGATCAATAAATTGTTTGTACATGTACAATGAAATCTATAAATAATAAAAAAAACAGATCAAGACAATGTCTTCTAGGATGCTAGGAAATATCATCCACTTGAGTATAAATGATATATACATCTATCTTTGTTATTGATTTTCAGATGAACAGTTATTTCTCATGATTAAATATTGAATATTAATCAACTGAAATCATTATTTTAGCAAGTCAACCTATATTCAGTTATTTATACGGTACAATTGAATAGTTTATTATTTGAATATACGCTTCTATAGTTTATAACAAAGAAATTATAAATAGTTCGCAATATAGACTTTCGTTTTTAAGCTAATAATTAGATATTTTCGATTGTTGACTAGTTTTTCAATGAATTTATTCTTTGGTCTTATACCAGTTATTCTACTCACAATCAGAATAGAGACACTGGAGTTACAGTTCTTCTCAAATGTCAATTATATTGACTGTAAAGATTATTTTAATCCAGTATTTATCTATATACTAATATTAGAAGAAAACATAAGAGTTTTTATCTAAAATAAAGATATATAAAATCCATTGTTGATTGGAAAAATAAGAAACTAAATCAATAGTATGATCCCATTTAGATAGAACTTATTTCTTACTAGACCCAATTGATTTGTCTGAAGCTACAAATGTTTAAAAAACGAAGAATCTTTAAATTATATTCGATCATGTAGAATAATGAAATTTTAATAAAAAAACTGTATTTATTTAAATATTAAAATTCTCAATTTATAATTCAACATAAAATAAATATTTAAACAAAAAAAGAAAAATTTCGGACGGAAGAATAGATGTATCACAAAATAAGAATTTGTTTTTAAAAAGCTTCTTGAATGACAGATGTTGTTTTTGATAAATTAGGTTTATCGCGTCGATGTAATGTTTTCACTGCATTTTGTCTTAGATGTTTTTTACTTTCCAGATTATTTTCACGTATAAATACAAGCTAAAAAAAATATATAAACGAATCAATAGTAAATTAAAGAAATTTTACTTGTTTTTCAGCTAAACCTTCATGTCTTAATTTATAAGCAACAATAAAAAAAGCAACACCAAGAAAATAAATTAAACCGGGTGATGTTAAAAAATTAATAATCGATATCCATAAAACAGATGTTTGATAATCAGCTAAAAAATTCCAAATAACTTCATAAGAACCATTTAAATGACGAAATGGTCCACAATTATCACTTGGTTTTATTTGTGTTGTAAATACGGCAAAACATGTTGCACTTACAATTAATATTATATATGCTAATAAATATATTAAATATTCAAGACGATATGCATTCCAAATAAAAACACGTTTATGAGAATCTGAACGACGCGAACGAATATATAAATATAAACGATGGGATACAAATGAAAATAATATATTTAATAATATCATTATGGATAATAGTGGAGAAAAATAGATTCCAATCCAAATAAGAAATTGACTGTAAAGTAATACAGGTGGACTTATTTGAACATGAAGATTAATACCATCGAAATCACGATTCTTTTTACCGGATATTAAATCAAAGAAAAGACCAAATAATAATGGAAATAATAATGATGCAAATAAATCTACAAAGAATTATATAAAATTTTTATTTTCTAGATCTTTATATATATATATATATTTACCGCATAGTAAAAGAACATAGATATATTGACCAAAAGCTGTTTCATAACATGGTGGTGCATTGACAAAAAAATGGATAATAAACGATACAATTGTACATACATTCGTAAAAACACATCTAAAGGAAAATTTTTGTCAATTAATAAGTTTAAAAAGATGTGTGTTAGTCTAAGATTTTACTCAGTAACAAAATGAATGATTCATTTCAAAAGAAATCATATCTCAAAAAGTCTTAACATTGTCAATAAAGCTGATCAAGATTTTAGAAACCCATTCCCTAGGATATCTACTGATCATATTTATATAATGTATACAAGGGGGTAATAGCTGGCACCCAGCACCTCAGCACCTGCTCAGCATCTTTTTAGCATCTCAGCACCTATTTAGGATCTGTTCAGCACCTCAGCACTTGCTCAACACCCGTTCAGCATCTCAGCACTTGTTCGATGCTTTTCGGTGCTGGGTGCCAGCTCCTACCCCTCTGAATATACCTCAAGAAATCCGCCTAATTTGTTCGAAATTGATTTATCATCAAACTTTTCATTTTAGTCAATAACTTATAGTTTTAATTATTTAACATATTTTTCAATATACAAACCTTAATCCCACAGCATCTAATTTATATGATAGATATTTATATTGTTCAATTTGTGTAAGTAAAGCAATAACATATGGCATTAATCGATTAATAATAGCTAAATAAATAATTGATTGATAACAATCAACATTTGGTTTATCACAAAAAGATAAAATCGCCCAATTAATAGCACCTATTAATAAAGAAAAAAATTACATAAAAAAAATGTATTTTTTGGTCTATCTCTACCTAATACCATTGCTAATAAAATATAAAATAAATTTGTTACAATTAATTTTAATTTATATCCATATGATTTAAAATCACTAAATTGTATTTTTTTATTTCTTTCATCATTTCCAATTAAATCCAGATATAATCTTTTGAATATTGTTCGATGTTTTAAATTTTGTTTCGATGATTGTATTGTATAATCGTTACGTCCAAATGTAGACATAAAACCACTACCAATTTTTGTATTTAATATTGAATGAAAAACTTTTTGTTTATATGCAGATGAAAAACGTATTGTTATAAAAATAAACCAAATAAAAAAATAAATGTATGTTGTTAAAAAATAGATTAATGATAAATTATATTTATTATCAATAATACCATAAGGATAAGAACCTTGGAAAAGTACGGATTCTGATAAATATCCTTTTGTTGTAAATAATGATGAAAATGTAAATGATACATTGGAGAATGTTGTTGATGAAGTTATAATTTTATATGGAACTGTAATTAATGAAACCCATACAATTAGAGTTAATAAATTAATAAGAAAAAATCCATATTGAAGGTGAAATATTGCACAAACACCGGAACCATATTGACGTGCAATTGAAGCAAGTGTTGGAAGAAAAAATTGAAAACGACGTCGATGTTTTATATTTGCTGTTGGATCGAATACAAAATTAGCAAGACTATGAAATTTATCATGATTATCAGATTCATCTCGTCGTACATGACGAAGAAGTAAATGTTTAAATGAAAGTGGCCAATCAAGTTTAACTCGAATATAATGAATTATTTTTGAAGAATCTTGATCAAATTCTTTGGATAAAACTTCTGCTGTTTCACGACAGATTTCTAAGAATATTAAAAAAATACATTTTTCGAAATTTTTAAATCTATTTTATTCATTTTATTGTAATTCTCAAATTAAATTACTTCCTTTTATTTGGCGAAGAAAGAGTGTATGACTCATCGAAATACTTTTCATTTAAATCGACAATTTCCTTGAAATTCTACTTACGATCTTTATCACGTGGCTGATTTTCTAATGAAACTCGTTGTTGATTAACAATATTTTGTAAATTTCCCGCTTGGCGTACTGCTTCTGTTGTTTCAGTTTCCATCTATAATGTGTTATGAAACGAATGAAAACGTAATTCTTTTCTTTTATCTTAACAAAATATATTGACAAACAAAGCTTTATGAATATGTCATTTTCTGTCTATTTCATTGAAAGACTCTTCATAGAAGATAAGGAAGAAAAAGTTAACAAAACGAAACTTGAAAGAAAACAGAATAACAAAAAAAAGTAACAAAAACATACAACAAATTTCGAATAGTTCTCATTCGATAACGCAAACACCACCAACTGCTTCAATTTTAGCTTTCATTTTTTCAGCATCGGCTTTACTTAAATTATCACGTAGGACTTGTGGTATTGATTCAACTAATTTTTTAGCCTAAAGAAATATTATGAAATGTAAAGAGAATATGTTTAAACAATAGAGAAATAATACTAACTTGAACAAGATTAATATTTTCAACAACATCTTTGACTTGTTTAATGACAGGTACTTTTTTTGTATCATCATATTTGATTAATCGGACTTTAAATACTGATTGAGCTACTGGTCGAGCACCTTCATCTTCTTCGTCGTCTTTTTTCTAAAAGAAAGAAAAATAGAAATCGTATACTAAGTGACATATGAGTGAATTGCAACTAGTATTTGTACGCTCGAGTGTTGAATAAAAAATTACGTGTTATGAAAACGTATCAATTTTATCAAAGTAATTTATATATCTTCTGCAAATAAATATTACACTTCTTTTGATTTATTATAGCAAAAGAAAATATATCTCTCAGACAAAGTATATGATAGGAAGTAAAGTTGATTTTTGTCTAGAGTAGAAATCAAAGTTTTTATAACTAGTAAATAGTTGTAAACTATTTTTTACCAACACTAAACTGCGCGTTCTTTATATTAATTTATGAATGAGTAAGGCATTTTTTTCGAACTACGAATGATTCGTACAATAAAACTGCAATTCACTCATATAGAATTAGATGTACCGGTGTAGTCGGTGGTGGTGAACCACTGCTTCCTCCTGATGCTACAATCGGCACATCCTGTATATTGAGTTTTCTCTATAGAAAAAAAAACATAAAAAAAATACATTGAAGATTTTTGTAAATTTATTTGAGAGTTCCTAAATAAATCAATGAATTTACCTTTAATAATTCATTCAAATCCATGACTTCAACCAATGATAATTTACTTATTTCATTAACAATTCGTTGAATATTTTCTGAATAAGTTTTCGTTATTTCAACATCTATGGATGATTTTTCTTTTAATTTCGTCGCTGCATTTAATTGTATTTGAGTTAACGATAGAAAACGTGAGAAAATTACTGATGGTATAGGATGTTGAATTGATCGAAATATTAAACGAGAACACATTTCGTCTCTTGTTAATTAAAAAAATAATAATATTTTAGTTTATAATAAAAGTAGAAACTAACTGGTTTATATTGTATGCAATACTATTGTATTCTAAGGAAAGGAAATAAGAGGACAGAATAAATGTTCCAATGGCCGAACAATAAATGTTATTGATCAATTATTATCCAGTCAAAAAAAATCTACAACTCATATGTTCGACGTTGATGACGGGGCGTGAACGACGTGATAAAATAAGCAGCTAGAAAATCAACAGATACATAACAAAATCAAATTAATACAGAAGTTTTTGTTTTTTAAAAACTATTGACATTAATTATTTTTCTTTTGTATATATAATGCCAACGGCATTTCAACAAATAATTGCCGTCTATTCATCATTCTTGTTAGTAAATAAATTATTTTTTTAATAAAAAACATTTATCTTAAACATATATACGCATTTATTTTTCTAGTTGTCTTTTTGTTGTCCATGGGCCAGTGTCTTGAAAAAGTTCGTTCAGAGAGAGCATTGATGTCATATAATAATAATAATAACAATAATAATAATAATCATCATCATTTATCGATATCAACAAAACATATTAAGAAAAAAGCTAAACAAGACGTAACTGAACAACAATCAAATCATATTCGTCATTCATATCGACAAATGAATACAACAACATCAACAACATTAGAACCACGTCGTGATTTACCCTTACATAAAATTCCCGAACTTCTCGCTAAAATAACTGGAACATTGTCATCCACACTTTCATCATCAGATACAAAACAAACATCTTCTTCATTATTATCTTCTTCTTCCAATTCAACATCAAATATAATTGATCGTCGTTTTCAATTATTTAAAAAATATTCTGATGATGATGAATTAATGTCTGTGGATGGTATTCTTCGTCTTTGTAATGATTTATCACTTGAACCTGATAGTTATGAAGTACTTTTATTTTGTTTTGTATGTCGTGCTAAACAAATGTATTCATTAACAAAAGATGAATTCTTTTTGGGTCTTAAAACACTTGGTATTCATGGTGATAATTTTTCAGAACTTCGTACAAGATTATTTAATTATAATATAGTATCATATGAAAATGAATTTTATAATTGGACATATCATTATGGTTTAGTTGATGGACAACGTTGTTTAACAACACAAAATGCTATTAGTTTATGGCGTTTATTTTATTTAAAAGGAATTGAAAGACCTAAAATACTTGATCAATGGTTAAATTATTTAGAACAAGATATAAATAATGAAATACCTAAAACTATAACATGTGATACATGGACAATATTTCCACAATTTGAAAAATTTATTGAATTAAATGGTTATGGAGCGTATGATGATAATGAAGCTTGGCCATGTTTATTTGATGGATTTGTTGAACATCAATTAGAACAACAACAACAAAAAAATTCATCATCGAATTGATTTAAATTATTTACAGTGATCGATTTTGCAAATTATCTTTCTTTTCTATGTTGTATTCTGGAAATAAAAGTTCAAACAATTTATTAATCTTCCTCTTTTTTTTCTCTCTCATTTTTATAAGATCAGATTAAAAAAAAGGGTCATATCCTTGTTCTAAACTTTACCATCTTTGAGGCTATTAATAAAAACATTTTAGTCAATTAAACAGTGTTTTTCTTTTCATATCTTAACGAGATTCTTCCGTCTTTTTAGAATTCAGTATCATCAAGATAAGATAGCCTTAAGCTGTTTTAATACTATTATTCATTTAACTGAAGATATAATTGATTATTTCAATGTATCTAGTAATCGAAATACCTTTGAGAATAGACTAAATTCGTTTTATTTATTTAAGAGTTAGTCAATATATTTTATAGATAATTTTCTTTTCATCTTTATATAGTTAAAATTTTGTCTTGAATAATAAATTTCTTTATTTTCTTTTACATTATAAAATCGAATGACGTCATATCGGTTGTTATGAATCATAAAAGTCAATGCCAGCTTAAAAAAAAATTAAACAATCGTTCTGTTGGATTTATATAGATGACTTTTTTTTCTTATATTTCTAGACACAAAAGGCATCAGCTCGTAATTGATGATTCATATTTTTATTTCTAGGTATATTTTATTTTTTTCTTATTCTAGATGTAGGTTGTTTTTTTTTATTTTACTACACAATCACTCAGATAAACGTGACAATAGAGAAAGACAAAAGTAAGTTTCTTAGAAGTAGAAAAAGAAATATATATATATCAAATTAATTCTATTGTATTATAGTGAGCAAGCCATCACTTAAACTTAATTTGAAACCATTGGATTTTGATGCAGCAACGAATACTACTAAAGTAAAACAACATTCCGATGTACCAGATATTAATCCCATTCCGTAAGTATATTTATTTTCTAGTGTTTAGAAAAGATTAAATTATAAGATTAACATTTCTATTTATCATATTAATTATTTTCTTTAATTATAGTCGGCAAGTTTCATCAGCAAATAGTCATCGTGATCTTAGCACTGGCAAACTTCATTTAGCAAAAGTTTGTTTATTTTTTTTTGTAAATATAAATGTTTATATTTTAAAATTTTTTTAGGTTTATAAATTTACATCCAATGATTTAATTGATCGTGGTATTATTGGAGAAGGTAATTTTGGAATTGTATGCAAAATGGAACATGAAGAAAGTAACACATTAATGGCTGTGAAAGTAAATAATTTATCAATTGTTTTGTAGATTAATAAAATATATTTTAGCGAATTCGTTCAACTGTTGATGAACGATGTCAAAAACAAATGCTCAATGAATTGGATATTGTTATGCGTGACAATACTTGTCCACATATAGTACAATTCTATGGTGCTCTCTTTAAAGAGGGTGATTGTTGGATTTGTATGGAATTAATGGATACATCACTTGATCGTTTTTATAAATATGTGTATCATAAACTGAATCAATCAATACCTGAAAGTGTTCTTGCCTATATAACTCTTGCAGTAAGAAGATTCTTTTTACTATTTATTTATTTATTTATTTTTATAAATAGACTTTACAAGCTCTTGATTATATTAAATCTCGTTGGCAAATTATTCATCGAGATGTAAAACCATCAAATATTTTAGTTTCTCGAACAACTATTAAACTTTGTGATTTTGGTATTAGTGGACAATTAATTGATTCAATTGCTAAAACACGTGATGCTGGTTGTCGACCATATTTACCAGTAAAATATTCGCTTCTACTAAAATCACAGTTATACACCCACTCTAATTAGATATCTGAAGACCCGCAAACCAAAATAATAGATACCATATTTCTTTTATCTGAGTGAATTTAAAGGATGAAATTGAGTACTATTAACTTATAATGATAAAATAATTATATGAAAGCAAGAGTTAGAAAATTGATCTCGAGTTCAAGAAGTTTGAATAGAGTGTATTTTTAATTAAAAAACTATTATTTTATATTTAGCCTGAACGTATTGATCCATTAAGAGCTACACGTGATGGCTATGATGTTCGATCCGACGTATGGTCACTTGGCATTACAATTGTAAATAAATTTGTTTTTTTTTCGAAAAAAATTTTTATTAATATATATTTCTAGTATGAAATTGCTACTGGTTATTTTCCATTTCGAGAATGGACATCTGTATTTGATCAATTACAACAAATTGTTGAAGGTCCTCCATTACGACTTACTGTTGATCGTCTTTCAGACAACTGTAAAGATTTTGTAAATACATGGTATAGATAATATATTCTTATTTGAAAAATCTTTCATTTATTTTCTTTTTCAAATATTTAGTTTAAATAAAGATGAAAATCAAAGACCAAAATATAAAAAATTATTAGAACATCCATTTGTACAAAAAGCAAAAGAACCACAACAAGCAGAAAATACAGCTGCTTATTTATCGCAAATAATTGATGGACTTTCGGAAAATACCGATACATTTGAACTTTATTATTATTTACCTTCTAATTCACCAGCATCATCGAGTTCTCGATGACTAAACTATCCTTCTTGAATGAAATTCGCTTTTCTTGATTATTTATTTATATTTGACATCAATTCATAACAATCGTAATTTCTATCATTCTTCTCCTTTTTTTTCTTATATGTCTTTGGACAACTAAATT